GACAATACATGTTGATCATGGTGTGGCTAAGATATTCATGATCCAAGATTCAAAAGAAAGGTGCAAGGCCAAACCTTTGAAAGATGAGTTCTGTTTGATGCACTTAATATTCTTGGGATATCCTCAAGAACAGCATATTCACTTTTGTTTTTACATCTGTGATATAATCTACTGTAGATCTGTAAATATTGAAATGAAATGCTTTGTTGCACGGCATCCTTAGTATCATTGATTTTAGCCACCCCTCATAAAAATAATTTTAAAAATCCCCGATTTAAAGTATTCAAAGTTCATACAGTTTGTTGTTGTTGTTTTTTTTTAATAATGTAATGTCAGTTGTTAAGGAATTAAAGCAATCGAAATGAGAAATACAAGCAGAACTTTCAAAATATAATGTATAAATGGTCAATTGTATTATTTATACAAATTCTAAATGTCTTGTTGTAAAGTAAAATAAATAAAAACTTACACTCCTTTAAATAATAATCTGTTTATTCACATCATTTCTAAGTTTGGATCTATATATGTTTATTATTATTTTATTTATGACTGCATTTGATCTCTAATGGAACAAGACAGTTCCAAGATGTGTGCCAAAAAGTGCCAAATTTTGAATTTTCCCAAGACCAATTTACTTGTGTAACTGTATATATCCCTCATTAAAGTGCTGGTAATCAAGCCTTCATAAACCTGATAGAGGAAAACAGTGTGGGGAAAGCAGAGGAGGTGACTCAGTGACGTCGTAACCTGAACTGGTGTAAATGCTATTTTAGATCTTGGCTGATTAGGTATTATAGCTTAGGCGTAAACATGTTTCCTTCTGATTATAGCCTAAAGAGGCCACCAAACTCAAAGCCACACTTTAGTCCAGCATGCTGTCTGCTAGTGTAGTGCCACCTGCCACTTATAGGTTGGACTCAACAAGGAAACAACTTCATGAACACCCACAGAAAATGCACCATATTCTTAAAACACCTAAGCAGTGATCCACTTAAAGCAGTGGGGATTATGTGTGCGGAGAGTAAAGGCCAACTAAAAAGATCAAACTAAAGATCTTTAACTACAAATACAAGAGGTGAGAACTAGCCTATTCCAGTCCTCGGGTGACCTCTAGCGGTGAGTAATTTAAACTGCTGCCAATATGAAATATCAAACATTGCAATAATAATACATTTTATAACAATAGGTGAACACATTGTTTGTGACTGACTGTACAAGTGATTGTGCTGTTTTACTTAGAGCCTGTTTAATCAATTGCTTGTTGATTTTTCTAATTTTAAGTTATTTTATATATTTTTTAGTAGCCTAACTGAAATAAAAAACACAGCCCTCTTAAATTGTCATAAAATCATCACATTTGTATAATATCTGTAAACAAATCAACAATAAACCAAACTGGCAGATAGAGAGGCCCGTGTGGAGCATTTCTTTTAAAGTAGGCCCACTTAAAAAAATGTCAGCTTATTTGAATGACCAACATTTGCTTAGGCATAAATGTATTAAACAAACAGAAACCAAGGCATATGGGGCATGATGATTTGCATAATAGTTTAGATAGCCCATGTAAATTAAATGTAAATATTTGGGAGTAAGATTTAGATTCAGAATGCAGATTTGAATTGTAATTTTTAACATTTAAAACAGTTTTTTAGCCTAATTTTTTTTTTTCTGAGCATTCTTATTTTATTGGCACACATATTCACCAAACGCAACGGTGTGATTGGTCAAAAATATGATTGGCAATACTGTGAACCAACCATTTCAGTGCACGAATGAAAATAGACCAATAGCGACAAGGGGCGGACATTTTGAAGTAAACGAGGAAAAATGGCGACCATCGCGATGAAGTTGAACGGGACTATTTACACAACTGTAATGAATTGTCTGACAAACAAAATTAGAGTATCTGTGTTATTAGTTTTAATATTCGCTTTTGCGAGTAGTAGTTCTGGAGAAAACACCACATGAAGATAATGCTTATGAATTTCTCAAGCGAGAGTATTCGCTGACTAAGCCCTACCAAGGTAAGCGTCTATTCCTATTCGCTCAGTTACGTTACCGGTCCCCTGCCAAAAGTGGCACCTGTTTCAGCAAAGTCAACTAACGTTAGTTAAGAAGAAAATAGTTCAGTGAGACCACAAGTTTATTGTTAGGACGATAACTGTCTCATTTCTTTTCTTTTGTTATTTTTGGATGTCCTTTTCTTGATCTCGTAAGAGTGGCTGTTTTATTTCGCAACTGCAGTGATTTGTAACGTCGTCCATAGGGCGGAAGTTCAGGACAAGTGTAATATTCCGGTTCATTTGCTTTATTAAACAACGTGAACGTGCATTTACTATAACTTTTATCTTGAACTATCCCTTGTTTACTCATACAGCTTGAGGGAGATATGGTCATGGTTATCTAGAAACAAAAATAAAACATGCTAAATAAATATACTGACAAAAATATCACCCTAATGTTAAGATGCCAAACATATATATTTGTTTGAGTATGTGCCCATCCATCCGTGCGTGCGCGCAATTACATTTACTTTAAAAAGTTGATGTATGCTCACAGGACTGGGCTCCTCCAGCTCATCACACTGGGAGTTCATGGGAAACACCATGATCATGCCTGAACACATACGGCTGACACCAGACTTGCAGAGCAGACAAGGAGCTGTGTGGAGTCGCATTGTGAGTTTGAATGACAAGAAAACCTGAAACGCCACCTTGGGTTGAATCTAGAGCTATTAGGCAGCCCAACCAAAGAACTTCTTGAGATGATGTGTAATAGTCAGGCTTGTTAATCAGTGTGTTTGTGTAGCCCTGTTACCTTAGAGACTGGGAGCTACGAGTGCAATTTAAAGATCCATGGAGAGGGCAAGAAGAACCTGAATGGGGATGGCCTTGCAATATGGCTGACTAAAGAGAGAATGCAAATTGGTAAATCATCATAATTTCACATTTTTAAAAATATTGATTTTTCCATGATATGACTATTATGGCTTTTTTGTTCTTTGTGTTTTCCTCTAGGACAAGTATTTGGAAACGCAAATTTTTTTACTGGTCTGGGTGTTTTTGTAGACACTTATCCGAATGATGTCAAGCAGATTGAGGTATATCGCCACTAAACATTATTAGTAAAAAAAAAGTGTTTGTTATATCATAGGGACATTTTTTTTTTTTAAATAACATAAACCCTGGCCTGAAAGTAAGAAATAATGTAACCTGTTTAATTTCTGTCTCTTTTGCAGAGAACGTTTCCTTTTATCTCTGCAATGGTCGGGAATGGGAGTGTAGAATATGAACATGAACGAGACGGACGGTCTACTGATCTTGGAGGCTGCACTGCTCAAGTTCGCAACGTTGAATATGACACGTTCCTCTTGATCAGATACATGAAGAACAGACTTACAGTAAGTGACATCTTTACATTCTGCGTTTATTCAGCCAAAGAGTAATACAATACTGGTGCAGTGCCGCACCAGTTCAGTTTCTTAACTGACATGGGAAAGGTTAAATTTTCTTGATCTCGCGGAGATGCGGATATAATGGGAATATTGTTTAGACAGATGTTGGAAAGCAGCCATCAGTTCCATTTGCACCTTCATTTGCTGTTCTGTCTTTCAGGTGATGATGGATACTGATGGGAAGCAAGAGTGGAAGGACTGTCTGGACATACCTGGAGTGAGGCTGCCACAAGGGTACCACTTCGGGGTCTCATCAGCCACTGGAGATTTATCAGGTTAGGACCATCCTTTCACTCCATTTTAGTCCAGCAGATATCCTATATTCACCCAAAAATGAGTTAGTTCACCCAAAAATGATCTAATAATTTACTCTCCTTCAAGCCTAGGTGTATATGATTTTCTTTTTGCAGCCAAACGCAATTGGAGTTATATTAAAAATATATCCTTGCTCTTCCAAGCTCTATAATGGGAGTGAATAGAGCCTGTTTTTGAAGCCGAAAAAGTGCGTCCATCCATCATAAAAGTAATCCATATGGGTTCAGGGGTTTAATAAAGGCCTTCTGAAGCAAAGCGAAGAATTTGTGTAAGAAAAATTTCCACTTTTAAAACATTATAAACTAAAATATATAGCTTCCGACAGTCGGCAATACGCATCGATTTACAGAGAAACAGTAACCCCTTACCTGACGCATGATGTATTGATAAACGTGGAAGTTCAGAGGATAGAGTAAAGAAAACATGGGTCATGAAGTCTATAAGTCTAAAACGAGAATTTAAAAAATAAATTGTCGGAGGAGCTTGACCTTGTTGCCCAGCCCTATTTGATTGAACCGCAAAAGTGCCTACTCTCATCAAAGTTTGTCCTAATCCTACTTCATATACCTCTGATGCAACCGTTCTAATGACAGACAAAACACAAATCTCAGACATTCGCTGGTGAAAAACAGCCTAACTCCATTTGAGCTTGTTTTCGGAAAAATGTTAATTGTATAATGACACAAGTCCATGGTTGATTGAAATATGTTTAAGTTTAATTTGGAAGTCAAACCAGCGTTTCTGTTCAGAATGCTAAAACATGATTTTGATTGTTCCTGTTAAATTTGGTTTGTTTCTGGTTTTTGTTTTCGTTGCTTGAAACATTTCAGAGCCCTAACGAAGCCCTAAAATACTCGATCATTTTGGGTCAATCTTAAATTTCAAATTAGATTTAATGTAACACTAATTAATGTACATGAACTAATTTATATAATATATTTGTATGTTAAGCAAAACTCGCCCAATAGATTTTACCCTCAAACAATTATCAGAGCTTTATAATATCTGCCTGTATTCACATATGCAGCCAGTGCCTGGCGAGGTTTTTCGCTCTAATGTATTTTACAGTAAAAATAAGTTGTTGTTTTTTTGTTTGTTTCACATTTACTTGACACATCTACTTTTCTTTTTCAAAAAAAGATTGTTGTTTGCAAGTGCTTTACATTCTTTAAATTTGATATAAACATTTTTTATAGAATGTAAGCCACTTTTAGCACATTATTACAATAAGAATCATTAGAATATTTTTTTTTATTAATTTTTAAAAATGAATTTTGTTTTTCCATTTGTATTTTATTTCTTTATTTGCGTTTGATGTTTTTTTTCTTCTTCTAGATAACCATGACCTGATCTCCCTCAAGCTGTATGAGCTTACAGTAGAACGGAGTCCTGAAGAGGAAGAGGAACAGCAGGAGATCACGTTGCCTAGTGTAGACTACCGAGCGGACCCTAATGGTAATACAGTTACAAAAAGATTATACCTTCATTATATGTTCCGTATAAGATATTTGGCGGACGAGTATCTTACAAATGTTTTCTTTACACAGTTTACGTGGAGGATGAAGGAAGGAGCATCATCACCGTCTTCTTTCTCTTCATTGTTTCCGTCGTTGCACTGGTTGTAGTGATTGTGGTAATTATCTTTCTATATAATCGCTATAAAGAAAACCGCCGCAAGCGCTTCTACTGAGCAGATTAAAGAGAGTGTCACAGGTAGGAAATGGGACGAAAGATCCAACGTGAGTGTGACTGGCATTTTTGCAAAGGACCATTTCTGGTCCTCACCTCTGCCACCAGGAAGGACCTAAAGGCCAACACTGAACTAAAAAAACATACCTGACCTCTCCGAGTGGAAACCGACCACCTCAGTCATGATTATCATCTCAAAAAACTGTTCAAAAGTTTTTGAAAGGGTGTGCGTCTGTTTTTGAAGGTCTCTTCAGACTTTTTTTGCTGTATTTTTGTACCAGTTACACTGACCTTGGCCTTTCACCCTGAGGCACCACAGAGAACAATGTGTGACAGCATTTACAGAGTTAAACAAACTGTTGTAATCTCAGGTTGTCTATTGCAATGCCACTGCAGATATCCTTTTAGAAATGTTTTTCTTTAAATTAGACAGAAATTGATCAAACGAAAATATGAATGTGACTTCGACTTTGAAAAGTCACAATCTTAGTTACCAGTCTTCATTAAATAGCAGTGTCAGAAAACCCCCCATCTGTTATCATATTATTAACTTAGTTGTCAGAAAACCCCCATTTGTTATCATAATCATTTAGTTGTCAGCAGTCATGTTTAACTTACATCAAAGTAATTTGCTTATTATCCTTCTATAAGTTATATTACCAGCTGTATTGTTATAAACACACAGTAACAACCATCAATGTGAATGTGAAGAATATTTTTCCCAATCGTCTTTTGTAATGAATATAGGTAAATATTGGTGCTTTGATGTATTTTGTTATATGTGGTCCCTTTTTATGTATCCAAAACTGCACTAAACTGCTTGGCCACATGTAGCTTATCCACAGTTTCTTTGTGAAACAATTTAACTACTTTAGCTTTCAACTTGTGATAAACCTGTTATTTACATGATAGACTTATTTTACATCTCTCCATGGCCTTATTTGAATACCATGTTTAATAATCTTGATATAAGAAATTGATGATGGCATGTTGTAAATTCTTAAATCTTAATATCTTCCATTAAGAGGCAGAGATGCGCTGCAAGCGTTTTTGTCCATGTTTCAGTCTTTTTTTTTTCCGCTGCTCTACAGCTAAGAAACATTTGTCCATTGTTTTATACTGGCCTGAAATTGCATTGCTGTTCTCATGAGCTCAGTGATTGAGCAAGCTGCTGTATCAAACTCCTGTTTAATGTTTTCATGGTTCTCACCAACATGTTGAATGACACAAATTCTAAATTAAACAAGATAAAACAAAATTAAGTTTGTCTTATAAATGGATGTTTGGTAATTCAAGATTTATTTTGATTTTTATGCACTCTAAAAACATGTTTTGGCTCAACAGAGAATGCAACTGTTTGCATCAGTCTTTTAATTAAGTTTGAAAAATATATATATTCTTACTCATTTTAATAAATAGAATGGTGGTTGGGGGACCAAATTTAAATCAATCTTTTATCTATTCCAGTTCAAATAGAAAACAACTAGTATAAAAATGCTAAATATACAGGACCTCATTTAGCATTCACTGGATAAGTAAGCCATTAGTTGCCACTGATATCACATATGTTGCTTATATGTATTAAACAAAGGCTACCTTCATGTAGCAACCCACAAGCAAGGCCAAAACGTGTGAAACTATGGAAGGCCAAAAGGGACAAAACGTGTGAAACTTGTTTAAGCGCGTAATGGGCTCTATGCACGGCGGTATTTCCGGTGAAGCATTAGGGGTGCTCGATAACTTCCGCCGATCGTAGAGTCCAATGCAATACCGAGAATTTATATTGAAATTTATACTCCATGGTTATACTAATGAAACGTTAGTCACAAAAACAGATAAAACAGACACCCCTCGTTGTGTTTATGCTTCTTTTTAAAATTATATTAAATAAATATAACTATATATAATATTACATCTAAACGTATGTACGTTTCATTTCAAAGACTGGAGGACAGTAAATTTTGAAGACTCTGCCATAATCCCGTTTTCCTTGGTTTTCCTCCGCTTTAATCTCCACAACCAGAAATGGACGAGCATCCTTGCGTCAAATGCGGAATTTATGCGTGCATATAGCCCATTACATCATAACACGGAATTTACATGTTAACAAGTCGTTTACGCGTTAATACGAAACTACTATGACTACTCGCCGTGGTCGCTGTTTGATCGGCTATGCTAGTGTATAGTCGTGATTTTGATCCAATTGTCGCACCCATGCATTTTATACTGACCGCGATCCTGTCAGTATTTGCATGCTTCATAACAATTGGCCAGCTGGCGTGTAAGCCCATAAGATTTCAGTGGAGAAGGGAGGAGTTCCTATGTATGTCCCAACTGACGTAATAGGCTTGTTTTAGATGAGCAAAATCTGCGCAGAAACGATCATCGGTGATCAACGCGAGATGCATGCTGGTTAGAAATGTGTCCGAGTGCGGGCCGCCTTGCTTTGATGTCAAAATGACGTATGTCAAAAAACTCTCATTACTGCAAGGCGGACGTGTCGGATTCTGCTGAGGCGCACAGTTGGTCTCCACCGACTGTTTTTATCGCAGTCGGCGGAGACCAACTGTGCGCCTAAGCAGAATCCGACACGTAAAAACCATGCAATAAAAACCATGATGGGAAACCGACTTGCTGACGAGAGAGCTTAATGCTCATTGGTTTAAACAACCATTATGTATTGTTCTCTTTTAAAATGTTTGATTTTAAAACTATGATATTATGCTTTGTGTACGTATGTTATGTGTAAATAAACTCCCTGACAGTGCGATATGCGTTATGTGATATAATTTTTATTAAAACAATATATATATATATATATATATACATGTCTGTATTAAAGAAAAAAATATTGATAAACACATATTTGAAATGTAATTAAATAACAAGTACTTTGGGTGTATTGTTCATTATATTTATTTTCATATAAAAGCAACAGAACTTTAATTACACCCAGTTTATTAGCAACACCGTGCACAGGCATGAATCCCATGAATCCCGCAATATCAGTCTTTGATCTCACAGGAGTCTGATCCACTGCGAGAAGCGAGATCTATCCGTCCTGCCTGCACTTTTTCACTCCTCCTCTCACTGTAGTCGCCTACTCTCGAATACATTTCATGCGAGGCAAGGCGCATCTCAAACAAGCCTTCTCTATAGGCAAAGGCGTGGTTAGCCGGTACCCTCGTATGTCACAGGGCACCACAACTTCCAATTGGAAAATTCAACTGCAATAGCCACTCAGACATTTTTACACCATTTATTGTAGAATTAAAAAACTTTACCCAAATGTCAAAAAAATTACTTGAATCAATGAACAGCATTAATAAAGCCCCAGTCTTCCAGATCATTAACTAAAAAAAAAGTTGTTTTAGGGTTTAGTTAGTTACCCTAAAATAAATAAATTATAAAGAGAGAGATAAATGCCTTGGAAAAATGTCTGCATCTCATTAAAAAGCTCTAAGTACACGTTTGTATTTGTACACATTAAAAGTACACATTTGTATGTGTGTCCTTTTATTAGTGTGGTTTCAGCATGAAGCCTTGCACGAAAATAGAACAGGTTAGGTTGTTGTTTTTCTCATGCTTCTCTGAAACAGACATATTTTGGGTACATGCATATATGGCATGTGGTATAGTGACTGTGAATCATGAACTTTTCTTAGGACCTCTTTCTTTCTCTGTTGCATTAGTTTTTTTTTACATCAACACCCCTGCACTGTTAGACACTGCGTCATTGAGAGAGGAAGTAAGACCTGCTGTTCTCCTGCTGCCAGTAACAGACTTGAACAACAGTCGGAAAGGGTACAAGTGTACAACTGTTTTAATTGAGGATTATTCTTTGGAGCATACTTACGGAATAAATTAAGGGTAAGAATATTAAATCTATTATATTTTCTTGAAATTTGTTTTCATTCTATATTGTGTAAGTAGCACACACATTGTTGCTTTTGTGTCTTTTTAATAATGTCTTTCAACATAAATAGATTTTCATTAAACTTACAAAATTTATTTATTTTAACCAATTTATTTTGGTTAATTTTATATATGTCTTAATAAATTGAGTTGTGAATATATGAATTCTTGTTTACCCGACAACCGTTTAAAAATTGTATTTGAAAGAAAAATCGTTTTTTCAGGTAATATTTTTTCTGTCCCGTCCATGTTCATTTAAATTTGTTTATCGGTTTTATACTGATGAAAATAATAACTGCAGTTAGTTTAGAGAAGGAAGTAACACAGGAAATGCATCACAAGCAGTCAGATTATATGGGGCTCCATTTAGTAGTTTCATGGGAAATTCATCTTCTGACTTTTTCAGTGAGTCAGTGAACTTTATTTTCTGGATGCAAGCTGTTTGGACACAAGGACTTCATGTGGGATAATAGTTTAACCTCATGTCCGGTGTGTTTGATAACCTTGCAGAACTGAGCGACGCAGTGGAAGATGTCTTGCCTGAAGTGCCTAAAGTACACCATGTGTCTGGTGAACTTCATCTTTTTTGTACGTATCCATTTTCAGACCGTCACATCATGATATATCTAATTACTTTTAGCACAAAATAGTTCATCTCGGGCCATTCTAAACCCTGGGTTAACAATTTCCTGGGTTAGGCCAATTTTTCTTGCCTCAAACCTTAGCATACATTAAAAAATATTTATATACACTGTAAAATTAAAATGTCCTGTTGTTTATACAGAATAAAATACTTGGAAACAACCCGTAAATTTCACGATTTAAAACTTCAATTTACAAAATATTTATAAACAAATACATTTGTAACCGGTAAATTCAACAGCCCTTTTTATACTGAGTTAGCGAGACCCATGTGCTACTAAAATATGTTTTATACCTTTGACATATACTGACAACCATCATTATAATACATGTGGTAATAATGTGGTAAAGAGAAAACGACATGATGAAGTGAAATTCACCACAAGTTGCTTTTTCATAAGGTAAATACATGGTCAAGCACGGCACGCCATCATGGGAAAAAAAACAGACAAAGGAGAAACAAGTAATTCAGAGGGGTTTTTTTTCAGCCGCTTCAATGATTGAAATAAAATTTCAAAATAATTTTTAAATCTACAACTTTAACAAATCTACAGTTGTGTAGCATAATTAGATGCATTCACAGCACGCAACACGTTGAAATAATGATCTCAAGCACATTATTGGGCTTTTGGCTACCGTTAATTACAAAAATTACAAAATAATTACCCAAAAATTTCACTTTGCTTTTCCCGGCATTAAAAGCAAGGTTTAAAAAGACACAGTGGAAAAAGCTCGGTAGTTAGGTGATAGGCTACTTCAACTCTGAATAACAGAGAATTTGCTGTCTAGGTGTTTATGAGGATTTTGTTAGTTTAACACTCAATGGGACGTCGTCATTTATTAATGACTCGAAGAAAATTGCGTTTAAAATAGGCTACTATACTAATGTTCAAGATAAAAATGGAATGTTAAAAAATTTTTTTGATACACTAAGACCTTTTCTCTCTACTTTTCAGACTGTGAAAATGCATTTGAATATTTATGAAGTTTCAAACAATTGATCAAAAATAATTTACTCTAATAAGTGATGGCGATGTAAGGCCGTCTAATTCGATCCGCAGTATTCGATTAGAGGTGAAGGTCTCACGCGTGTTCTGTCTTTTCTCATGGCAAGGGATTTTTAATTAAATGCAATACATTTTATCTTATGTATTAACACTTTATTTGATCTGACTCCATAAATGAAAAGGTTTTTCAATGATATCTGTGCATCAGTAAATCTACATGTACCCTATGTTTGACTATTCCTTTTAACTCTAATGAAAATAAAGTCAATGTCTGTTAGAATAATCAAATATATTTTGATTTTTACAATTTCGTAAACAATTGAAAGATAATCAATGTAAACCATCAAATGTCTTAGAACAAAGAGGAAAATCTTCATCAGTTAATCTTCATCAAAAATCAGTTTTTACAGTCTTACAGTGCCCTTAAAAAAGGGTCAAAGGTCAGGTGTAGAAAACTAAATATCTGAAATGAATTTAGTATTAAATCTATGTAAAATATGAAGTATTTTTAATTAGTCCCATTGAGGGTTAACATTATCATTACAGATCTGTGGAGCTGCGGTCTTTGGAATAGGCATCTACTTGATGACATCCTCCAGGTTCTCTTCCATGCTACCCAGCCTTGAGGCTATGAACATAGCGAACAGTCTTTTCATCATTGGGATCATTATCACCTGCGTCTCCTTCCTGGGCTTTCTTGGATCCCTAAAAGAAAATCGCTGTCTGCTAATATCTGTGAGTCTCATCGATCACTTACACTTACTCTGATGTCCGTATAGTTTTTCTTTTTACATTCTTTTAATAAAACTCAACATCTCATTTGTTTTGTTTAGTTCTTCATACTGTTGTTCATTCTAATGCTGGCTGAACTGGCCACCGCTTGCGTTCTGCTCATGTACGAGAAACAGGTAAGAAAATGATTTGTAGCTATATGGAAGCAGAGCATATGTGAGGAAAAGATGCGAGGAAACAGATCTTGCTTTTTTTACTTGCAGGTCATAGAATTCATTGATAAGGATCTTAAGATTGGTTTACAAAAATCCATAGAAAAAAGAAAAAACGGCACAGTCGTTAACGATGACTGGGACACAGTGCAAACAACAGTAAGTGCCCGTTTACTGTAGATTACTTTGGAAATGTAATAGATTACAAGTTACCCCATTTAAAATGTAATACGTAGTGTAACTATTTAAATGACTTTAACAAAGTATTTGTGAGTGTTAACATTAACAAGTAGCTGTAATTTAATAACACATTTTTTCTCAGCAACTAACTTATTATTTACATTTATTATGTAATTAAATTGCGCAACGCCGTGACATGTTACAACTAGTTACACCGCAACACTGACTAAAGACTAAACCAAGCATCATCATTACTTCTGCTCAGTGTTGGACATGAACTGGACTATAAAACCAGAAAAAGATTTCCATTACTTGAAATAAAATCAATATTGATCTCAGCAAGATGCCAAAGCACCATTTCTCATTTTTATTTAGTTAAAAGATAGTTCACTTTGAAATTAATTTTTGATATATTTTAGCTTACCTCAAGGGCATCCAAGATGTAGGTGTCTTTGTTTCCACCCTGTCTATGGTTTCCACAGCATCTTCAATTTTGACATTTTTTGGTCAAACCGTTGTTGTCCGTCAGTCATACACTGGAGGTTAAGGGGGGTCCTCCCTCGGTTCACCTCAAAGAGCATGAGAAGTCAAAATTAAACATGATTTAATGACTCGTGAATGTACGTAGGTACACATTGATGGCCTAAGACACGAAACGAGCGGTTGGTGTGAGAAAACGAACAGTATTTATATAGTTTTTTTATTTATTTGCTACCTCTTGTTAACAGCCGTCATCAGATGTCCAACTGAACCGTCTCCAGACGTTACGCCGGAAGTGATCTCTCGCACGTCACGCATTATACGGGGATTTCGGAAGTTTTACCTTTCACTAAACATATTTAGATTTATCGAAATCGTCTTCCATTGCGATATCCCGTATATCTAAATATGTTTAGTGAAAGGTAAAACTTCCGAAATCTCCGTTTTAAGATTAAACTATAATAGTATCTAAATCATAACTGGAATACTGTTTCAGATCAAATGGGCATAAAAAACCATAGATTTACATTAATGGGTTGAACAAAAACACGAGTATTTTGAAGAATGTTGGTGGGGGACCGTTTGTTACAGGCAAACCCCACACATTTCATTCAGTTTTAAATTACTGTTTTTCCTCTAATAACAGTTTCAGTGCTGTGGAATCTACAACTCGACGGATTGGTTGAAAAACATACCAGATTCATGCGACACACCTGGAATTGGAAATAGAACACTCATCTGGCCTCAAGTAATACAGCAGTCATATTAAACTCTATATCAGCTTTATGTCATGGAGATGGACAGCAAAAACATACACATCTGATTCAGTCTCATATGTATTGTCTTGTTGCGTTTAGGGTTGTTTAAGCAAGCTGAAGGCGGCGTTTGACGAAAACCTCTTGAGTGCGGGGATTAGCGTTATTGTTGTCTGCATCATTGAGGTACGGGTTTCCACAAGACCATATTTGTCAAGTCATTTAGTCACCTCAGTGTGGGGAATACTAAATGTTGATTTTCATTTCAAATGCTATTGTATTTTCGTCAATTGACTATACATATCAATCTCTTTTTGTAGGTCTTGGCTATGTGTTTCTCCATGACCCTGTTTTGCCACATAAGTCGATCCGGGTTAGGATACAAATGATCAAAAAAAAAAAAACATTTCCATAGTAGATCTTCCACAGTTTGTGTTCTTAATAATCACTGTCCTACAAATGCCCCAAGACACCCGGGAAAAGACAAGATGACAGAATGTGAACCATAACTGGTTCTTCTTTTTTTTTTTCTTTTTTTTTTTTTACTTTCAGCAGTATTATTTTTACTTTGACCACAACTTAAATGGAAATTCAGAAATTCAATATTTAAACACTGAATTCCCCCACTTGCATTTGAATGTCAACTCATGATGATGATGTAAGGGAGCTTTTCCATAATGAATCATCTCACAGACATACACTGTATACAAGTTCTGTTTGTCTTTAAATATTAATTAATGTAGTATTTTAATCTCATAAAATATTAATGTTGAGTTTGACCTAGTATGTTCTTGTACTATAATTATTTCTAGACTATAATTGTTTTTGTGTACTGAACAATGCAAATCATTTATTTCTGATCACTTCCTTTTCTGACTTGGCAATGACTAAACCATTTGATTTCCCAGAATATACACAGTGGAAACCACATATGCTCTCTCATCATTTAACAATTATACTAGTTGTAATGCAGATCTACAGCATAATTTTGTTTCTTCACTTTTTTTGTCTTTAGACTAATGTAAATTAAAATTTAACAATCAAAATGCTCTCTCTTCCTTTTTGAAAAAGACAAACTAGCATTATAGTTGTGGTTGAAAGAGGAAGTACCACCAGTAGCAAATCAACACTTCCGCAGAACACTATTATACATTTACTTTGTTGCTTAGTTGGAAATATGGTTTCGGTCACCAAATGGCCTATACAAATTCATGAAATATGAAATGGGTTTTCAACAGCAGTTGAAAAAAACTTCATAAAACCAAACATCAGAATTCAATGGTTTTATTTTTAGAACAAAATCCTCTCCACAATATTTAAAACCCAAAAAAACAAAAAAAAGACTAAGATTTCCTTTACATGTTTTAAAATAATTTTGTTCTTTTTGAACCATCACACAAAAAAAATAGAAACAAATACAATTTAATCTTTTTCTTAAAAAAAAAAGTAACTGTACACGGCAGAATACACCATTTTTCGCAAACACCCCATAGACCTCTTCAACTATACACGCATTATTGCAGTTCACCTAAAATATGCAAAACTAGCTTCTATAAACAAAAATTGATCTTTCATTATATTTTGTGTTCTGAAAAATGGTGGCTTGTATGTTGATCTTAAGTTTCACTCTTTTGCATTCATGTGCAAAAGTAGATCCTGGATCTCATACTGATTATCTTCTTTTGGGCTTGATGGAAATTATAAAAGTGTGCTTTGAACAACTGAGGTGCTTAGAAAGATATGGGAGGGGGGAGGGTGTATTTGTCCCACATGTATCTAGAGGGACGTTAAAGCCATTAAGGCAATGGTAGAAGTTACAGTTCTAATGAACGAGTAAGGCTTAAATTTGGAGGGAGTCTAATTCTATTTGAGGTTTCCAGGCTGTAGTTTTAAAGCCCTATAATTTGTTTATAGCTTTAAAGCCTGGTTCCACAGACAGGGCTTAGATTAAGCCAGGATTAGGCCTTAGTTCAATTAGGACCTGGTGCAAATCTTATAACAAAAAAATGGCACTGAAGTATTTTAAGATATGTCAGTGCAAGTTGCTTTCAGTTAAACCTGCTCAGACATGCATTTACGTCTGGGACTAGACTTAAGCCTTGTCTGTGAAACCAGGGGGTAAATCTATTACAAATTGCAATAGAACTAGCTGTGCATCCATATCTGTACAAATATAAACCGATAGTCTTGTTTTCTCAACCGTTATGACTAGAGAAAAGCATATAGTGCCATCCACAAATGCTTGACAACTCAATTACCTCCTTTAGAACAATATTATTACCACTGGTTTCTTAGGAAAATTATACACTCGGAGAGTACCACATCATCAATGTACAAGAGGCCAGAAACACTTTACACACAACACACCCAGTAATATATATATATATATATATATATATATATATATATATATATGAGCCAGGTTTGTCAAATCTATACCATATTAAGTTCCCCTTTCCAATAGTCATTGAGGGGATGTGAAACTATCTTTCATGAACAAACGGTATAGAATCACCCAATGAATCTTCCATAGGCATCATATTTGGAATGAGTACAGCTCAATGGGGAACCCAGCCCCATTTGAATATTGCTAGATAAAAACCAAAGCTCTGCCTTTAGTACAAGTGTCAGTTATGAAACAATAAGTTACATATATTAAGACTTCATTAAAAGGGCAGATGGAAAATGTAGATCACATAAGGCCCCACCATTTTAGGTTTCAGTCAGTCCTATTGAAACCAGCTGAATGGGAGGAAAATGAACTTTAATATTGGTATTAAACAGCTAGACTGTTTCAAAAAGACATGCTTTTGAGTTTAGTGAATAAAGGAACCAATGAACCATAAGAATACAGCATCCAGAAGCACTCCCTCACCCCATGCTGCCACAAATTCGATTTGAAAGAAATGCTTTTGCTCTTACTAGAGCCCTTAAGAGAGCGGGGGCTGTGGAAACGAAAGAGCATCTTAAGTTTGATCATCTCACTCAACACTGAAACTGGTCAGATTCAGAGTCGATTAACCAGAGGTCAGCAGCGGGCATTAAGTTTGCAGCCTAATTTAAGAAATGTATTCAAAGACTGCTCGAGGACATCAACTGTAAGCTGCTGAGTGACTGCAAAATTAAGACTGTGTTCACACAGGAGAGCAGAAACCCAGAGAAAGTGACTGTATACAAACATCCAACACCACAAGCAACAAAGGCATTTGGTTAACAACGGCCGCCATGTGTGAAGTCGGACTGGGAAGAAGTGTCAAGTGCTAGTTTACCAGTCCTGCTTATGGTCATCATGTGCCTTTTTAGTTTCGTTTGTGAACGGTTACTCAGTTTTAAGATGCGACATTTTAAAACAAACAATCATTAATTTATAAGTCTAGAAAGCATAATGTTCTCATTTCAAAGCAACAACAACAACAAAAATCGTCTATTTTTCCTTCCCCGTCACTTCAGGAAGTGAACTGCTTTAAGCATACCAACAGGATTTGTTCCTTTTTCTCGAAATGTCCTTATGCTACAAAATTTAAAGCTGACCAACATACAGCAGCAGCCCAAATGTAAAGCCAAAAAAAAAAAAAAATGTTTTAAATATCACAAATGCACAGCACAATTGTTAAGGTCACAAGTCACATGTACATCCAACCTAATCTGACACCAGATAAGAGTTTAAGCAATATTTTCCATAAAATTTCCCAACTGGAAAATAACGGAATCAAAAGACAGCACAAATTACAATTGGTTTATGACCATGAGCTCACAAGATTGTTACCATGAACTAAAAGCAACTGCCTGCAAAACGATGTGTGAGCAGAGTCTCTGTGACTGATGTAGATGAATGGAGCCATCACCGTGTGCTATCGCTGGGCAATGAACTTCAAGCTAGGAGAACAGGTAGAGAAAAAAAGAGACAATCTCCATGCTGGTTTGCTTGTTCTGCAGAAAAAAATAAAAATAAAACGCTACTTTCAATCTCAAAGTAGAAAAAAGTAATGTGTAAGCCACCATAACACATTTAGAAATATACCTCAAAAAAGGAGGCTATATTAAGATTGTGCCGATACATTGACGATATGATGTGTGGATTTTAAAATCCAGTAAGTGTAGTAAGAGAGCACGTTTATTTCCTGCTTCAGTTTTAGAAAGCAGCTGGTCCAGATAGAATGTGATATTCTCTACAGGCAGCTTTACAGAGGAGCAACCGGAACCAAAAAAGAGGAGAACAGGAGCATGAATCAGTTGATAAACGTGATGTGTGTGTTTGACTATATGTAGGTCCAATTAAATAATTAGGGTGCTCTCAGGAATGTGTGGAATAATGGGAGGAACTCAGGATTCCATGCTGGGAATGATGGGAGAAGAGCGAATCATCTCTGAGAGTCTAACAGAGGCAGGAAGCCTCGCGTGGTGTGCAGGAAAAGTGGGTTCAGGTCCTCGGCGTGTACAGCACGGTGTAGAGAGGGCTCAGAGGCACTCCGCTCGATTTTTGGCAACAGATCCTGGACCTGCTCGATCCCTACCAAGATCTGAAGAACAGCAGGAATGAAACATGAGAGGCTGTTGCTTTATCAGACATCACAGTGTTGGGAGTATTCCATCCACAGTGTGACAGAGATAAGAGCTCTGGTTTATTCTCACCTGTGGGAAAAGAGGCCGCTCATCCCGTTTGAATTTCAGACAGTCGATGATGAGCCTCTTCATTGATTTAGGGCAGTTACTCGACAATTTACTGAGGTCTGGAGACAAGTACCCACGACCGACCATGAAAATAATCTACAGGAAGAGAATAACCAAAAACACTGCATTTTATAGTTAAAAAACAAACAAACACAAAAACAACTTCCACGGAAGAAGAAAGCCATACTGTCAACATAGGAGTGAGTTGCTATAATTGACAATATTCCTATTTTGCCCATAAATTCATAACTTTGGGTGGAAACTTTGCTATTTTCAGTCTGAACGGAAGGTTTCTGGGCTGTAAATTCAACCTAAAAAAAACAATTTATTAACCTCTAATTCTGAAACTAAACACAAATTCCTCCAACATAACTGCAAGTTGTTAAAGTGATGGTGTCATGTCTGACCTGATCGCGGTTGTTGATATTTGAATAAGGCAAAGTCCCAGACATCAGTTCATAGAGCACCACTCCATATCCATATACATCAGACTGGAAGGTGTATGGGTTAGTGTCTTGCATTCTGATCACTTCAGGGGCCTAAAAAAAAACAGCAAGTGGTAAATTGTACTTCACAACAACATATATAGGATTAAAGTACTTTAGATAAGCTGTAAACTAATTTAGGATTCTGGATGACACAATTTCTTACCATCCACAGGATGGAGCCACTGGGCTGTTCGACCTGCTGAGAGCCACTCCAGCGAGACTTTACCGTGGCCAGGCCAAAGTCACCGATCTTTACAGTCCAGCCTTCGTGCAGGAAGATATCTGACACATGAGCTCAGGCGTATTATGCAGTACACAGAACGAGAGTAAATACTACAATTATTAGAAAAAACATCACTAGGAAGAATGCATCAGCATTTTTATTCCAGTAAATCATAAATCTTAGCCTGTATAAAGTAGTTTTGTTTGGCTATATTTGCATTATTATTAAGTACCCACAAGCCCTATATTAATTTGAGCAGAAATGTTAAAACATGCATGAGAAGATATCGAATGTATTGTAACAGTGAGTGTAAACTCTTATGCCTAAAATAATTTTGGTAAATGAGACAATTCTTTCTTTACACGTATTTTATGACAGACAGCAGCTTGGCAATCTAACTAGGAGATGATAGGATGCAACAGAGATGCCATCTACTGGCAGAAAATTGGAGATGGTCCTCACTGCAGAACATGAAATCCAGGGGGAGGAGTTAGATCCAGATCCAACTCCTCCCACCTTACATATACCTAAACCTACCCATCTCCACCCCCTGATCTCTAACCTCACTCCTAATCCTACCCATCTCAACCCCTTAGATCTGGATCCAACTCCGCCCCCTGGATCTTGCGTACTGCAATGAGGTGCTACTGGAAAATTGCCTGAATCTGATGTATCCTGCAACAGATCTCTCTCACAAACAATACAGGCAAGAACCCACTGCCAATACATTACAGAAAGGATACTATTAGATTTCAAGTCCCGATGAATGATATTCTTGGCGTGAAGATAACTGTCAAGGAAAGAAAGGTAAAGTAAAGCACCAAATTATGTACAAAAAAAATAATTAACTTTCCAGTACCTCAACCTACATTCCGTACAGCCAAGCTTCACTAATAGACAGTACAGTCATTTATCACTCGTGGATTTAAGTGGACTTTTGTGCTGTTTTCCAGTACGAGTGTGTCCAGTGACTCAGAGCAGAACAAAGAGTGTATCAAGTGTGTTATATTTTAGAGTGAGAAGTTGCAGGTATTCTTTGTTAATCAAAAGTCCAAATTAAAAAGATTGTAAGATAATTATCAATTTTAAATATCATTCAAAAGTTGGTTGGTAAGATTTTTTAAATGTTTATAAAAGTCTCTTATTCTCAACAAGGCTACATGTATTTAATCAAAAATACGGTGAAAACAGTAATATTGTGAAATATTACAATTTAAAATAATCGTTTCCTATTTCAATATGTATTTTATATTATCTAATATATTTCATTTGAACATTTCTTGATGGCAAAGCTGAATTTTCAGTATCATCACTAACTACATAGTCTTTAGTGTCATATGATACTTTAGAAATCATTATATGCTGATTTGCTGCTCAAGAAACATTTCTTATAAAGCAGCACAACTGCTTTTAACATTAATAATAATATAGTTCAGTGGAATCAGGATTCTTGGTTAAAAGGAACAAGATTTCCATTTAAAATAAATGCTATGTCACATTTAAAAATATAAATTGAATGCATCCTTGCTGAACAAAAGTATTTTCTTATTTTAAAAAACCCTACTGACCCCAAACTTTTAAACAGTAGTGTACATTAACATTTCATAAAGTCTTGTTATATAAACACCATATAATTGGCACTGCAAATACACTACATGTAGGATAGGAGCTAACCTGTCAACTTAAATAATAATAATAATAATAATTCTTACTCCATGCCCTGAGCAGTCTGGCGAGCAACATCAATACGGCGCATGGTGTCAAACTTGGTCTCAGTAACATGCAGGTGGCGGTACAGGCTGCTGCCTTCACACCACTGTGTGATAATGGCAAAATTTGGCTTCGTCATGAAGCCCATGAACAGCAGAATGTTGACGTGGCGTGTTTTTCTGAGGAGCGAGAAAGTCAAATTTGTCATATCTAACAGAAATAAGACGTCTGATTATTTGCACTTAAGATAAATGTGTTAGTGAAGCAGAATAGGCTTTGATCCCCTTCATATATGATCATACAGATCACTCACCGTAAAACCTGCATCTCATTCTTAAAGGCCTGTAGCTGCTCCGGCGTGGGCTCTGTCACTTTAAGAATCTTGATAGCCACGTCTCCATGCCACTTGCCTTTATAGACGGTCCCAAAAGAACCTGCTCCAATCCTCTTTAACATGGACACCTCCCGTGAGTGCACCTCCCAGTAGTAACTGGAGTCTCTGTAACCTCCCCGGTGCTAAAAACCACCAACAAAACAAAAACACAGATTGTAATGAATCTGAATCATTTGGGCTTCCCATCAAATAAAACACACACCCACCACTTTCTTTTTATCATCAGATGAGGATTGCTTTCGCTCCTTGGGCTCAGAAGGGGATTTGTGGGGTCTTCTTCCTGGTGACCCTAGGTGGGGTGGGCTAGTGGAAGGCTTAGGAGAGGACTCTTGCCCTGTGCACAATACTAGAATATGAGGTCCAGTTCATAAATACACAAAGAGGTGCAGTTAGATGCGTCATTCAAATCAGTGACGGCAGAAGAAACAAAAAAAAAGTGAGTATGTGAAAAAAAAAAGAAATGTGCTCATGTGAGTGATGGGCAATAAAACTGAAAAAACAATGAGAAAAAAAACTACTCACCCATTGGGTTGATTTTGAATGACTCCTGAATGAGAGTGGGGGAAAAAATGAATAAATACATGCAATGGAGGAGAGATGATCAAGGAGGCATGCAGAGCCTCCATAGTCATATTTTGTGAAGACATATTTCTTAATATTTGATATCTAGCAAAGTTAATACTCTAGTACAGGGGCAGTTCACCCAAAATGTATTTACTCACACTCTTGAAATTTCAAGCCTGGATGACTAAGCTTTCTTCCATACAACACACAAGGAGAAGTGTAGCAGCTTTTACTCATACAAACTATTTTAATGGGGGTTTTTTGTTGCCATTGTTGTACTTTTGGGCCTTGACAGCCATTTTCAAAGCATGAAAAAGAGCAGCGTGAACATTTGGGTTCAATGGAAGAAAGAACATTTTAGAGTAATGAGGGTGACTTCATTTGTGGGTGAACTGTTCCTTTAGAACAAAAAATGAGGCAACATAAGGAGATGTATGTGGACTTGATGAGCCTTCAGTCCAGTCTCTAACCTCCAAGAGGCTAGCAGCGCCAGGCTCCAGCGTGCTAACCATGTGGACGTTGGGGGTTGATGTGGAGCGATGCCTCTGAAGAGACTGACCGTCCTCTCCACACATGATCAAATGGAAGCTTGACCCTGACGACAGCAAATCCCTTCTAAAAGGGGTCAAACATAATGAGGATATGTCAGTGCTACATTTCCATTGGGGATAAAGGGATACATGTATTTAGAGGTGAAGCTCAAATGTACCCATGAGAATCTGAAGTTAAAGGCAAGTCGCTCTGTGATATGGAATTAGTGGCCGGATATATCAATATCGATGGGCATTCTTCTGTATTAGGAAGACACCTGACAGAAACAGAACACCAGATGAGTGACAAAAATGATGACAAGCGCATATAAACAACGTAAGAAAATTGAATGTGGAACATACCGTTTTGTCATGGTGTCCATGTCCACACATACCGTAGGGACTTTACTGCTACAGTGCTGGTGAAATTTATAACCACATGTCTGACACCTGAAGCCGTTGAACAAGAACTTGTGGCAGAAGTCACAGTATGCTAACTTAAAGAATGTTTTGCGTACCTGCGAAGAAAAAGATTTATGGGTGAGGTTGACTGACAGTTTAATGTTCATTTATACACTACTGTTTTTAAGTTTTGGCTCAGCGCTGATCAGTACTAATTTTTTCAATACTTTTCTACAGGTAGAATTTATTAAAATGATCAGAAGTGATATTTACATTGTTACCAAAAATGTGTTGTTTTTTTAACTTCCCATTTAAACAATCCTGAAAAAAATGGATCAATTTCTACACTTTCATTAGGCAGCATAACCGTTTTCAAATGATAATAAGAAATGTTTCTTGAGCAACAAATCAGAATATTAGAATGATTTCTGAAGGATCATGTGACACTGAAGAGTTTATCATAAAATAATGCCAATGTGAAATTAATTATTCAAAGTAATTTTATAGAAATTAGAATGTCAGAGCTGTGGTGCAAAATAAAATGTATAAATCAATAAATAAAAAATAGTGTCTAATTTAATCCAAGCTTTAGTAGTTTTAAACTTAAATCAGAATTGCTGCACAGAACTGTGCTCAAGTAATCATTATCATAATTATCCAACATACTTTTTTGCACCAATCTCAATTATTTTCTAGAACATGCACAGTACCAAAACAAACTTGTAAGGGCCTAAAAATGAGAACCTAGCCTTACTGAGTTTGTTGCGCAAGTACACTTACAAAGTTGTGCATGGTAAGGGGAACATCATCCAGCACTTCTACCAGAAGCTCTTCCCCTACAAGGGGTGTGATGTCAGTGTCCCATTCTGTAAGTCTCTTCCGGCTGATAAAAGAAGAACAACAATTGAATATAAAGTTCACCCAGGAGAAACATTGTTTCATTTTAAGGCCAATTTCTTAGAGACACCTACCCTTCAAGAAGGCGAAAGACAGCACAACAATCCTGGCTTAGGCCTCTGACTTTCAGGGCTTTATCTAGACTATCATAGACAGTTTGCCCAGGCCGAACATTTACCTGAACACATGACCACATTGTGCCATCATCGTATCATCACAAACACACAACCTTTAATTACCAATACACATGACATGTATACATATGCAGGCTATGTTAGCTATTTCGAATCTTTATGAAGATCAATAAATGGCATTTTAAACAAAACAGACTGCAGTGAATGAATCCTCACCACTGTCCGCTGCTTGTTAGGGAGGTAGACACGGATGGTGCCCCCACCTCGGGGCGTGTCATCCGGGCTGGTTTCCCCAGAGGAGGAACAGGAGGAGGTGTTGGACATGGTGTCTCCAAAGGGGCAGTGAGGGACTGGCAGCACTGACACAAGATTTATACAACAAGGGCAAAGCAGGAGAAAGCCCTCATCTGGAGCCTGGGATGGATAACAGTGTGTTAAGTGTCAAAATCCATTTCACAGTTATAGTTATATGAATGATGACAAGAAAATTTATTTTTAAAAGTCTTAGCACAGGCAGCTGGAAAAATCATTTCTGCTATTTTTTGCACAGTTGCTTTAAAAGAAAGTTCTTTATGGTTCCAGTCAGAACACTGAAGGGTGTGAGTGTGAAAAGTAAATATCCTTTTTGCGTAACTTTACAGATGGTGTTTGTGCTTAAACAGCAACATTACACACTTAGGCCTACTAAAGTTAACTCAGGCCTACTACTAAACTACTAAAAATCAACCACCCCATATAAATGGTGTTATCCAAATTTTCTGAAGAGACACAATTGCTTTATCTGATAAACAGGTTGAATTTAGACTTTTATTCACACATAAATTGATCATCACACATCATTTGAGGTAAACAGAAACTCAAACATGTTAGCTTGATGTGCAGGACCCAATGAAGTTCATTCTCAAGTGTTTTGCAGCACGTTTGAGTTTTTGCAAGAGCCAATAAGGTTTATTTTCTCACGCATCAAGCAGGTTTGTTTGAGCTTCTGTTTATTCACTGATCAATATTTCTGTGAATAAAAGCCTTTAATTTAATCTGTTCTTCATCATATAAAGCGATCATGTCTCCACAGAAAATTTGGACTAAACCGCACAATTCATCAGTTTTACAATCTCTTTATGAACTTTTGGAAGATTCAAAGTGGTAGTTCAATGGAAGGGCCGAAAGCTGTCAAATTTAATCAAAAAGATCTTCATTTTTGTTCTGAAGATGAACAAAAGTGGAACAACATGAGGGTGTTGTTAATGAGCATTTTGAACAGGTAGACAATTGAATTCCAAATGCAAAATTAAGCACAAAAGCTCTGCAGGCATCTCAATTTGTGATTACATTGAGCTGAGAAGAAGCAAACTGTTAACTCGGTCATGTCAGTGGACCTTCAGTGCCTAAATAAATTCTTAGACTTGTTTTATAGCCTAAGTCCAACAACTACACCACTTTACAACTATATGACAGGTCAGGAAGAACTAAATCTAAACCAACAACATGTTTATTAGATCCAATACCCACTAAACTACTGAAAGTAGTGTTACCTGTAGTGGAAGAGCCTCTTCTCAATGTTATTTATTTTTAGGTCATGTTCCAAGAATTTTCAAGCAGGCAGTAATAAAACCTCTCATTAAGAAACCACAATTAGATCCAAATAACCTAGCAAATTACAGACCCATTTCAAATCCTCCATTAATGTCTAAAATACTAGAAAATACTTGTGTCTGCTCAATTGTGCTCTTTCTTGCAAGAAAATGATATCCATGAAATATTTCAGTAGATTCAGACCACATCATAGCACAGAAACTGCGCTAGTGAAAATTGCAAATGATTTACTTTTAGCTTCCGACCAAGGCTGTATCTTAATACTAGTTCTACTCGATCTTAGCGCTGCGTTCGACACTATAGATCATAAAATACTCTTGGATCGACTACAAAACTACAATGGTGTTCAGGAACAGGCATTAAGCTGGTTTAGATCGTAGATATCGGACCATTAACATTTTGTCTGTTTAAATGGGGAAAAATCAAAGATAACGTCAGTAGTCTATGGAGTGCCACAAGTACCGGTGTTAGGCCCTCTGCTATTCTCAATATATACATGGAATTAATTTCCACTGTTATGCTGATGACACTCAATCATATATTTCATCACGACCAGATGAAAACACTAACTTATCTAAATTGACAGAGTGTCTTAAATATATAAAATGCTGGATGATGCGTCATTTCCTGCAATTAACTTCAGATAAAACGGAGGTATTACTTATTGGTCCAAAAAGCTACACACAAAACCTCTTACACTACAATTTTAATTTAGAAGGATGTCCTGTTACTTTATCCACTACAGTAAAAGACCGGAGTGTTATAATACACCGCAACTTGTCATTCGAAAATCATAATTTATATGTTACAAGAACAGCCTTTTTCCACCTTAGAAACATTGCTAAGCTACGCAACATGCTATCTATTTCTGATGCAGAAAAGTTAGGTCATGAATTCATGACATCGAGACTAGATTACTGTAATGCTTTATTAGCTGGTTGTCCTGCAACCTCAATAAACAAGCTACAGTTAGTGAGTTCTAGAGTTCTTACTAGATCAAGAAAATATGATCATAACACCAATTTTATTATCTCTACACTGGTTACCTATTAAGTTCCGCATCAATTACTACTGACCTATAAAGCCCTAAAACCTTCTATCGCCTTACAAACCATTCGCATTCTTTAAGATCACTAAATTCGAGGCTTCTGGTCAATCCTAGGATATCCAAGTCCACTAAAGGAGGGAGTGCGTTCTCACATTTAGCTCCTAAACTCTGGAATAGCCTTCCTGATATTGTTCGAGGCTCAGACTCGCTGTCCCAGTTTAAAACTAGATTAAAGACGCAACTCTTTAGCCGAGCATTCACATAATGCTTACCTTTTATTCTATTGTTGAATCAGATCGAATGCAATATTATGAACAGCAGCAATGCTAATTATTTCTCATCTGCTTTTTAGGAGGTAAATAGTGTTCGTCAGCTCCAATTTGTATCCAGCCTCTCACGGAGGCTTCAGATGCCCCAACACCTGTGATGAGATGACTAAACGCTTGTGAAGAGACGACTTAACGCTGGCAATGTTATGCCCTAAATTAATACATGATTAACTAACTCTATTTTTTTCTGTACATTTCTGAAATGCACTTTCTGTAAAGCTGCTTTGAAACAATATGTTTTGTGAAAAGCACTATACAAATAAATTTTAATTGAATTGATTTTTAACCCTGGTCTTTTAAGTATTATAAAACCAATCTGAAACAGATGTAGAAGGAAATGCCCCAAATAAAGAATCCAATGTCTAACTGCTTTTAACATTTTGGTCTATAATTAAAGTCTATTATTTAAGTCTTAAGGCTATCAAACTCTGAAATGAAGCCATTTAACCCAGACAGGTAGAAACAAGTAGCCCTACTTCAGATTTAACGCTCTATGTTAATTTATGTAGTCACAGCCTTAAACGACAAGTATTGTGTAGCCTATAATGGAAAATACTACTGCACTTGTTTAAAACTTGAAAAAAAATACAGCAAGCAGACGAGCATGCACTACATTTCCAAATGCATATCTTACATCCCACACTGATTCCAGTTCGAATGCGGTTTATACCAGCCAGCCATATTGTTTCAATAATATCCACAACATTGAGGAAGCATTAAATAATCCATACCACTAAATAACTTAAATGTTAAAAGGCAAAGTAACAAGTAACACCCCAACAGTTTATGCTGCAGCCTGCAGTCTAACAGCAAGAGGTTATAGAGAATGATTTAAGATGTTTTACACAAACACTCCTGACAGTGTAACCACAGAAATGTGAAACAGCCAACAGTAAAGATGAGTTGGCTGGGTTTAGTTAGGAGTGATGTGCCTAATCATTTGCTCTGCTCTCTTTCTACAACACAGGCCATGAACTCTTCTTAGCTTGCTCAATCTATCAAGATATTCGTCAATAGTATGACTTTCGTACAGAAGTATTTTGGCAAAATATAAACCCTTGAGTCTTGTCAGGTGCCTTTTTTTACTGGCGAAAGAGGGAATGATGTTTTCATGAGGCGGAAAGGGATTAACGTTAGACGACTAGCTGCTAGCTAGCTACTGTGGCTAATGCTGTTTCAAAGTTTAAAAACTAAATAAGTCTTAATCTTACATTTCCGGCCACGGCGCTGAGAAATACAGCGACTTACACCCGCGAGTAATATTTCTGCAAACGACACAGCCCGTTAGCGAGACTCTCATTGCATTTTTGCTTCAGAGTAAATACTCACCTGAGACAGCCATCTTGAATTATCTCAGTCTCAAGTCGGATCAGCAAAGAATTTCAGGGAAAGCGGAACAGCGAAATCTCGCACTGTGATTGGTCTAGATCTGTAAAACACGGCGCTGATTGGTCGTCTATTGTGGTACTTTGTAGCAAGGGAATGAAAAAGGGGCGTGTGCTGCGGGTAACGAATGTAACGTTTTTCCAAGCATTAAAGAATCCTACACAAATGTCAAATACGTTGTCAGTATACTTTTCAAATCGTTTATATGTTTGTTAAACCAAACCAAAGAGTTTCAAGCAAATACTCCTTTTGAAATACACAATATAAACCACTTAAAGATTAGGGAACAATGAAAGCAAAATGCAAAGACTACAAATGTAAAGAACGTTTTTTATGTCCAGGTGACTTCTGTACAAAATATTTAATTTGAAGAAGGGTCAATAAGAATACAATACTGACATAAGCTTTCAACATAATATTGATAGCAATTGCTCTATCCTTTAAATGTCACAATTAAATGGAAAAAGATCACTATGAAGGTGGTATTAAAATGAAAAGGTCCATGCTGACAGAACAAGGCAGGTTTCTGAAGAGCTATTCCACACTCAAGAATTTCCTCTTTTTGGCAGTGCGCATGTAAGGGTGGTGCCGCCATTCAACATCTGCAGTATTCTCGTTCTCCAGTGTGCCGAGCTTGATCATGTACACTGAAAAGATGAAGTACAAGATATGAATGATGAGCAGAGTGCAACATAAGTGCTCATTCTGCATTAATATCAATTAATCTAAAACCAAAAAACAGAGTTACTTACATTTCATTTCAAATCTAGGTCCAACCTCTGACAACTCAACGTTCTTATGGTCTGTTTTCTTGTAGGTGTGGTGTCTGCAATATACAAAGTAATACTAAATTTTCCAATCCTAATTTTGCTCAAAAACTTTACTACAGCAGTTAACAACACCACTCACCTGAAAGAGATGAAATCATCTGTATTTGCAAACGTAATAACACGCCTACTATCCTCTTTGGGTACAGGAAAAAGATACTTCAGGATGTTGGACACCTAAGAGATATTTTGTTTCATTATTCAGATCAGTCAGAGATTATCTGGAGCTTTTATGATGTTGCATTGAGATTTTAAATAATCCTCAGTAAAGTATAGTCTCTTTCTCTCTTTAATTACAAATGACAAGACAATGATATTTGTTTATTCGTTTATAAAGGAACTTGACTATCAAATACTATACACTACTGTTCAAAAGTTTGAGATCGGTAAGATTTTTTTATGTTTTTGAAAGAAGTTTTTTAATATAGTCAACAAGACTGCTTTAAGCAAACACAGCAAAGACAGAAACATTGTGAAATATTATTACTATTTATAATTTTTTAAAGGGGTCCTATTATGCTTTTTTTTTTTTTTTTACCTTTTCCACTTTCTTTAGATGTAATGGTGATGTTGAAGCATGAAAAAGGTATGCAAAGTTACAAAGCACACTCCAAAGGGAGTTACTCCATCTCTATATCAGCAAGCACTGTGATACTGAACTCCCCAAAACGAAGCGAGTTTTCTTCCGGGAAAATATATGTCACAATATTTCTCATTTAAATAATTCCCTCCCAGGCATAAGCAAAATAGGGAGCAAGGCCTGGTTAAGTTGTGCAAGCACTGTGTTGAAACTCATGGTTATGGTGAGGGGCGTGACATTTCTGGAACACGCTCGCAGCAGCTGACCAAATATAACACACTGGTACAGCTAACCAATCAGAGCATAATGCGCTCTGATTGAAAATAGAGGTTTCATAGAGCCTGGGACTAAACAGGGGTGTGTTTCCTCGCAAGTTCCATCATTATCAGCATAGTTCAACGAGTCAGTGTTTCCCCAAAATCATTGTTAAAATGTACTTTATTTGTGTGCTGGCAAAGCTGAATTTTCAGCAGCCATTACTCCAGTGTCACATGATCCTTCAGAAATCATTCTAATATGCTGATTTGGTGCTCAAGAATTATTACTTATTATAAAGATTGAAAAGAGTTGTTCTGCTTAATGTTTTTGTGTAAAACGTATTATATATATATATATATATTATTTTTTTTTTTTAAATTTTTAAGTACTGACCCCAAACATTTGAATGATAGTATAGGTGAGAAACTGACTTTATTGTTTCTAAGGACATTATTTCCTTTATAACTCACCCTTCGGCCAAGACGTGACGTGAAGTTGTGGAAGATGAGGTGAGGGTAGGCCTCGGACATGGTGCCAATGTCTGGAACATCATGTCTCATTACCACATTATACAATGTGAAGTAGGCTGTTGGCCCAAAAGGAAGATGGCATACCACCAAACCATCTAACGAAGAAAGAAACATGAATTGAAATGGAAAGTACCTAGAGTGAAAATTACACTTTAAACTGGATATGAAAGTACAGCTATTGGCATTCACAATACACCAAATGCTGACACACTTTGCACACATACTCAAATAAGCATATCCAAAATGGACACACATGAAAAGTATAAAAGTCCATACCTGGCTGGCCTCTGGTCTCATGGACAATGACAAGATCATTGACATTATTAGCTTTGCACGCATGTACTAATGTTTTAACTTCATGGTTTCCTCTGTTCATACGTTGGGCCCCTGGAAACATCAGCTTCATTTCCTGCAACAAAAAAAATAAAAAAAAAAAATCTATCTAAATAAACCACAACTAGATGGTTTCCCTTATGTCACAATGGTAAAATGAAAATACAAAACATCACATTAGAGAAGACGAAGTAAAACTTCTGCGTGGCTACAAGCATTCATAATGTCAGATGTGAATAATAAAAGTTAACAAACTTTGGCAAACATCTTGAGTCTGGAGCTGGGGTCTCTGGAAGTTGTGACCATAACTTTGGGGTCTTCCACTCCTGCCCACTTGTATTCATCATCCATATGAGAGCTAACACCTATATAATATCAAAAATTACGTTTATATATGGCAGCAGACCAAACAGGGTTCTGATATATGTGACAGAAAAAGATCACCTTCTCCACCCTCATCATCAAACTCCAACAGTTTTTGTAATTCTAAAGCCTCTTTCCGAACCTCAGTGGGTAAAATATGATTTTCTGCAAAAGATAAGAACAACATAAAACATGACATCATCCAAATATATCATATAAGGTGATTGAGTTGGTTATCTAGAAGGAGTCTCACCATCTAAAGCAGATTTGAGCTTGTGTTTTTTCTCTTCAATAGTGCGCAGTCTGTCCTCCTGGGCTTTCCTGTACAGGTATTCCTTTCTCAGTCTCACCTCTCGCCGCAACTACATCACAAAAAACAGTTCAGAAACAATATGAATTGTGAGGAATACACTGCTGAAAAGTTTGGGGTTGGTAAGTTGTTTGTAATGTTTTTAAAAGAAGTCTCATATGTTCACCAAACTGCATCAACTTGATCAAAATACAGTAAAACAGTCATATTCTAAAATATCAGTATAATTTAAAATAACTGTTTTCTATTTTAAAGTATTTTAAAATGTTATTCATTCATGTGATCATGACCAAGCTGAATTTTCAGGACCATTATTTTAGTCTTTAGTGTCACATGATTCTTCAGAATCATTCTAATATGCTGATTTCTGCTCAAGAAACATTATTATCAGTGTTGAAAGCAGTTGTGCTGCTTAATATTTTGTGGAAACTGTGATACAATTTTGCAGGATTCTTTGATTAATTGAAAGGTCAACATTTATTTAAAACATATTTTTTTCCCCTAATCTTTTATTTTAAATGTATTTAGTCGTTTTTAGACACCACATTAACATCCTTGTTAAAAAAAAATTAATTTCCTTTAAAAACAAACAAACTTACAGACCCCAAATTTACCTGCACAAGGCAAGTAGTAAGCAATGTAACATGGCAAGTGGTGCCCATATTCTCATGGACGAACCCTAAAAGTCGAAATTTAAGACTGCGTAAAGCACTCATTCTCATTCATTATCAAACCTAGACACTCAATTAACAAAACATTCGGAGAAACTGCTCAAAATATTAACAAACAATTGTACAGTTCTGCAAGGGATTTTTTCTGACTGGATGGGAGGGGGGATCGCACTGTTAATGTGTGTTCATCCATCCATCCCATTTCAATTAATTATGGAGCTTGCTTTGATCACACTAACGTTACAACACAAACAGGAAGACAACGACTAGTTCGATAAACTACTGTTCTATGTAGCGCGTTAAAAGATTTACAAGCTAACGTCAAATACGTTGAACAAATTTGAGAATATTACATGTATAATATGTTGTACTTACCATTTTGAACAACTACACGTGACAATTCAGCCTTACGGTCTTCTATCACGACTTCCTGTTGGACAACGCGCTCATCCAATCATTGACAACGAACATTAGTGACGCGATCTTTCAAAATAAAAGTTCAGACCTGTGGCGGCCCTGTGTCATGTCAAATCGTCAAATCGTCAAATCGCGTCCTCCCTTAAAATCAGTTCTCCCCAAACTGTTATTATCCTAAGTATATACGAATGATATTATTTTAAAATACGCATAGCTTATTATTTAATACGTACGAAAATACATTAGTGCACATTAAAACCAATATCTTCAGCGGGTTTTCAGGGGTTCTCTTCTTTGCGGTTGTCATGGCACCACTAACGTTACCATTTAAAGAACCTGTTAAGCCCAGTTTGGTTCTTCAGCGGTTCCTCAGTGGTTATCTGTGGTTAACACGCTCTATGGCACCTCTTGGTTCTACACAGCACCATATGACAAAGATAAGTGTGGTTCCCCTACCATTACAAGCCAATGAACCACTTTTAGTGCTATTTAGCACCATTTGTTTTTAGAGTGTAGGTGCAGTTGAGACACTTTAAATAACTTACGCGCGCAGCAAGCACAAGTTGTGATTTTTGATCGTGGGAAATTTGATCAATGGACGCATCTCCGATCCGAAGATATCGGCAAAAGTTTTTTTTTTCCTAAGGTAAGACTTTCACTTCACCATGTACACTCCACAGTGAATAGCTTGTTATTCTTATGTGACTGTTAAACTTAACTGGTATCATCACAAACGTTATTCTGGCCCTAAAAAACTGTCATATTTCATGCGATTGTGTCATTTCAAAATATAGAGAAATGTGCAAGGTGGCCAGCGGGGTATGGTTGAGACCATATAGACTGTAAAAAGTCGTAATTAGCCAGCATAAGAAGCAAATTAAATTAAATAAGATATTTGTGATAATTAAACTGTGTATAATTAATGAATACATAAAATATATTTCTGTTTTATACATTTTAACCAGTGCTATAATTTAAATAAAATTAATGAATCTAAATGGATTAATAAACAAACATGTTGCCCAATTGTTATTTTATTTATGTGTCTTTATGAACGATTAGTTACCTTTACATAATTAAAAATAGGTGTCTATAAAAAGCACCTTATTTTTATGAGCTAATTGTGGAAAATATAAACTACTATGGGTATTATTGATTGATAATATTTTAGTCTACAAGCTAATGAAATGTCTTGTGGCTTGTCATGGAAATTCGCTTCTTTTCAGTATCTATTTTTGTGTGAAAAATCAAGATGCAAAAAGTTTCTCAACTGTACTCAGTCTACCATTTTAACACATTAAACAGTTTCAACTGCAATAATATTTCACAATATTACTGTCATTACTACATTTTTGGTCAAAGAAATGCAACCGTGGTGGGGATTAGGAGCATGAGATGTGTAAACAAATGTTACCAGCCCCAAATGTTGTAAATGAAAGTGGATAGAAACAATTAAAGAATTTAATATAATGGATAAATAGTGCAAATATGTTCAAAAGAGGGCAAGTTTACAATAGAATGTGAAACAGTTTATGAAATTGTTTCTGAAATGATTCACTGATGACCAGCCTGATCTCTGCTGATATCTGTGTTAGTAAAAGGCATGTTCCCTTTCTAAATGCGTGTGCATGGCAAGTTATTTCCTGTATGTGTTTCCTCTTCTACAACATTTAAGACCAGTAGCCTTAGAGACTCAAAGCACTGTCTGTTTGTTTTCAGCCATGATGAATCTAATAACAGCCTTTCTGCTAATGATCCTAATAGGTAAGGTGAATACACACATTAACACACGAGCCAGATTTTATACCTGACAAACTCAACTACCATCTCACACAGTGACAGGACAAACATATATCTTTCTCCACAGGACACAGCACATCTGACTATACACTCGTCTGCCCCTATGAGAATACGAATATATCTCAGAACAGAAGGGTGTGGTGCAAAAGAGACGTCCAGGATGAAAACTGCTGTACCGGCTTCTCATTCCGGCCAGGCACCAGTAGTTTGGAGGAAGGCATAGAAGTGCAAGATGATGGAAAGTCTTTTACCATCTCCATAAAGACACTCACACATGGAGATGGAGTCTACTGGTGTGGGTTCATGACTGCAGACCAGATCATTGTTAAACTGGCCGAGGATTACTTTGGTAAGATGAAATGCTACTTCTCTATTTCCGTGATAGACAGCAGTATACTTTCAGCATTTAACATTTCTAATATATCTAATACTAAAAAATCATATGCAATGATAGTTTATTAATCTATGTTACAGCCCAATTTAACTTTGTTTGGTCCATTCTCCGTTGGATTTTATTTCTTTTGCTTCCTTTGATGACCATCTCATTTCACATATATTCAAACAGTGAGTGCTCACACAAACCACCTTCACGTTTTACTGAAAAACACTTAAAACATTGAATTTTTTATTTTTATTTGTTTACATATTCTGTTTTTTCTGACCATAGGGAAACATGGAGATGCAAAGGTAAGAGCGCGCTGTAAAAACTTAAGTTCAGTCTTAATCAAATTAAAGTAAATTATATTAAACTGACTAAATCTCTAACTTAAAAAAAATAAAAATAAAAATTGTTGTCATGACTTATTGGTCAATTCAATAAAATGTTTTTAATTGAAACCTTACATTTTACAGACAACATAAATACAATGAAGTCTGATGCCTAAGAAAGGAGGCGTAAGGACGAGGCAGTCACATTTAATGAAGAATAAAGAAAATATGGTTGAACATGACCTAAGCCGTCAGCTGTAAATGAACAATTTCTATTGTTGTTATTCTTTCTAAATAAGTGTTTTTTTTTTACAGAAAAGTTCACAATGGCAGCATGACTATATTCAACCCCAATATTTAAAATGAAAATAAGTTATAATTGTGTTCTGTTTATGTAAATTCATATAATAAGTAAAGAACATTTGCTATTGCATTTATCATTCATTTAAAAGTTATGGTTGTTTTGTTCTAGTTACTGTTGTTGTTTAAAACTGTTTTGTGATGTTTTCCTCCTTTTAATAATATTCTAGAGCTTAGAAATCATATTTCTTAATATACTGTATAAAAAACAAAAGTCATTGCCACATTGTGTAACATATAAAGCATCAATTAACAATTTCTAACACAATTTTGATGTAAGAATATATAATAAACATTGTCTATATCAGTGAGTCGACCAAAGTGCCGTCTTTACTAACTTACTTTGATTATTAACTTAAAAACAAGTGAAATTTACAATACAGCCATGCTGAAAATATAAGAAAAAACTGACCCAGTAACATTGCAAATATATTACAGTCTTTTTGTATTGAATTCATTTTCAAGCAACAGCACAGTTTCAACCAATCATGATTTCATTGAAAATTAGGAAAAACAAATAAAAAGAAAAAAACAATGTCAAATGACATATACCTCACAGTTCTTTCTTGCAATTTACCATCATAAAACGATAAGGTAGACAAAAACAATGGAGTGCAAAAATAAGTGATAGAATTAAGAAGTTAAAGTAAAACACAAGTTTGCATAATGACACAGTAGATAGATCTCATTGCACACTCATTATTGGTCTATTTGAGTTCTTTAAAGTCAGTTGTTGCATTTCACCATGGCTTCCTTTAAGGCATTTCCTGATTTAAAGAGTGTGAGAAATAGTTATGCCTGATTTCGTAACTACTCCGTATCATAAGAGTGATCATTTACTGACCTTAAATCCTTTACATTCCTAAAATATTTTTTCTTTATATATTTTGGGTAAACAAATAATCCTATCATGAAGTACAGTATATTGATTTCAAACACTAAACACACAGCAAAATTACACAAAGCCAAGCTCTCAGAACATCTATTGAGCATAAATACCAATTCATACACAACTACAAGGCAACTAATAAAGCAGTCAAATCAATGAAAACCATAAGTTGGTTCACATACGCGATGATGAAAATATTGCCACCATAAAAAAGCAAAGCATGTAAACGTTCAGAAAGCGCAATGTTATGAGTGAGTGGAAATTGTCCATTTCAATCTGAAAAACAACGTACAAAGGACACATTGCATGCAAGTTGTAGCAATTTTGCATGGCTTCTCCACTTATTGCAGTTTGAGCCCAAAGAGTGTGAACTCTGCCAGCCCTTCCAACCTCTCAAGGCCTGGAAGGTGGATTGGGAAGTGTTTGTGGCAAGTGGAAAAGCAGTCTTAAGTGTTTCTTAACTTGTCAGTCATGAGTGGGCTGCTAAAGAAAGCTTTTTGTTTTTGTGGTTTATGATGGGAACTCTTTCAAGCTTGTGATACCAATGCACTAACATTGCTTCAGCAGAGAGAGCGCGTTACAGCTCCTCATAGTCACCCTCTTCTCTTTTTGCTAAGCTTTCTGCTCCGGCCAGAAAAGCTTCAAGATCATCAGTTTTCTTGCTTCGTGACTTCCTCTTTTTCTTCTCTTTTTCATCTGCGGTCCCAGCTGCTTCATCTCTTTCCTTTTTCTTGTGCTTGTGTTTCTTCTTGCTACTTTTGTCATCATCCTACGTGAAATACGAAACAGTTATAAAACAACAGTAATATAGTTTCATTAATGAAATGTTTAATTGAATATAATTCACCTCTTTACTCCTTTTTTTCTTTTTCTTCTTATCCTTGGAATGTTTGCTTTCTTTTTCTATGAGAATAAAAATACAAAAACAAATTTTAGTCATATTCACTTGTATGTATGTATGTGTATATATATATATATATATTTACAGACAACCAAAAACATACATTTTTATATTTTTATTATACTTCTATATATATATATAGAAAATTTTGTGTTTACATAATGTGTTGTATAGTGTGTATAATTAATTTGTATTTATAAATACACACACATGCATGTATATATTTAAGAAAAATATGTTATTAATATATCAAATATTTATATATAATATTAAATTATGTATAAATATATATAAAGTATATACAAGCAAATATTTCTTAAATATATACATGCATGTGCGTGTATTTATATATACAAAATAACTATACACAGCAGCACACACACACATATATTATGTAAACACAAAGTTTTATTTGGATGCGATTAATCATTACCCAGCCCTAAATATATATATTTCTATGCTATTATATTTTATACATAAAGTTTCTTTCCGATAACAAAATTATTCCGGTGACTTGCCATCTTGCTCATCGCTACTGTCTTTGCTTATGATCGACTTCTCCTCGATTCCTAGGCCAAAGAGGTCACCGTCATTCTTGCTTTTGAAGGAGAGTACAGTAGGTTTCATGGGCTCAGGGATTTTAGCTGTGTTAAAATCATCATCAGATATATCAGGAATATCATCTCTAACTGGGAAAGAGTCCTAGAAAAAGCAAGACAACAAAGTCTTTTCAAGTTATTCAAACCTTAAATTTGTAAATTATCCAGACAAGTCATTAAAACAATGGCCATTATCATCATAATTTTAGTACCTGAACAACTTTCTGCATGACTTCTTCCTCGCTCTCAAAGTCAGGATCGTCCATGACAAATGAAAGCATCTGTTTGGCCACAGGCACGTCTGGGTCTGTGTCAGAGGACTCTGCCTGAGCCGATCTCTCTTTATGTTTAATGACCCGTGCTTGAGGATCAGCCAGGGCTGCTGCGTCTGACGCTGTCTGCAGCTGTTGAGTAGTGTGTACTGGAGTGGGACTGAGAATGGAAGTCTCTATGTTCTGACTGCAAACAGTCTCCTGGGTCTGGATCACTGGCTCTTTGTGGATAGGCTTTGGTTTGTCCTCTAGCGTTAATGCATCCATAGCCACCCTGAACAACCATATTATTGTTAATATTATTAAGAATTAACAGTCTTTGATTCAGGTGACAAACTCATTGCCCACAACACAAACACAATTCATAGCTTATTTGAGCTATTATTTACTAGTTCATTAACGTATCTTGAATCTAGTCTATCATTAAAGACCTGGGGCCGGTTTCACAAAAGATAGACTTTGACTATGGCTTAGAATAGATATTGTAACTGTTAGATAGACAGATTTCAGATAGACATCTAAATCAGACCGTTGCACACTTTTACAGTCTATGGTTGCACAGAGCACAGAGACTCCGACTATCTTAACTAGGACTACATTGCAATGCATTCTGGGTAAAATAAGACACGTTAAAAAAACAAAAACATGGCGGATCGAGTATGCGCATCCAACCCACAGACAGATCCAACTGCTCAGTGCAGTTTACCCCAGCGCAAAATATGTGTTTGTTGGCATTTTACTGGTGAAATTTAGCGGAAAATTTAGTAACAATAAGAAATGTTTCATTTGAGATTGCTCCGACAGTTAACAACGTTAATCCGACCGTTAAAGATGCACAGAAAAGATACAAAACATGGTACAAGTTATGTGGTCCCTAAAAACATTTTCCCTTCTTCTCATAGTCTCGATAACGTCGTCAGCCAACCACAAATTATGAGCCATTTTCCCTTATCGTTTAGCTGTTTGTTTAAAGTAGCCTAACTGATTGTTTCTGCTGGTTTGCCAAGGTAGCAGAGTCTTAAGTTAGACTGGGGGTTAAGGTGTCTATTTTTTTGGGTCTAAATTAAGTCAGACTTTATTTTTTTTAAACTTACATTAGACAAGTCTAGCTAATTTTAGACTTGTCTAACACCATAGACCGGTCTAAAATAGCTTTGTGAAACCGGCCCCTGTTCACATCAGTGATGACTATAAACTATAAAAAGAACTATATTAGCAACCACACCAGCTCTCGAGCTCTTTAAAGCAGGGTGGATTCTGATTGGCTGTTTTTATCATTCACCAGCGGGAAAAAATCATTCCGAAAATTCCAATGATATAGATAATGTTTTAATTGTGGTGTGGACCTGATCTCATAGAAGCGATTATTAAAACTTTATAATTACTGTTATAGTTAACAGCCTTGGTGTGAAGATGTTTCAATGAAAGGAAGGAATTCAAGCTTACAGGTGAGGTTCAGCAGGTTTTGGACCCTCCTCATCACTGGAGAGAGATATATTCAAGCCTTTACTGACAATAGAAGCTCTGGGTTCAAGTTCTGCATCATCAAGGTCCAAATCATCCTGGAACCCAGCAACCATGGGGTTCCCTTCTCTTCCTTCCCCATCACTAAGAAAAACATGTTACAAGAATGGATGCAAATTAAAACTTGTTTTGTACTGAAAATCAGCTACAATGTCTCTCAGATTATTGAACAGATGAAACCACTAGCTCAGTTCATTTACAAGTAAAAGTACACTTCCAAGCAAAAAATTGGGTTCAGTATGATTTTTTTTAAAGAAATTAATAATAATGCATTCAGCAAGGATGAATTAAATTCAAAAGTGAATTTCAAAAGTGATCAAAAGTGACAGTAAAGACATTAATAATGTTAGAATAGATTTCAAATAAATGCAGTTTCTTTGAATCATATAATCAAAGTTTTCAATCAAAATAAATCTTGAGCACCAAATCAGCTTATTATATTATATTATATTATATTATAAGGATCACGTGACAGTGAATACTGGAGTCTGGATTTATCATAGTAGATAAATAAATTAAATTTGAAAATACATTAAAATAGAAACCAGTTATCTTAAAATGTAATAATATTTTTACAATATAGCTATTTTATCAAATGAATGCAGCCTTTGTGAGCATAATAGACTTCTTTCAAAAAAATTCTAAAAATCATCCCGATACCAAACATTTGAACAGTAGTGTACACTGATTACAATACATTTTCAAATGACAAACAAAATAACATATCATCACAAAATTAAAAAAAGGCCTCTGTTATCTCCCCTTGGTGTACCTGTCACTATCTGCAGTGCCCGCAGCAGAGGTCTGGGTGTTCATAGCCGGTCTTGTGTTAGGAGGCAGACTGTCTTCCAAGAAGCTTTTGTCTAGTCCCTCGTCCGGCACAAAATCATCCACGCTCCGAACCGTAGGGAGAGTCGCTGCAGATACTGGATCTGGCTCTGTGGAAATCCAAGAAGCGTGAGGTCACATGATCTGGGGCAAAAACATCTTACATTAAAAATATATAAACAGCAACCATTACAATGAGTTCCAAACAAGAAGAATGGTGAATGAATGGCAAAAAAATTGTGATATATTGATATGCATTTCACTAAATAACTACTGCTTAATACCCAAGCTCCTTTAGGTGGGGTAAACCCTCTCCATAGCTCAAGAATGCACAAAGTCTTGTGATTTTCTATTGATCCACAAAACATCCTTATGATCTGCACGAGTCCTAATCCTCCCCATTTTTCACGGCTTTGTGGGTCTCGCTCGAGGAAACTGCCTCTGAGAGAGGATGTGTGTGTGTGTGTGTGTATGTGAATGAATTCCTCTCAGCCTTCAAATCCCTTGTTCAGTTCATAGCATTAGGGCAGTTCTTTAACAATGAGTCACTGAGACACTGAACATTTGAAAATGAAAGAAATAAAAGCTGTTTTTAGTGCCATTAAAAGCTTAGCGTTTCTAACATGTGTATTTTCTAATACAATAAGCACATGCAGCTAGAAGCACCATGCTCAAACTCACCCTGGGCGACTGCTGGAGGTTCCTGGGCAGGAGAGGAACCAAAGAGCCTGGAGATGAAGCTGCGTTTCTGGGTTTGAGGAGCAGAGGCAGAAGCCTGAGCTGGAGCAGAGACCGTCGGGCCAGGGTGAGCAGCAGAAGGGGAGGGAGGGAGAGAGGTCACAGGCGCTGGGGTTGAGGAGAGAGGGGGGAGGAGGAGGAGACGGAGAAGGAGATGGAGACTTCAGGATCTGGGAAGGAATGGGAGGCTGTTGGGGGCTACAGGGGCTGGAGCTGCTAGTGGAGCATCCGCTCTGAGGAACGACGGGAGACTGCGTGCCTGAGGAAGGGCTCTGTCCGTTAGCAGGACCGGGAGAGTTGTAGCCTTTACTACGAGAGTCTTTCATTTCCAGGAAACTGAAAGTTATAACAGACACTGACTGTATCATAATAGTCAGATACCACTCACTGCAGTTCACAAACCTATTTTTACAAATTTTTTAAAAGTCTATTATGTTTAGCTCTTAATAAAGTCATATTTTTAAATATTTTTACAATTTAAAATAACTGTTTTCCATTTTTAAAAAATTAAAAAAAAACATCTAACTGTCACCCCCCCTTTTTTGAATAGACATGGAAATGCACATTTCAAACTTAAATGGTTGTAATTCAAGAATGCTTTGGAATATAGACGTAAAATCGGTCTTGTTTTAAAGAAGACATTTGGCAGATTTTTGTCGAAGTGAAATAAATTAAGAAAGTGCAACAGAAAAAAAAGTTATAGAAGTTTGAATTTATGGAAATGTATAATGTAAAAAACAAATTAATCATTCATATTTAATATAAAATATATATTTTCAAAACCTGGGATACTCTAAAACTGCAGAAAAATCAAAGCCAAAAATCTGAACTAGTTGTGTTTAAAATTTTAGGTTGATATCTCAAAAAATTAGCTTTCTGTGAGATTTTGTTTAGGCGCAGTACTGAACTTTTTAACTAGGGCACAACCAGAAGACTCCATCACTGCCCATATAAGGGTGCCTCCATTTCCATATGTGTTTGAGTGATCTGAACCATCCTTTACACAATTTCCATACAATTTATGAAGTAGAGATCCTATTCAGAAGTAGTATGGGAAGTTTGGCAGATTTTGATATGAATTCAAGCTCTAAGAAACACATACAAAGAACACGCATGTGCGTTATACCTTCCTGCCACATCACAAATGGTGATTTTTTAAAAAAAAATGTATTAATATTTAAAAGTTTTTCAGACCTTTTTTCTAAAATAATTGAATCGATGCAATCTTTTGAAGTCTTGGCATGAAAACAAACAGAGATTTCTACCTGTTTTTCATGACTTTTCATGTTTATCACTATTTCAAAATAAAGGTCTGAACACGCTTTATGAGTATGAAAATATTCTTGTTGCAAATTGATAAATTACGGCTCCTGTGTAATTTATTTTGAAAAACTACAGATTGTAAGCTTTCAAATGATATATAGTTTGTCAATATTACTTAAGGTCTTTTCTAAGATATTATTGTTTTAAAAAATGTAATGGCAAGCGTCCCACCTGTGGGACTTGACAGTTAAGGGGTTAATTTATTCCTGCAATGCAAAGCTCAAAGAATTTCAGTGTCACATGATCATTCAGAAACCACTAACATGCTGATTTGCGGCTTAAGGAACATTTCTTATTATTAATGTTAAAAACATTTAAAGGATTCTTTTGAATAGTAGTGTAGTTGCTGATATTTGAATTGGAATCATGTTTTGACTGTCCAGGAGGTGAAATTAAACTACAGGAAGTTTGTGTGGCATTTTTAGTTCTTACATATCATAGTTCTGGTCTTCTGTCTCCTGCTGAACTGTTAGCTCCTCTAGCGTGGCATCGATGTCCAGCTGATTGGTCTCTAGCTGCCGTAACAGGGTCTCTCTCTGTGAAAATTAAAACGAAAGATACCTTTACTACTTCATTTAAAGATGTAACAACTAGTGTAATGAGAAAAGTAACTGCGATACAGGCAAACATGCATAGAAATATTTCTGCCAGGCACATGACACAGCTTAATATTAACAATTACAAATGACCAGAAACTTTTGACTCAGGTTGAGTTTTTTATTTGATTAAACCTTTAGCCTTGAAGCAATATTCTAGCCGAGAACATTAACTTGCTTACCTGAAGCTGCAAAAATGGAATGTTGAAAAATCTGTGCAAATATTTCAAACCAAAACCATTCTTCATGGAAGATTCAGCATAATGGATGTAAGAGGAGCCACGAGGTCTACAAAATCATAAAGACAGCAAACATCAATAAAGCTCACAGAGAATAAGTCATTAAACACTCAAAAAACTAATTTGTGAACATACTCCATGATTTCCAATCCTAAATTTGACAATCTGCAGAGAACTGATTATCTCCAGACATTTTAATTTAAATGAATAAATTGTTTGTCATAAGACCAAGAATGTATGTTAAGTCAGTAAAAAGTGTCATTGAACATGTTTATGTTGACTGATCTAACCTGTTAAGCCCAGCGATGAAGTCACGAATGTTATCAGGCAAAATGACTCTGTGTTCTCCCATGTCCCGGTAATTTCCCAAAACGCACACTGGCACATGAGTGGGTACCTTGGGCAACTCCCGCATAATGTAATTATAAGTCCTATCGGTGCAAACAAAGCACACATTTTGTATAACAAAGAAGAGCTGTGAGTTCTGCATGATGGAGAAGCAGTCTCTGGAGATGCCGATAGTCTTTGTTCACCTACCACTGTTTGGTGATGTCAAACATCAATACCACACCATTGCAGTTCTTATACACGTCCAAAAACTCAGCATCCAAGGCCAGTTCACTCTCCGTCTGCTAACAGCACAAGAGACATTTCCAGGTAAACATTCAAATTCTCCACTATTAGTCATTTTTAACTTCATTTTTAAGATTATTACTATAAATTTACCTCTTGAGGTTCATTTTCCAACTTCAAGTTTTCACCTCTCTTTTTCCCCTTTCCTGTAGATTGTCAGTGGCAGAATATTTTAACACTGCCATTCAATCCTTTGGGGTCAGTAAGTTTTGTTTTTTTGAAAGAAAGTAATACTTTTATTCAGCAAGGTGCATTAAATTGATCAAAAGTGACAGTAAAGACATTTATAATTGCTATTTCAATAAATGCAATTCTTATGGTTCATCGTGCTTTCCCTAAAAAATATTAAGCAGCAAAACTGTTTTCAATACTGATTTAAAAAAAAAGTTTCTTGAGCCTCAAAATCAGCATATTAGAAACATTTCTGGAGGATCACGTGACACTGAAGACTAGAGTAATGATGCTGAAAATTCAGCTCCATCACAGGACTAAATTTCATTAATATATATATATATATATATATATATGTTAAAATAGAAAACAGTTATTTTAAATTTGTAATAATATTTCACAATATAACCATTTTTACTGTTTTATTTATCAAATGCAGCCTTGGTGAGCATATGAGACTTCTTTCAAAAACATAAAGAAATCTTACAGACCCCAAAATGGATGCATGTATGCATGTCAAATTAGTTGAAAACAACTTCCATTACCTTTAAGAGCATATAAAATAGATAACAAAATGTGGCTTTTTCCTTTCTCACAAAGGAAGTGACAGAAGCAAGAGTTGGTTTTCTGCGGTCTCTAGTTGTCACCCTAGACATCATTATGATCTGTTTTTTACTCTTCTTGTCTAAAAGTGCATGTTAGACTAGATACAGTTATAGTTCTGCCACAATGCAGTCAGTGAAAAGTCAGTCAATACAAAATGTTTGCACTCGGTTAACAGAACAAACAGATCAAGCACAGGCAAGTCACAGCCTAATGTCTACAATCCATTGAGTTTCTCACCTACACCTTCAGGAAGAGGGATTTTTTGGCCTGGTTGGACAGCAAGTAAGAAAAATACCATTAATATAAATGACTGGGGATGAAGGAGGGCTGGGTGAAATGGCTTCATGAATGACCATCAGAATGAGATGGAGGATGTGACATGCAGAACCTGTACACTAAACTTTAAAAGGCATAATAAAATGCATAATGGTTGGAATACACTACATGATTTTAAATCTCAACAGATCGCCCAAAATAGACTTAGTAAATGTTTACAGAGAAAAACTGGGCATCATACACTAAACAGAGGGTCACACTACCAGACTTTAAATTAATTAAAACTTAGAAAAAATTTGTTCTAAAACTGGCTCACACATGCTTGAAGTTGATATCCTTCAAATGAATGGAAGTATATATAGATTCTGCGTCCATCACACTACGAGATTGTCTGTGAAATCTGTGAACGTTGACTGTACAATATCTGATAAATCAGGGCCAAACTATAAACTACACTGTAGTGTATTCCAGCCTTAAAGGGATACTCCACTTTTTTTGGAAATAGGCTCATTTTACAACTCCCCCAGAGTTAAACAGTTGAGTTTTACCGTTTTCGAATCCATTCAGCCGATGTTCTAATATTTAGAAGAATAACAGTAACCAGACAGTTTCTGGTCTCATTGACTTCCATAGTATATTTTTTTCCTACTATGGAAGTCAATGAGACCAGAAACTAAGTCAATGAGACCAGAAACTGTCGTGTTACTGATATTCTTCTAAATATCAGAAAATCGGCTGAATGGATTTGAAAACGGTAAAACTCAACTGTTTAACCTTGGGGGAGTTGTAAAATGAGCCTATTTTCAAAAAAAGTGGAGTATCCCTTTAAGATAAATATGACAGTAGCGTCTACAAAGTCACCTGATCAGAATGCTAAGGGAAATGACTTGAAACAGGCTGGTGACAACTCACCTTTATCCACCACATCCCAGACCTCCACCTTCACCACATCATCAGTAGCTGAGAGGAAATGACAAAAACATTTGAGCGGTTCTAGAAAACTGAGGTCACTTCTTTGCATTCATTTCAATACATTTATTCTGCATTGATTCTAAGTTACAGAAGTCAAAATACTAATTTCACAGCATTCATTTTTTTTTTTAAATAATAATTTTTATTTTAAAATTGTACCTTTCCAAAATTACTTAAATATTTCAATAAATAAATATTTCAAATAGATATAAATAATTATATAAATGCAGAATTTTTGTGGTGCTAAAACCTTGAATAACATTATAAGATTGCTTCAGGAAAACAATACCATAAATTAATATAATATACAATTATATATAACATTGTTCTTTTCAGAAAGAATGTAAATGTAAATGTTAAAGAACAGGGAATAGAAAGTAAGCGTTTGGCACTTCAAGTAAAATGTTGAATACAAGTAGAGCCATGCCCGTTATCAGATGAAGGAGACTACTCACTGTAAATAACCACTAATAGGTTCCACCACGTAATGTGGAGCTGAAAGTTTATGAAAGAGGATGTACTTAAATAGAAATCTCTAGAAATCACTAGAAAACATCTAATGTTCGAGTCAGGCCATTTAAAGCCATCAATCTAATCTACTTATCCACTAGCTGATAGACAGCATATTTACCTTGATGTAAATCTATTTTGCATAATTAAGATGCACAAATGGAAAGAAATAAAAATCATTAGATAATTAGGTCATATCTTTCAAACAAAAGTGTAATAGAAACTTCCTACACACTCTTAAAAGTTAAGTTTTTTTTTCTGCAGTGATGCCATTGAAGAGGCATTTGGTTCTCCAAAAAACTTTTAGTGAACCATTTTTTGGTATGTAACCATCAATCCCACTAATGATTTTTAAGTGTGCAAGTAGAAAGATTTCAATAACACTAAAATGACAGAAGCTTTGATTCCCATTAAAAACATCAAGCTTACTTTTATAACTCCAGTGGATACTAGTGACCTGGATCTCTTGAGTTGGAATGTACTCTTCCTGGAATTTCTTACCCTGCAGCCGGTGCCACAGGGTGCTTTTTCCTGTGTTTCTATCTCCTCGAATGACTATCTTCACTGAAAGACCACACATAACATGTTAGAGCTTGTGATAACAACATTATCCCAAGCACACAGCGCCCAGGGGCTCCAGCAACGCAGGCTTGATTTGTTGTGACATGCTGTGTGTGTTACAATTTAGTCAAATAGTATGCGGAATATGCATCGAAAACCCTTTAAATTTAGCAAAGAAACAACAAAACAATCAATCTCAAATTTGAATGAACTATCATTCATTATACATTTTGGCAGGCATTTGACTTACTGTTGTACTGAACCCCTTTAGCAAATTTTCTCTGCAGACTCTGGTTCATGGACTGTAGTCCAGCAGGGATGTTCTTGTCCTTCACCTGACCAGCCGGCTCAGAGCCGACAAGCTTCTTCAGAGCGGAGAACATCTTGACCAAACTATGCCTCTAGATGGGTATTATAAATATTAAATACTCTTTTCTCAAACTGGCCTCTATGACGCCCCCAAATTGTCTGTCTGTGGGTGCACAGTGTTCTTGCAATGCTCATAAAGCATTTCTACATTCGTTTGAGAGGTGGATGAGTCCTGCACCGGCACAGCATAACATCTACGAATAAATTCAGATCTTCATCTCTGGATCCTTTTCCACAGAATGACAGTTTTTGCAGTCCAGCATCACAGGATTATCATTCAAGTGTTGAATCTGCTTCTAATACAATATAAAGAAGAAGAAAAAAATAAATAACGAGATGAGTTGAATGAGCTTATATCAAGACCTGGAGCTGCAGACAAAAAGCATCGTTCATTGATTAATATGTTGTAATGCACTGCAGTAACTCTAATTTGCAGGGATGCCAGGATTTGTGTCTCAAAACCTAGTAAGCTGTCTGCATAGACAATCCGTTCTTGGGACACCATAAGTGTGTGTCCAGAAAAGCTGTCTAGGTAGGCAGCTCGCTAAGATTTAATACACAACCTGACACTGCGACTTCTACTACAAACAAACGTGATATTTATATAATAGAAAAGAGAGAAGCACCCAAAAAACAAACACAAATTGCATAGGAAATAATAGACTATTGTGGATAGCTGTTGTGTCAGATTTTTGACAGATGCCTGTATAGTACTAGCCTGCTAACGCGGAACTAACTGTATATTTGACAGATTTGTATCAGATTTGTGATGCTCTTGTACTTACAGTGGTATTGCCGTCTATAACTAGAGCAACTGAATGATTAGATCCAACATTCAACATCATACATTTCTGACCAACTGTGCAGTGTGACCATCTTATAACCTTTACAGCCTATGAATAATGAAATCATTGAAATTCTGCTCTGTATATTTGTGAAGTACGCTGCCGTGGGTAGGGTTATCTATGGTCACGGTAAATACATTTCAAAATAAAAGTCTCATCATTGAAAACCAAGAGACATCGATGCCATGGCAAAATACATCTAAAAAAATGTTTTATATATATATATATATATATATTACAAAAATAATTATACATTATTAATTATAGCAGTATTTGCTACTCTGACTTGGAAAAAATATGTATTATATTAATCAGGGTGGAGGCCATGAAAGAAAATTTCATAATAGGCTTCATTTTTGATTTGGGTCTTAAAATGGCAATCTACACATGAGATTTAGACCTTGAGTCTGTAATAAAAGTTGATTGATTGAGTGAAACTTTCATTCATTAAATTCAATCTATGAAGTAAATATTGTGTTACACAACAATTTTAAAGTGACAAAGTAACATGTGGCTTTAAACTACATGCAACCCATGTGATACAATGAACATTTTATCTCGAGTGTGAGATACTGTCTTCTCAACATCCCAATGAAGCCACACATTTTTAAAATATTTGTAATATTTATTTTATATTTGTTAATCTAAAATGGTAGCAACTGCAGCTTCACATACAAAGACATGTTCGATTTAAAAATATATATGAGTATTAAATCTCTAAGTAAAAAAAAAAACTACATTGATATGTTCTGATTCTTGTTAACATGAACTTTAAACAACAATCAAATCAATGGCAACAATCAAACAGAAATCAGTGTATAACAAGAAAATCAAATCAAAGACAATTATAACAATAGAATTCATATTCATTTCAGCCCATTAATCTCTTGCATTCAGCGGTGGACTCAGTACCCAGTGTTCTTAATGGTGATGCTTTGAGCTGAGCCAATCTTATAGTCATTGATACCTGAGGAGAGAAGCACAGCATTGCAGATAAAAGTCATTATAAAAGAGAGATTGAAACTACAAAACAGTCAGAGACATACACCTAATTTTGTTTAAAATGCATCTATTTTTTTCTCACCCTGTGTCAGAGAGGTGCCATCTGAGGAGACCTGCCAGTATCTACGATCAGTCTGACGTGCTTGTTCTTCATTGACCACACTGAGGAAGGGGCCCCACAAGCTGTTCTCTGTGCTAAAGCTGTGATGCAGAGAGCAAAATGGTTGGTCGCAAACAAAACCCATAAAAATTTGTTGTAATTAATACAGTAAAAAGCAAATACATTTTTGACTATATTGTTTTGACAACATATTTCAAATAAAGCATCTCACGTGAAACCAGTTTGTTTGTCTTGGAGAAGGTTGAGGGCTTCAAAAAGCGAGGAGCCTCTGAGCACATTGATGGAAAATACTGATGACGCACCATTTGATTTAATAACCTCCACCTTTAGAGACACTTCTCTGAGACTTGGAAGAACTTCCGAAGTGGAATCCGCATCAACAGTAAGAGTGTCTAAATCAGGAACATTGAACCAGGAGAAAACACACACAGAAAATAAAGAGATAAAGTTAAATTAAAATTCTGTACTAAAACTTAATAGTTAATATTAAACTGATAAAAATGAAATACAAATGTTGTATATAATATATAACATTGAAATACTCTTCTATAATATAAGATTAAATACACATTATTCATTTTGTGATAAAAAAAAATATCATATTTTTGGATATAACTTTAAAATGTATTTTTTCAAAAATATTTTTATATAAATAAATAAATAAAATAATAATATTCAAATAATAATTTTTATTTAGGGAAAAAAGGAAAAAATAAAGTTTAAATTTACATGCAAAAATCTGTCATTTTTAATCACAAAATGTGTTTATTTCTCATGTTAAACAAAGTATTTTAGAGTATTTCAATGTTATACATTATATACAAAATGTGTTTTTAAGATGGCACCTCCCTGAATCTTTGGAAAATTAACCGTAGGCCAGTAAACACAATTCTGCCGATTGATACTTCACTGAGCTTGCATGTCTGATGAACATACCATCCTCATTGTGGCATTCTTTGCTCTTCAGATTAAGATAGGATTGTTGGTTCAGGGCAGGCAGGACTTGGGAGACTGCCATAGGGTTATGGTATGTTCCTTTCTTAACATCTGCCCTTAAAGCCTCCAAAGCAGAGGCACATTCTTCCATCTGACTGCCCATAGCCAACAATGCCTGTGAGACGGAGAACCATGAGAACCTGCCACTCAAATAAGGCTACAGTATTTCAAGAAGGCAAATATTTAATATCATTATTCTTACCTGTGCTGCCAATCCCGTGCTGAACTCGTTGCCCATGTGACCATCAGCTCTCTTAGAGTCAAGAAGCCTCTGCTTAATGGAGGCAAGAGCCTTGTCCAGCTCTGCAGTATCTTTCACAGCCGTTTCCTCGTTTTTCAGACACTGCAAGGCCATGCCTGCCATCGCATACGAGTCTGAAGGGTGATTTGAATGGTTAGAGACCTCAACACATGTCAATATATTTCCTTAAATCTAACCAAAAGGAAAATAAATAACAGTGTCCAATATATTATGCATGACGTTCCAAAATCAGATGACTTTCTTCTGTGGAACACAAAAGAAATATTCTGACTGTTTGGGAATATTTCTGTCAGGGATACTTTCATGGTATCTTGTGTCCTTTCAGGCCTCAGTTACTATTCATTGAAACTGCATGAATAAGAGTGACCAGCACAGTCTTCAGAATGTCTTCTTTTGTATAACATAGAAGAAAGAAACTCATACAGGATTGGATTGACATGAAAGCGGGTAAATAATGACAGAATTTTCATTTTTGGGTGAACTATCACTTTAAATGTACTCTGTTAATGACTACTTGGCGAAAAAAAATAGAGTGGATTCAAACTCACCGACACATAAGGACTCTCCATGTTTTACCTGTGCGTGTTCCACAGCATGGATGAGCTTGTGGCTGACATGTGTGCTGACTCTAACTCCGCTCACACATAGAGCCAGAATGCCCAGAGAGTACTGGTAGTAGTTGGTCTTTGGACGATGACTAACTGCACAAAATAATTCATATTTAAATTTAGGATTACAGTACAATAAAATTACATGTACACTACTGATCAAAAGTTTGGGGCCATTAAGAATATATTACCGGTAAGTAATATATTTTTTCAGCAAGGATGCATTGAATTGCCAGTAAAGAATTTAAGTATATTTTAAATTAATACAGTTCTTTTTAACTTTTTATCCATTAAATTATAGTGAAAAAAATATCATATTTTTCACAAAAATACTGGAGTAATGGCTGCAGAAAATTCCGCTTTGCCAGCACAGGACTAAATTACATTTTTAAATATATTTAAATAGAAAAAATATATATATTTAAAACTTTAATAATATATTGTTTTCACTGTATTTTAGATCAAATAAATACAGCCTTGGTGAGTATTAGACACGTCTTTCATAAACATAAAAAAAAGAGAGAGGGGTCTGTCTGCGTTCCATAGTACTTCAAACCACGTCCCTACAAGTTATGCCTTCCACAAAGAAACAAGCGTGAATGTCATTGACTTGAACAATACATTTACTTTAAGTTTTATGTATGAAATAATGGTAAGGCTAACTTATTTTGCTTTCAAATCTAACGAAGTATGAAATGACAGCTATTAGTAAAGCATAAAATAAATCATACATTTAGAGCTGTGGAAATTATAGCTAAAAACCTATCCAACCCTAAACCTTACCCTAACCCTTCAATAAAATAAACATTTACTGTAGTTTTAGATTTAAAATACTTTAAAAACTGAGGAACAACAAACAAACAAGATGACTTATGGAGTCTGCTGATTTATGCAATGTATGCCTTATCACTATGTGGTCGTAGTGACACTTAAAACAAGGAAAGTGAAATAGAAGAAGAGTGGTACTAGAGATGACATCAGCAATTCCAGAGGCTAATTGGCTGTTTTAGGGTGTTTGGTTTGTAATACTGCGGGATGCAGTCAAACACAGTTACTGACCCCAAACTTTTGAACAGTAGTGTATTACAAAATAAATGCTCTTACATGCAATGTTCTGTTTCTCTTCCTCCATTTCTTTCTTAAGGTGAGTGAGGAGGGGCTCCTTCATCTCATTATGACTGAGATGTAAGCTCTGCAGATCATGACAGGAAGACTTCAAAGCCAAGATGTACAGGGCAAGGCGGCCAACCACCAATTTACCATTTCTGAGAGATCTACAGGCAGATATTTAGAATAATAATGAAACAATTAGAACAAAAATATATTGAAATGGAACAATAGAGAAGAGTAGAATGGAATTTATTTCTACTACTCTCACACGACACTGGCAATCCATCCTGAAGCGACTTTATATTATTGAAGATTCAAATAAGCAAATAATTTACTGTAGCTTTAAAATTTAATATAAAAAAGAGATGTGAAAATATGCTCCATACTTCTCAATATCATCGTGAAACTCTGTCTTGAGGTGGTTGAGATGTTGGCTCTCTTTAATTAGGTTATGGTGTGTTGAGAGCCGCAGGGCAATGTGCACACTGGGATTGGGAAGGTTATCTGGTGTATCCACAGAGCGCAGCAGCTGCTGATTGAGGGACTGGAGAAGAGCCTTGTGATCAGATGCTGATACAGAGAACAAACAGAATAAAAAAGAAAACAGTCATATACACTGATATCAATGTTCTATAATTGTAAAAACAAACTCTGCTAAACTTTGACTGAATCACTGTCCTCATTGACTCCTGTTGCTCATTTAAAGTACCACTGTGTACAGAAACGCTTTTTCTCAGAATGGTCACAGTTACAATAGAGAGCACAAATAACAGAGTGAGACGATTTCCAGGTATTCTGAGCAGAACCTCTGCTGATAGGACAAAAAAAAGTACTCAATAAGAATAAGCTGAATGTTACGAATACGGTACAGTACATTATAGGTTATTGGAGGACAGTATAGGTTACGTTATTATTATGGTTATTGGATAGACAATATTTAAAATCTTTGCAACGGGATGGAGAATTATAAACCCTAATTAATTCATTTTACAAAAACATCAAAATCATTGCATATACGATATAGCAGTTTTATAGCATTCTTTAAAATACCCGATTAGTATATGAATATTGTAATGATTCAGTATCTTAGTAAACTATATATTAAATTACCATGTAATTACCATCTATGGCCATCATTTGTGCTGTTTTACTGATACAGTTTTAATTTGGTAAAGGTATTGGAGGAGACCAGGGAGTGTTGTAACATAGGGTCAGTTGTAAGTAACCCTGTCAGTTTGCCACGTCAGAAAAAGCTATGGACATGTCATCAATATTAAAACACTCACATCCCCTTTTTGAGCTCATGGGAGATGTGGCATATTACATTTTATGACCAAAAAACTGATTTTGAAGGAGAGTATTTTTTTATTAGTATTATTATTTTTTATCAAGAGCAATCGTTTTTTTGCAGAGCAATCGTTGAATTGTAGATACATTTATTTGATGTGCATAATCTAAAGTAGCTATTTCTATACTTTAGTTGCATTCATGCTAACTTCAAACCCACATGCCAAAACAGTTAGCTATGTTATGGCTGTTAAAGGTGGGGATAGTTGTAAAAGTACAGTATATAATATAAGTATTAAATACTACACTATAAGTACTAAGTACAGACAGTAACGCTATTAGAATAAGTACTAGTATCTAATAAATAAGAACTAGTAGCAAATGAATAAGTAGTACCGAATTATTATACTGCCGCCTAGAATCAAAAAAATAACTAACGTTACCAGTAGCAAGAAACTAGAATATTTAAGGATTAAGTGTTAAAACGGCTTGCCATATGGTGTTTAAACTGTTCGGCCTTAACATAAGGCACAATAAGGGTCCATAAAGCCCCTGAAACCCTGAAGAAGAAGAAGAAGACCTTCGCCCTTACAGGGAAAAAAAAGGAATGAAGAAGTAAATCATTATTTCGTACTAACTAAGTCTTACCACACGGTTTCCCAGCAGCCAGTGCAAGCAGCCCACTCGCAATGATAAGAGTAATCTGAGATTGAAAACAGTACAGACAACCTAAATTTGTTAAATTAAAACAAATTACCAAGCATAAGCATGACATAAGACTGACAATAATCACAAAATGTGATAATAATCGGAATACTATTAAAGTTTTAATTTGTTAGTTGTAAGTTAGTCTACTCACTGATTTTTAACATTTGTTGAGTTTTGTGGTTAAGAAGTCTGTCATATAAAAGAAGTTTCAATGTGTTTAGTTTAGTTTTGCTTCTTCTTACCATTTTTAGGCCAAGTTAGGAATCCTGCTGAATCCAGTTAAAATGATCAACTGAGTCTTTTACCAAAATACAATGACCCTAGAGGAGGAGTTACTCCAGTTACTCATCTACAGAGTTGGTAGTTTTGCAACATCTTTTCGACGTGTGTTCGAAATGATCTATCTCAATTCTGTATTGAGTAGTTCTATTTTCTGTACTGTTTTTAATGTGTACCAGCAAGAAAAAAAAATATCCTCCCTCTTCCAAAACGTGAGTTTGTTTACTGTTATTTACATTCACTTCCGGTTAAAGAACTACAAAACTAATGGACTACAAGTTCCATGCACCCTCGCTTACACACTGTTCCAGAAAAGCCAAAAGCCTCGTAAATCTAGGCTTTCACAACTTCTCATGCAAACTGTCTTTAGAATTTTTTTTATATATATTCCAAACAAAACTTGTTTTCCGCTTTTGTGAGCCCGTAAAAGGTAAGTCTTTGTGTTCCTAATGAAAGAGTGAACGAGGTGTTGTTGTGTATGTTGTGGGGCGTATGTCTAGACTAGAGGATGTTTCAAGCTGCAGTCAGCGAGCAATTCAAGTTATTATCCAGAATACCACCAAAATTTCATCATTGTGAATTATTTGAGATAAAAATACAGATAAAACTGAAGTAAATATTTAATAATACAGAGCATAAAAGACGTATGGCCTACGGTGTGAAGGAAGACAACATTTACTAAGTTAGTAACCAGAGTTAGCTCACTAACATGTGTTTCCCCCTAATTAAAACAATGGGCATTAATTATTCAATTAGGTCAGCAGTGCACTTTCCATATAAATATTTATGTATATGTGTTGTGTATAAATGTTTTTAAAGGTAAATGTAAAGGTAAAAGCCTTGAGTTTGCATCCTGTACCCATAGTAAAACTCATACCATGTATAAAACCTGCACCATCTGCAGAACCAGTTATTCATTTTTTCTGTTTTCCAGATTCTTCATCTTCTATCCACACTGCTTGACTGCAGTTGTCATTTAATTCTAATGTCTTCAGCTTGTTCTCACCTGGAGACTGATGCAGAGCACCAGGTCAGGAAGCAGCCAGCTGGAGTTCAAAATGTTTCCCCCTCATGCACACTTCAGTAACCCTGATTTGGTCACAATTAGTGGGCCAACCAGAGGCTTGCATCATCTAACTGGTGTATCAATGCCAAATACGTAAGTATTAAGTGTCTTGTTGTCCTGTTGTGCAGTTCTTGTTTAAGCAATCAAATGAAGACAGATTGCTGATATTATTTGTCTGCATGTTTAAACTTAGAAGCTGGGAAAGAAGATGCATGAGGAAACAGAGGAGAAGGACGGATGATGAGTGAGTACTTTTTTTTTTTACACATGAATCTTGCTAATATGTGGTGGTGGACTTTTCATGATCTTTTTTCTCTACAGAAGCTGCAGCCCCAAACGGCGAAAACTGATGGGTGCAGCTGAGTATCCAAGTCCTAAAGCAAGCCACAGATGGTCTGCAGACTCTACCACCTCTTCCTCTTCATCTGAGACCAGCATGGTTCAACTGCACACTAGACCCAGGACAAATGACATGGGTCTGTCCTTCACAGTCGCTCCCTCTCCACTATCCAGAGTACCCACAGAAGGCTCAGGCATGGAGGTAGAGGCCGCTCAGAGGAGACTGCAGGAGATCGAAGAGAGGTGAGATCAAAATAAAATAGGTTATTAGCTTGATTTCAAACTGTACATGTGCATTCTGTATCTCTGCTTGTGTTTACAGTCATTGACCAGAAATTGGATGCATGAAGGTTTAAAGTACTACTTTTCGAGGGCTTGCTGATATATTGTATGTGTTACAGGATAACTTTGGAAGATGATAGCGATGAAGAAGAGCTGGATGTAGAACCGGGTCAGCGCAGGCCAGTGCTGGTGATGTCCGACAGTTTAAGGGAAGGGCTGCAGCGTGGCATTGATGACATTCTACCCCATATGGTAGCACAGTCAGTGTGGGTATTTTTTTTTTTTTAGGTTTCTAAGGCTGGTTTCCCCCCCTGCTTTTTCATTTATACAGCAGATTTCAAGCATCCAAGCAAAATCCTTTACTTTACATAATCTTTATATATATATATATATATATATATATATATATATAAAGAAGAAGAAATTAATACTTTTATTTTGTAAGGATGCGTAAGTATTTTAGCTGTTTTCAACATTGATAATAATAACAAATGTTTCTTGAGCAACTTAGCATGTTAGAGAATGATTTCAGAAGGATCATGTGATATCAACACTAAAACTTCTGTTTTGCCATCACATGAATAAATTATATTTTAAAATATATATTCTAAAATATAAAAACAGGTATTTCAAAATACTACAGGTTTTGAGTCTTCTTTTAAAAGTGTGTAAAGTAAATTCAAATATTAAAAAACATCTAATGTATACAAAAGGATACATTTTTGGTCTACTGAACACTTCTCACACAAATATCTTTTAACCCATCTAAATAACCCAGCAAGCAATAGGAATCATTTCACCGTCTCATTTAACTGTAGACCTGATAAATTCCGGCTGTGAGTAACCCACTACTAGCCAAAATAACCTTGAATTTGGTTACGTCGTTTTTGCCAAAATACCTTGCAACATGTAAGCAAAATCAACAGTGATTACAAGGTGTTTGGTTATGTTTCTTTTATGACTATTTTGCCTTTTTTTAGCCTAGGCATCAGGGCTGTGTCTGGATGGAAATTTGTATTAGAAATGTTTTCAAACCAGCAGTAGAACGTCAGTTTCTACCAACAGCACTGAGCTCATTGTACAGGAATCCAACACTTAGCACCATGCTTAGCATACTCTTCTTCACTCACCTCTGCAGGGGTCGCTCTTGTATGGAACTGGTGCTGTGGCGCCCCCCAGAGGACCCTCTCACACAGAGGCTAAAGGACTCTTTACAAAGACAGCAGCGCAAGCAGCTGGCAGTGAGCAGGCAGACTCCCAACCCTGTGCCATCTACCAGCAACCCCCCATCCCAGCCCCAGTTCACAGCAACCAATGAGCAGGCTTTCAGCCCCCTGTTCAACAGCCCTGCACTACTCAACTCTGGAGAGGAAGACATGGAGTTATAGAGGGAAATCCATGACTTTATGTGTGATATAAGCTTTGAACTTCATCAGTGCAAATGAGCAGTTAGCATGAGTGGCGGAGAGAGCTAGCAATTCACAATGCTCACATGTGATTTTTCTTGTGCCATGTACTATTTTTGTTTGTTTCAACATGGAGTTTTTTGTAGGTTGGACCATATTTGCACTAGATGAAATGAGAAGTATCCTATGTGAACGTGGTCAGTGATACATTTTTTTTTTCCTTCTGCAGTACAGTTGTTATTGTTTGCTGTCGATAGCTTTACTGGTTAACAATGCAAGACTATTTTAGTTTTGTCTTTATGCAGTTAGTATTATTGCATTATACTAGTATACTATATGCCAGATTTATTATTTTATTTTTAGCATACATCCAACTGGTCAAATACTCATTTGAATTGGTTCTTCATGGTGTCCATATTGTTTTTTCAAGATGCTTTTATGGAAAGTAATGATTGATGAATTTCATGTATGGAATGTGTGTGAGGAAGGATCACCATGTGCTTTTGAACTTGATATGTGGAGACAAAGATATAAAATGATACTTGGAAGAGATGAATGGGTATTCATTTTTAAATCAATCTATTGATTTCAGTCGATTATATTACCTGGCTCAGTTTATCTAGGTAAAGAACAAATACCACTTAATAGTCTGGCTGTAATACTTAAACACCAGTGAAATAAGTTGTAAATCAAATTTGCATTTAATTTAAACATTGGCCTAAATTGTTTAAATGATCAATTTTACCTTTTTCAGATTTTTACATTTTGGCAGATGTCAAAGTGTAAAATTCGTAAATATTGACCATACACTATGACAAAGGAAAACTTTTTTTCAATAAAATCTGTTTGGTATTATAATTCTCTGCTTGTGACATTTTATTTATGCAGAAAAAACATTCAAACAACATCATGAATCATCACCGATTTCAGGTATGTTGATCAATTACAATAATTAGTTCTTTTAAAACAGATCACAAAAAAAAAAAACACAAGTGTGTTTACAATACACAAGTGTAAAAGTTATTTGAACTGTTATGGCCAGTTGTAAATTCTATAAGCTACATACAAAATATATTCATTATTTATTATAAACTCAAGCAGAATTCGAAGTCTGAGAATTCTGTTAATTTCATATCAAAGTTCATCATTTGATCTTTAACACGATTGAATTAAACATTCACCTACAATAAAGTGCCCCGTTCTGTCCATGCAGACCATGTTAATCACTTATGAGCTCCACAGAGGTGGTACTAAGTTATTTTCTTTTTCATGGTTTCCCTGTAAAATCACCTATTTAATGGACAAATTCTAGGAAAAGTTAATTGGAAATGTTAACTGGAAATGCTCTTTGCTGGTAAGAGATCCTCTGTCTTATAGCTTTCCTGGGCTGGAGCAATCTGCCAAGATAATGAGAAGCTTTGAAACATTCTTTCACATTCTTGAAAATGTATTGCACGTAATAATATAAAATGTTACTTCATACACAGTATTAAACAGTGAACTAATAACTAAAATGAAAAACAACTAATAAAAAAAAGACAAAGGCACATAAAATACCTAACATTTTTAATTGGTTAATTCAAAATCTAAATAGAAAATATAATAGTATATGGATAATACTAAAATACGACTGCAAAATACTTTAGTAATAAATAAATTAGTTGATGTACCGTGTCCAAATAAGAGCCGCCCAAGTCCCTGGGCTCCCTGTCCCACTTAACAGGGCAGTGGGTCTGCCTCTCTGCTTGAATCTGGCGGATGCGACTCTGGAGGTGCTGCAGGAGTTTATATGAGGTCAGGTCTTGGGTGACTCTGGAGTTTTGGAAGTCTGTGCCACCCTGAAGAGCAGAGGAGGCCAAATGGGATTCGTTGAAATCTCGGCATTGCTGCAGAGACAAAGAATCAGAGAGATGTACTTACTATGAGTTCTACAATAATTATAAGGAGTGAACATGCAAATGTCACTCCAAGTACATGTTTTTGGTTTGTATTTAATCAAAATAACACAAAGGAACTGTTGTTCCAGATATGAGTAATCAAGCTGATATTTATTCCGGCAGCATGATAGCAACATTGCTTTTTAATTATTAAAACTATAAATAAAAATAATTAAAAATAGCTTTTGTTAATTGTAAGAAAATGAAAATTAGAAATGCGAAGAAAAGTTAAAGAATTAAAATTACTAAAACTTATATAAAAATAAATTAAAGCTAAACTAATAAAAAAGTGAATTAAAAATATTAATAAATAATACTAAAACAATACTGGCATTTACCCCAGTCAGATGTCTCATTTCATTCTCCAGTCTCTCCAATCTCTTCTGCTGATCTGCTCTGGGCTTTGGAACTCTCCTGTTCAGGAAAGGTTATGGAAGAAAATCCAACAATTTGTCAAAGTTATTTTTGTACGAGTCATGGTAGAACCGATTGAATTTAGGCTTTTATTCACACATTAATCAACTCGCACATCATTTGTGGTAAACTGAAGCATGTTCACTTGACGTGCCTGAAACAATGAGGTTCATTCTAGTGTTACGCAGCACTAACCAATGTGGTTTGTTCTCATTTGTCAAGCAGGTTCAGTTGAGCTTCTGTTTATGTTTGCGGATTAATGTTTATATGTGAATAAAAGCCTTAATTCAATCCTTTCAAAAACCCGTTTTAATGTTTAGGCCCCCAAAATGCTGTCGTCGTGTAAATGAACGTTCAAACTGCATATGACTTTTTCAGTTTTTAGATGAAAACTGTGTGGTGTATGGAAATGGGCCTCAAGACAAAAACATTCAAGATCCACTTGACTCATATGACGCACCTGTCCTGCTCCGCGTTAAGCTCAAATTTGTGTGCGAGTCTTGTAGTGGTTTTGTCTTTCCACGGTCCCATGTTGTTCTGCGGCTGTCTGAGCTCATCATCTTTAGCCTGCAGCTGCCTGCGCATATGTACACACAGTCTGTCTGTATCATCGTTGTCCATGCGCAGCTGGGCTCGAGATAGGCTGCTCATTTCCTCAATGTGCTCCTTAAGTTTACCCATCAATGAACAAAACGAGACATAAAGCAAGATTTTAATACATTAATAGCAATTTTGCTCAGTGTCAGTTTTACATTTAGATGCTTTTGAAGTTTTTCTTTTATAAATCGTACATGTGCGTGCGTCAGTATACCTGTATGAGTTTCTCTTTTAGAGCAGCCAGTGCTCGTTCTTTTTCCTCCATCAGCTGCTCTTTCTGCAGTTTTAGCTCTTGCACCTGAAACACATAAGCAGCGTCTGCTCAAAGCCGATGAGTTGATGTGTGTTTTGTTTGTAACTTTTCTTGTACCTTTTCTCGGGTGAGTTGCAGTGCAGCACGTCTCTGTGAGTTGAGCTCCATTTTTAGATCATTAATAAGCTGTTGAAGGGCCTTCGTGAGGGATTGCAGGTTCTGTAGAGTTTCACTTACTGTAGGACTGAACCGGAAAAATACACGTTTATAAAATACAATGCAGTGTCACTAACTATAAACTTAAAGGACTGGTCTGCATATTTGAAATACTATTAATAGATTTTTTATTACTATAAATAGATTTATGTTTGCATTCTTATTACTTTTATTATATTTTATTTAGGGCTGTGCAAAAGTTAATTGCGATTAATCGCATCCAAAATAAAAGTCTGTGTTTACATTATATATTTGTGTGTGCTGTATATAATTAATTTGTATATATAAATACCTATGCATGCATGTATATATTTAAGAATTATTTGCGCTGAAATTCTGTATATATTTATAAATACATAATCTATATTATATAAATATAAATATTTTATATATGAATAACACATTTTCTTAAATATATGCATGCATGTGTGTGTATTTATATATACAAAATAATTATATACAGCACACACAAATATATTATGTAAACACAGACTTTTATTTTGGATGCGATTAATCGCAATTAATTTTTGCACAGCCCTAATTTTATTGCTATTATTTATTTGTATGTGCATGTATTTTATTTTTAAATATATATACTGTATAATAGAATCAGGATATGGCATAGGCTTGATTTGAAATTGCATTTCCCACATCAGGACCAATACACAATGTGTGGGGCTGCTGAAGTCACCTTTTTAACACTCAACATGGCATATAATTGTGTGTGTATGAGCACCACAGGGTACTGTATATATTACAAGTGAGCGCACCTCCCTGACGAGAGCTTGTTTTCAATAGTCAGGCCATTGTGTTCAAGGAACTCCTGCAGGCAAACACACTCAGCGTGTATGTCCTGTGCCCAGCGTCTGCTTTTCTGCTCATGTCTGGCTGTTCTTCTCTGGTGTGTTTGGTCTTTCTCTGTGATGGCTGTCCTCAGCTCCAGAAGCTCCTTTTCAGAGCGCTGCAAAGTTTTCTTCAGACGTACTGCCTCCTTCTCTGCCTCCTGTAACAAGAAACCAGCAGAAAGAAAATGGCGGAGGACAGCTTTGATAAATTTGCACAAGTAACATTTAACTCTAAAATGAAAAGTAATTTTTGTAATTAATTTAAATCATCATGATTTAATGGCAAAATCAAATCAAAGTATCAAATACTAGCATGATGTAGATATACAAAGAAAACTATTTATATACTGTATATTTTGAGAGAATATTGAGAGTATATTATAGTATATATCTCTATCCCACAGTAATTCTGTGGGATTCACCCATTTATTATTCTATTTTTATTAGGGCTATGCAAAGATTAATCCAAAATAAAAGTTTGTGTTTACATAATATATGTGTGTGTCCTATGTATAATTATTTTGCATATATAAATACACACATGCATGTATATATTTAAGAAACTGTTATTCATAAATAAAATATTTATAATATATATATAGTATTTAAGTGCATATAATTCTTAAATATATACATGTATGCATATGTATTTATATATAAAAAAATAATTATACACAGGACACACATATATTATGTAAACACAACATTTTATTTTGATGCAATTAATCGCAATTCATTTTTACACAGCCCTAATTTTTATCCATACTATTTTATTATTATCCATTTATTTTTATATATTTATTCATATTATTACTATATATTTATCCATATGAATCTACTAAAATTTTGTATCTGTTTTAATAAACGTTTAAAAAGACGTCTTCTGATTCCACTCACTTTCTGAAGCTCAATCACTTTACTCTGTAAGACCAGTGCGTTCCTTCTCTCTTTCTCCACTTCTGCTCTCCATCTCTCCGCTGCCTCCTCTATTTGCTGCTCCAGAGTCCCACGCTGCTCTCTCAGAGCCTTCTCTCGCTGTTCCTCCCACTTCCTTTCCTCTCGCTTCACAGCCTTTTGAATCTATTAGTTCAGATGACAAGAGATGCACTGGTTCTTTTGAGGGAACAAGAATTTTAACAGCGGAGAACCACATTAAAGTTTTTTTTTTTTTTTTTTGATAAATCTGTCATCAGCACTTGTAAAACAGGATAAAAGGGAGGAAACCTTTTCCTGAGTTTTTCTTCTGAGTTCCTCTGCTTGCCTAGTCATCTTCTCTTCATGCTGCTCTAGAGCCTCTTTTAGCCTCTTTACCTCCTCATCTTTCATCTGAAACAGAGAGAGAGAGAGTTGAATGTGTACGTAAGACTGAGACTGTGTTGTGAGATATGAAGGGCACAGGCTATGACATCTGACCTGGATACAGTTGTGTAAGGAGTCCAAGCTCTGTTTGTGGGTCTGAGCTTGTTCATTGAGAGCAGCTGATCTCAACTCATCCGCTTGCTGATGCACCTGGATTTACACATTCCAAACAAACATATTCAGGGCTTCACACTATGTCTGAATAATCTGAGGAAATCTCAGAGTGAATAAATCATCTTACCTTTTGAAGCTCCTCTTTGTGGCTTTTGGTTAACTGTAATGTCAGCTGCTCAATCTGTTGCTCCTGAGAAGGAATTGATTATCATATGTAATCACAGGATAACAATATACCCTCTACTGAAAAGACAAGCACATGTTGTTAAAAGTGGTTTATGCTGACTAGTTAATATTAATATTCATTAATATAAGGTTAATATTCATGCTTTCATTAACATAGTCTTTATATTTGATGTTAGATCATTCAATTCAAACATGATGTGAACGACTGATATACACAGTTGGTAAGCTTTTTAAAGTTTTTTAAGTAAAAATAAAAACAAAAATAGACAGTGAAATATTAGAAATGTAAAACAACTTTTGTATTTATTATTATATTTTAAAATGTAATTTATTCATGTGATGTAAAGACTGAATTTTCAGCAGCCATTACTCCAGTCTTTACATGATCCTTACAAGAAATCATAATTATTATCAATGTTGAAAACAGTTGTGCTGCTTTAATGTTTTTTTGTGGAAATCATTAATCATTTTCCAGTATTTTCTGATGAATAGAAAGTTAAAAAGAACAACATTTGACATAGAAAACTATTGTAACATTGTGAAAGCCTTAACTTTCACTTTTGATCAAAAATTTGAATGGTAATGTTTAAAAATATATGACTATATCTTTCCAACCTACCATATCCTTTTTTGTCCTGTTCTGTATTTCTCTCAGCTTTAAGCTGTGCTCCTCTCTCAATGAACAGAGCTCCAGAAGAAGGGCTTTCTTCGCTTCTTCGGCTCCCTGCAAAAGCAGCTCCTTCTGGGCAACAATTCGCTCCAGCGCTGCAAAACGCTTCACTTGCTGCTCTAGATCTTCCTGTGTGGACTGCACACATATTGAAATTGATAGAGTTTGCAATCTGTTTCTGCATCAGAAACTGAAAACATGGTTATTGTAGATTAAGAATAAGAAACACGAGTGAGAACCTCTTTTATTTGTTCTTTTTCTCTGATCATATCAGCCAGCTGCTTCTCCAGGTCACTGCATTTTTGGTGGAGAGTCCTGTAGTCCTCTTCCCTCTGCTCCAGCTCCTGGTTCACCTCATCCAGCCTCTGAGGGAGACAATGACAGGAAGATTAACTGAAGGCTGTGTGAATATTCACAACATATACATTTTGAGTATTTTGCTGAAAATACAAAATTTAGCAACACATTAATGCATTTTTTATTTGGTCATTATGTTTCCTAAAGATTATGCCCACTCATTGTGTCCTTACATAAGCGTGTTAAAAAAGAGATGTGATCTACAGTACCTCCTGCATAGAGTCTAGTGTGTGTCTAAAACGCCTCTGTTCTGAGAACAGGTCAGATTTAGCATTATCCAGTAGTCTGTCCATCTCCTCCCTTTCCAGAACAGACACGCTGCGGCTTACACACTGACAGGGACAGACATCAAATCACACTGAATTTCAAGTAGCATATCTATAATATAAAAATTCAGCAAACTGACTAATTTGGAAAATAGGGCATATGTTATCTGGTTACATTCTACGTGGACGTGTGTTTATTTAATTATATAATTTAAAGTTACATTTAATCAGGAAAGAACCATGCGGATGTTTAATGAATTCCTAACTGAGCTGATGTGACTTTTTTGTTTCTTAACTAGATTGACTTGTTGCTCCTGTAGAACCCTGACCTCCTCCAAACATGAGTCCCTCTGGGCCTGCAGTCTGTGTAGCTCATACCTTCAAGACACACATACAGTGCTAGTAAGAAATAGTTGTTACATATAAATACTATAGACCATTTTGCAAGATGTAAACAACACTGGTCCAGAAACGCTTCCTGTTTCAGTTTGTAACTGTTTTCTTTATTTCACATGTAAAGAAAAATCTTAAAGATGTTTGTTTAACTTTTTGATTTAGTTTTATATGTTCTGTTGGTTGTATTTTATCCCAGCATTTATGTAGTGTTAAAAAAAACTGTAACAGGAAGTGCTTCTGGACCAGTTTTGTTTACATCTTGCAAAATGGTCTATATGGAATTTAAGAACAAAAGTGTCAATAAAAGCAAATGGGATTAAGGTGTGAGTAGACCATACGTGATGTTTTGGGCCTGTGCTCTGCTGTCCCTCACACTGATCTGTAGTGAGAGTTTCTCTCTCTTAGCTTCATCCATTTCCTCTCTCAGATTCTCCAGAGTATGAAGTGTAGCCTGTGGAAAAACATCACTTTTGGTTATGAATAAAGCTTATTAACATTTTTTGAGAATTCCAAAATGATGACATGTAAAAAAATCCATACTGTTTTTTGTTGTAGAAGCTCAGTAAGTGACATCCTCAACTCTTTAAGTTGATTTCCATCTATTCTGCTCTTGTCCCGAGCTCTTTCTGTGCTCTAAAAACAAAAATACAACAAGCCTGAGAAGAGTATCAACAAATTGTCTCCTTCATAGCTATTTGCAAAAATTAAAAACATAATTGCAGTTAACTCTATTGATTATTGCAGTAATTGTTCAGAGAATGCACTGAAGCCTCTCACAATGTGGGAGTCATTCCTTCTGCTCCGGCACAAACTCCTCCTCTTCCCTTTCTTGCCAGATGAATGTCTCCTGCTTCTGTAGTACAGCTTAGACACAGCACCTTCACTGCTTGTCTCCTCTACAGTTCTCTCATCATCAGAGCTACAACACACAGAGTAATAGTGAAGAATTGTCATTTTTATTAAATACATAAATAGTATAGTTCCATAAGTAGTAGACAAGAAGTAACCAAATCATCTCTCCCAGAGATGTCTGAATTAGAAATGTCTGCATACTGTTTCAAAAGAACAAATTGTGCTGTTCATTTGCAATTTTTACACATAAAGAAGATTTAAATGTAACTTTAGTGACTGGAAGGCACAAATATCTCCATATAAATAGCCCCATTGGGTTTTACTCACATCAGTTCACTAAGTGAGTGTCATATCATAAATTAAACACCACCACAAAACACATTATCCAAAAAGCTCTTCCTAAGATCGCCTAAATAATTGAACTGCATTTGTTAAAATGTTGAGAAGTACCTGAAGGACTGAATGTTGTTTTGGATGGTTTGTCCTGTACAGAATCCATTTTCTTTACTCAGATGTAAGGCTATAGTCACATGCATGCGAACAGACAAATCCAGTTATGTTAATATGTTATGGATTAATTACAATTCAAATTTCTAAATAATTTAAAATTTACATTTTTAAAAGATATCATAGATTTATTGATATATTTCATCACTGCACATCATAACAATGCAATAAAGTATCAATAAAGTAAGATAACATACCATATTTTGGATTATATTCCTGGTCAGAGTTAGCATATTTTGCAAAGTGTGTGACTGGGATAGATACAAAATGAAAAAGCATTATAGCACCAATTCAACTGCACATGCATTCAGCACACAAAAAGAACACATGACTTTTGACACACATAAGTTAATATGGTACCTGTACCTGTCCTGTTGCTGAGTGTAGACTTCAGGTGCTGTCGAACCTGTTCTGAGCACACTGTGTCCAGATCAGTGTCTATGGTGACTGAATCAAAACTCTGCAATGGCATTCCTGTCAGTGGAAAAAACAACTTATTTAAATGCAGATCACAAGGAAGATTCACAAAAAATCTTGAAAGAAACCGAACAGCACGGCTATACCTGCCATGTGTCTTATTGGTGTTCTGGCTGGATGCTGTGGTTGACTTTTCGATCGTTCCTCAGTGAGATCTGCAGTGTCACTGCTGGTAATGGGAGCTGGAGAAGAAATTAATACTTATATTCAATAATAATAATATATATAAGCTATATTATTAGATGTTATTTTGTGGGTTTTAGTGAAAATGGCCAGATGGAAAGAGCTGTCCCTAGCAACCAAGGAGGAACATCCAAATTATATAGATATATCTATACAGTATATAGTTGAAGTTATAATTATCAGTGCTGTTACATCATTTCCATCATTTTGAGTGTTCAGTTTGTGTACCTGAGGCCGGCAGAACCAGCATTTCCTCTCTGAAGCGTGTTGAGAAGTCCTCAGTGCAGACGCTGTCCATAGTGAATTCATCCTCCTCGTTTCCTATCCCTGCAGCCTCAGCACTTCTCCCAAGAAGCCTCTCCAGCCTCCAACGACACTGCTCTACCCTGGACACTGAGCTCAAGCTGTCATCGCCCTCAGGACACCACACATCTGGAACTGAGGCTCCAACCTTCATAATCTCCATTGTCTGATGTTCTATTTGGTCATATTTTTAAAAGGAAATCAAAATTATGGATTTTAACAAGACTTTTTACTGCTCTCTTTCTTCATATTGATATTTGTTTGTCTTATCATAAGCATGCACAAAATATTTGTCACTACAGAATTTGTTTTCAGAAAAAAAATAGTAGCATATTGCATTCATAATATTCCTAATTGTGCTGCTTTGGACAATGACTTGTGTATGATTTTATTATATATTCTATATAATAATATATATTATTATATATTATAAATTTAGTTGGCTACCTGATGGAGTCCAGTCAGGGTTGGATGATGTTTTATCATTGGTTGGAGCACTGCTTCCCAAGCCTGTGTCTTTACTAACAGACTGACTCCGATCAAGGTAGCCTGAAATTTAGAGAGCATTAGGAAAAAATATATAAAATGTCATATATATATCTATATATATGTATGAAAAAAATGGTTTACCTGAGAACGGAAATTCATATCTTTTGGACTTCCCTCCATGCATTTGGCTTTGGCTGTGGATCTGTTGGTGGAGCATAAAATCAAGCCTGAATTTTACCATGTCAAAATGAATACACAATGGTTATCAATATTCTATCAAACTATAAGTGCTTGACCTGTAGATGACTCAGCTGTGCATCCATGGCGTCCAGTAGTACATCGCAGTGGTCATGGGACAATGCCACAGGTATGAGCCCATAAACATCAACCTCATCGTCCACATCTGAGAAGAAAAGAGATATACAGCATTTTCTACTACAGTAGTATTGAGTGTAAAAGTGTGAATAGTAATGTCAATAGTTCTGACCTGCAGAGAGCAGTTCATCAGTGTTTTCTCCAGATCCATCATTTTCCATGGTCTTCTAAAAAAGACAGAAAAAAATCACTTATGCATAAGATGTAAAACTAACATCTCTTTGGAATCCAGTGCATTTGAGCTACAATGGAGGCAGACAGTTTAAAATGGGGAGTTGTTAGTTATGTGGTTGCCTAAGAAACGCAACAGAAAGGGCCCCCAACAAACACTAGGGCCTCTTACATACAAAGAACCTCATAAAGTCTTATAAGAACCAAAATTCTACATATTTCACACTAGGATCATGCAAACCTGCGTATCTCATATGTTTAAGTACTGTATGTGATGATAAATAGCTAGGTTGATTCATGAGTCATGACGGTTGTATTTTAAACAGAAAAATGCACAATAACTTTTGCTGTCAGGGAAGAATACTGGAACATGCACATTTATGCATACGCAAATAGCTCTCACTGGATTAATTATTAGAAATTAAAGCAGATTTTGCTTTCTTTCAGAACTCCCATAAATATATTTACAATCGTTTGCTTTAAAAAAAGAAGAAGTTTTTTTTTTACACTTACGTCGACGTATTTCCACCCCTTGTTTTCTCTAGAAACTGTCTCGTACAGCAGAAATTGTTTGACATGAACACATCCATGCGCCTCAGTCTCATGGCAACCACACACACCCACTAACTAACTAACTAACTGCCTATCGGACTAGAACATGACATGAGAGATTTATTTTATGTATGTTTGCAATGCATAGCATTTTTTTATCAGATGAATACATGTATTGCTATGTTTTTAAATAAATGAAAACATGTATATAATTACCAGACAAATACATCGAATTCGTACATCTTAATGAAACAGCGTGGGGATGTTTCATAGACAGTAAAGGGATTTTTTAACCACAATCTGGCAACTCCCGTCATCTCGCAAATATCGCGAGAAATATCCGCGCTGACAGACAGTGCAGTAAGTGAAACAAGTTTCCATTCCTGATGATTACAAAACAGTAGGTCGAATTTAATTTATTATATCTTTTACACTTTTCAAACGAATAATGTTATTACTTACTTTATTAAAAACTTTTTGAGATTTAGTTATGCATGATAAATTAGATTTACTTTGAATTATTATGCTAACCGGCTAACAGAGTGTTGTTATAACGTTGCTACATTTGTCAGCAGTTTCAGCTTGTCTTTAGAAACACTTCGATCTCTGAAATAATGAAATCCAATCAGTACTTTATGTCCACATAATTTGATGTCTCTTTGTCTGTCAGTATGATGAGAGAGAGAGAGAGAGAGAGAGAAGCTATCTTACAATTTTCCATGGTTGTTTTCGCATAGTAAACCGTTTAAATGTAGCTTAAATGTTAAATATAATAAGATCATCGTAAAATAATTGTCATTACCAGAGATGGGTAACATTGCTTTTTAAAAATATTCAAATATATTGTAAGACTAGTTATATATTATTCTCCTCTGTCCAGTTCCTGAGCTACTGCTACTGGAACTAACGTTAGCAACCTCATGTAAGCTTCTGAACATCCTGAACCTTTAGGTAAGCACCGCCTCACCGGCGGTAAATGTCATTCAATAGTCTGTGTTCATCAGGTGACGCAGAAAATGGCCTCGTATTTTGATGAGCATGACTGTGAGCCCACGAACCCAGAAGAACAGTACCGACAGAACGCCCTACTGGAGCTGGCGAGGTAACTAACACGACAGACAGTGCCATCTGGAGGAGCTAAAAACATCAAAAAATATGGTTAGCTAACACGTTATAACCGTTCATTCCTAAACGGCTCGCCAATGGGCACAGTTTGTTTTAGATGTATATACATTACGTTCAAAAGTTTGCAGTCAGTAAGATAAGATTTTTTTTTAGCAACGATTCATTAAATTGAACAAAAGTGATAGTAAATAATTGTATAATGTTACAAAAGAATTCAAATTCATCAAAGGAAGGACCAAATGATTTTTTCCATAAAACTGTTTAAAACTTTGAAATATTTCTTGAGCAGCAGCAAATCATCATATTAGAATGATTTCTGAAGGATCATGTGACACTGAAGCTTTGCCATCACATAAATAAATAACATTTTAAAATATTTTAAAATACAAAACAGCTATTTTAAGTTTTTATACTGTCACAATATATGCAGTCTTGGTGTGTAAATGAACTTTCTAAAACATTTAATAAACGTACTGACCCCAAACTTTGAACGGTACCATAGGTAGGTACTAAATTGTGTAGCATTAGCATTAATAGTACTTAGCATTAAACTGTTAGCATTAAGCCAACCTTTATTGTTTTTGTCAGCTATGTGGATGAGAATGTAATGATAGCGCTGACCATTTTAAAATCTTTCCGGCTATAGGTCTCTAATGCAGGGTCTTGACATAGACTCAGGTTCATTTGATTTGTCAGATTGGGACCAGCGTCTCCCCCCTCCTGCAGCAAAAGCTGTGGTTCAAAGTCTCCCTGTGGTCATAATATCCCCTGAACAAGCAGGTAAAAGACTACTCATTCATAATCATGTTCAATCTTCACTTTAAAAGAATACATTATTGCACAAAGGAACATTAGTAGCTGGAAGTATATTGGTAATAACTGTAGATGGATGTTTCCTTGTGTCGTGGCTATTGATTAAATTCAAGGGTCTTAAATCCATGGTGTCATTCTTCTTGAACTTTCCTCAAGCTCTTTCTTCATTTGACAGATAAAGGACTGAAGTGTCCGGTGTGTTTATTGGAGTTTGAGGAGGAAGAGACTGTGAGAGAGATGCCCTGTAAACATCTATTCCACACAGGATGCATCCTGCCTTGGCTCAGTAAGGTATGTTTACTGGTTCAATCTGTATGATTCAGAAGTAAATACACTACCATTCAAAAGTTTGGGGCCAGAAAGTCATAAAAGTAAATTAGAAAAGAATATATATAAAAAATATAAATATATATAAAAGAAATTATATATATATTTCAAATAAATGATTTAAATTATTTGAAACCTATATTATTTTAAAACGTTTATATTAATCAAATAATCCTAAAGTTTCCACAAAAATATTAAGCAGCACAGCTGTTTTAAACATTTACAATGCTAAGAAATCCATATATTAGGATTATTTATGAAGGATCATGTGACACTGAATGCTAGAGTAATGGCTGCTGAAAATTCAGCTTGGCTTTGAATTACATTTTAAAACAGAAAACAGTTCGCTTAACTGTAACAATATTTCACAATATTACAGTAGTTTTGATCAAATAAATGCAGAGACTTTTTTTAAAAAGCATGAAAAAATATTATCGACCCCAAACTTTTGAATTGTACATTGATAATATTTAATGTTTCTACATAACATTACAGACCAATTCATGTCCCTTGTGTCGACTTGAACTACCCACTGACAATCCAGACTATGAAGAATTCAAAAAAGATAAGGTAAGACTGTGCCATATTTACTGACATGACCTCGGTTTCCTGAGATGTTGCATTCATGCCATGTTACTTATGCTCAGTTTTGTTTTGTTTTTTGTGACTGGCTTATTCAGTCGAAAGATTGTGAGGAAATGATGTTCAGTGTGTGTTATGGGTTCCCACCAGATTTACATGCTTGAACTCCATTGGTTATTGCAACACCATGTTCCCTCATTTCAGGAAACTGAGGTTATGCCAGTAACCCGTGACTTTTTCTGTTCATGTGCAGTTAGTGCAGTATATCAAGAATATACCCAAGCAATTAGTGGGTTTTTGTTTTTACAGGAACGGAGAAGACAAAGAGAACACAGATTAGAGGATCTACATGGAGCCATGTACACATGACCTCAACATCTCAAAAACTTGATACAACTACAAATATATGAGTTCGACTTTCAGTTTGTTGGAAGCAAGTTTACTGCGCAGGGACCAGGCTTTGAAATGATTTTGTTTGCTTGTTCTTATATTTTATTGTTATCCCTTTTAAGGTTGCTTTTGAATGGCTATGCACTGAAAACTGTTTGAAACTCTAATGTAGCCTTATAAACACATTTATGATTTTATTAAATATTTTAAAGCAGTTTTTTTATTATAATTTGAATTCGTTTGCTTCATGATCTCATATTCACTAATTTCGCTTCCTGAAGAGATTTCTTTCTGAATAAAAATCTAGCTGAATACATTTTTATTGTGCTGATAAAAAGCAATGAATGCCATGGTTAATGACAAAGGTAACTGTAGCTACAACTTGATCAGTGGACTTTATATTGTCCTCTTTCCAATCAGTAAATTAAAAACCCACTTTATGTAATACGGTAGAACTCTACCTCATGGAAAATGTGTGAATTTTAGCTGTGTTTATGTACAATTATGGTAATGACTCAACCTTGCTGAGACAGACTTGTAATGGCTGTTGTAAAATACTAATGTTGCAGCAGAAAAAAATCATATAAAGTCAAAAAGGTCTTTTCCTTATTTTTTAAATAAAAAGTGAGCTACTTTAAACATTGTGTGTATTATTAGTTCAAGTGTGTAGAAGAATTAATCTAGACAGAATTACAGATACACTTGTTTATTTTCCATCAGACATTTTGGTAATTATTCAATATAAATCTCTTGTCAAAGAAAATCATTGAAATGATACATAAATCTTACTTATTTACATAAGTAATTTATAAAATAAAAATAATCTTTGCATTATTTTTATTTCGCTTGGAGTGTGATCCTCAAGTCTTTGTTCCGTTCTCCACAGATGCATTGTGTTGATAAAAAATACTTTGATTACATTGTTTAAAGGCATCAGAAAAATAACTTCTATCTAGAGAAATAAACAAGAAATAAACATCAACCAGAAACACATTTCCATCATTTTCATGTGAGGAAATTCACATAGTCCTTAGTTTTTAAAGTGTGGGATCCTCAATCCTATATATATATATATAGGCTCTTACAAACATTGTCTCACGATCACAGATACATCGCAAAAATTGGCAACAAAATTCAATGAAAACATCCAACAATTTTCCCATGTGTTTTTAAAGTATTTGACCAAGTCTAAGAAATGAAACGATTCTTACACATCCTTTTGCTCTTAGGTGACCTATAAATGACTAACCTATTATTCAGATAATATAATATGCGCACTATATGCATTGACAAGTATTGCATGTAATTTATGTCAAAAAAAAAGAAATGAGAAATGACATCAACATTGACTTTTTAAGCTCATTTAAACATGCTTTATATTCCCCAAGACTTTATTCCCTATTGTTTTTGTTTAAATTACTTTTTGGTTTGAGTTTTGTATTGTGTAACGACCAAATAATAAATTGAGGAGAAAGCAATAAAAAAAAACCTTTCAAAATTATATTTAATGGATGGTTTCAGTGTTGTACATTGCAGCCCTGTGAATCTTACCTTAGCATGCGAAGAGCGAGAAACAATATTTCAAATAGCTCTCTGGAGTCAACAGAGATAAACATGTATGGCGCCTAGAGACCACCTCTAAATTTACAGTCTAATCATTGGCATGAAACTTGTCTGTCTCATTGAAGGGCAGCAAACAAACAGAAACTGTAACTGGCACATTTCTGTGTGAAATTTAAACGTTAAAGCACAATAAATCTGGAGTTACTTTAAAAACAATACAGACCATATGACTGACACTAATTGGAAACATCAACCAAATACGACAGTACTGTTAAGGCCACCATAACCACTCAACCCTCAGAAAGTTCAAACTTGGCTTCCTAGGTTCCAGCCTGGAGACCAGCCAATGTCATTGATATAATCGAATCAAAATATGATAATATTGTAGTACTGCCATTTTCTCAGTGGTTATGTGTCCTAATACACACAAAAAAAAAAAAAACAAAACAAAAAAAACAATGAAAGTTAAATGAATCAAAGGCATATGGTACACATATTTAGCTAAATAAAATGAATCCTTTGGCAACGGAGAAAAACAAAAACTTATGTGCGGATAACAAAATATCTCTTCACTAAAGTTTGATTAGTTATGTCAGTGTGGATCACAAAACTACGCAAAACAATCAGCAAAGATATGTAAGCAAAACCACAATGTAAAACTCTGAATGGATGAGGCATTTTTGGAGTGGTTTTCATGACCCTTGACATTGACAGAGAAAAAAATATATAAAGAAATATTATTTTAAAAATATATATACTGTATATATAAACCGTACAGTCAATGCGAATATACTTATTCTACAACTTCTCAACTAATCAGGAAGGCAAGGTTAGAGCTGGTGACATCTTACATCACTTACTCCTGCTCGAAATGAAAAACAAAAACCCATCTCCTAAGAGAATAAGGCGGACAAAAGCGACCCAGCACGACAAAACATTTATCCTGCCCACTGCATCATTAAAAAGGCCACAATTACAAAAATGGGTGAATAGGACTTCATTCAACAAATTAGATTAGAATTGAAATGTATTTTTCAACTAATTCCAAATGGCTATAGTTCGGTCCATACCTTAGACATTCACGATTTCAAAAAAGATAACAATACTCGGTTCCTGATAGTCTGCAATCCCAAATAAAAGTGAAAAGAACTTAAAACCACAAGTTCATTTGTTGTGTTACGTGCAAATCATCCATTTACAACAGTAAGGGTGGGCAAACGGAAGCAAGCTCTAAAAGAAATAACCCTGAAACATTTGTGCAAGTACAGTAAAAATTGACCCCATCACCCAGTGGAACAGTTCAAGCGACAGCAAAGTAACATGGCAAACCATAGGATCTGTGCTTACAATAACCTTAAACCTTAAAGTGGAGCTAAAATCTGTCTATATCTTTAGAAAAAATCAATCTGTCCTTCTCATCCACAAACAACCCAACAGAAGCTTCTCGCAAGGCAAAAAACAGGATGACAAAACTCAAATTTGAAATGGTAAGCCACAACAGTCACACATGTAAACCCGATCAACTCTTAACCTGCCTCGACTCAGACTGGACGGTTCCTCTGTATCACTTTAATCTCGGCCCAAGCGTGGTCTTTAATGTAGAGAGCACCGTCGTGAGGCATCCCATCAGCCAGTATGTGACTGCGTGTTCCGATACGTTTAAAGCATTGCGATGTTCTCGTGAGTGCAGTTCAGATGAGTGGATGTGCTGCTTCCTCCTGGAGATTTCAAACCCTTGCTGCTTCCCAGGGCGCCTGTTTGGATGTCGTCTCCGATCATGACACCAGGCCCGTGCGAGAGGTTTCGCTGGAGGCCGGCCAACATGGTCTCGGTTGTGACCGTGCCGAACTCGTAGGTGAAAGTCCCGTAGAACACGAGGATGATTACAGTGAAGACCCACTCACAGATGGCCGCTGCATGTTGTAAAACAAAGCTCTCGTGGATGAAGAATATTCCACCTGAAAGGGACCATCAAGGATTCAAACTGTTTCAAAAATGGAAGCTAATATTTGCGTGAGCCGAACGCGCAGCTGGTCTCGATGGAATTCACTTTAGTGTGGAAAGCCATGGATCATTTATGGAGACCCTGGTTAATTAACTTAGCAGCTCTCAGTTACATTACCCAACAACCATTTAGCCCCCCCCTTTTCCTCCGGTTGGGGGAAAAAAAACTATTAATAAATCATTGACGAACAAACTAGCAATAAAGCCGGTAGACTCCAGCTGGGATTATCCGTCTCCATGCCGACATTTACACTGAAGCAATTAGATTACACCTCCACTATAACATGAGTCAGGGGCTTCGTGATCATGAGCAGAACCTCAGCAGGAGGACAAACAGCTCTCCTTGCCCTGATTGCGGTGCAAATTATTTAAAACAACTGATGCTAAATGCTATAGTTCAAAAATGGCATTCCCGTCTCCCTTATGTTGTTGCATTATTTGAAGAACACAAAATCTTGAGAATCTTGCAAACTATAATTGTATCATAAAACTAGTTCATATAACTTGTGCACTATACTGCAAAACTTCTGAAGCTATAATACCTCTGGGTGAGGAACAAGACACAATTAAAGTCGTAATGATATGAAAGTAGCGATAGATATTTTCTTCCGTATTATTACAATAATTGAAAAAAAAAAAGAGTAGGGCGGAGTTTTGGTTCTATCTGCTTGTTGATTGGAGGGAGGCAGATATGAACGCAAGCTTGCGATTGTATGAAAGGGGCGGAGTTTAAGCAGACTGAATGACTGAAAAAGTCTGGCATACTTGACAAGAGGGAAGTCTGTCATTTCACCAGAAGATCGAGTTCATAAAACTAAACTTTTCACTCATTTGTTCCTCAAGTTCAACTCACTGACTTGGATGACTTCACTGACAGAGGTAAATAGCTCTACAGAGGAAAATATTGTCAGTACATAACTCCATTTATGTCTGTTCTGACTTAAGAATACTTGAAACATATTGCACAAATCATATATAGAGCACTTTTATGATAGCTTTATGATGCCTTTGTGTCTTTTTTGAAGTTTAGAGGGATAGTTCACCCAAAAAAGAAAATTCTGTCATCATGTACTACTCACCAAACATTTCCTTCTTTATTCTGCAGGACACAAAAGATGTTTTGAAGAATGTTGGTACCCAAACAGTTTTGGTTACCACTGAATAACCCCCAAAATAAACAAACATCAAAATATCATCTTTTATGTTTCACAGAAGAAAGTAAGTCATAGAGATAAAGAACGACATGAGGGTGAGTAAATGACAGAATTTACATTCTTTGGTGAACGATCCCTTTAAAAGCCAACTATCCTCAAAAAGCACTCATTGCATGGAATAGAGCAACAAGTAAAAATCCTTAGAAGCATGTCAGTAATTCAGGTTTGGAATGAAATGAGAATGAAGAAATGACAACAGCTCTCAAAATAAAACAAATAATACGGTCTAAATAAACAAGACAAACAAGTTAAAGCAATCCATCTCAAAACAAATTATGAACACACACTTATTCATCATTTTCCAGTCACACTCAACAAGGAAGGATACTAAGAACCAGTGTGATGAGAGCACCGGTAGCCAGTGCTACACGAACGTGAGCCATCCAGTAGTCCAGAGAGGTGACAGCCACCCGGTAGGTCAGCAAACATTGCAAACACACGAACAGAATGCCTGCTGGGAAGGCCGCACCTGCACCTACATAATGAAGTGTTTTTGCATGGTCCACCTAGTAGAAAGGCAGTGCAGTGTTATTCAAATAATAATCAAAGTATTGGAAATGAAAGACCAGGACATTGAAACACACTTGTGTGACATCTACTGTAACTTGGTGGACAGAAAAAACATTGACATATATGTCTTTCTGCAACAAGAAACTTGCCAATTGCACACTCAGCATATAGATGGAAGTGCTGTTAAAGATGAGGGACTGAAATGCCCTCTAAAATCCATTTTGAAGAATGCAACTGGTGCATGCATGGATCAATACTAATCACTTTGAGAGCATAAGCCTCTCTGAAACACTCTGATGCTGATCAATGCATCAGTCTGACAGTGAATGTACGGCCCATGAAAAGACTAAAGGTGAAGAGTCAGCCCTTAATATCTTCTCATAAAGCACTAACAGAAGAACAAAGCACCATACCATTTTTGGTATGTGAATCGTGACTGGGGCATGACAATAAAGTCATGGTTTAATAATGTTCTACTATCAGTTTGCTATGAGATAAATGTGTCAGACAATCAGACAATGATCCTTCACCAAAGAGTGTTTAAGCAGGATTGTGTGACTGACCTGGAAGTTGCCCACCATGACTAGTCCTACAGCATTAGTACATCCAGACACAAGTCCGCTGGTGTTGAGCCAGCAATGGTTCCGGTGCTCGATGATCTGAGCGTACCGCAGCAAACACACCAACACCACTTCAATACAAAGAAAATAGAAATACTCAGATCCCTTCACATTTTATTTTGTTTATATTTCTACCATAGTATAGAGCACAGTTTTCCTTCCTTTGCTTTGCCAATATTTTCAGTATATATTTTTTATACTATTAGGATATTAAAAACCTCATCGCATTACCTCATAGCAACTACGAACAAATGATGCAAAAACTTAACTGATAGTACACTACTTTTATTCAGCAGTGATACCAACCTTACACTGATCTAACGAAGCCGTATTTGTAATGTTACAAAATATTTCTTTTTAAAATTAAATTATCATAATCAAATTATGGTTTCCACAGAAATTAAGCAGCAGAGCTGTTTTCAACATTGATAATAATAAGAAATGTTTCTTAAACACCAAACAAACATATAAGAATGATTTCTTGAAGGATCACGTTTTGACTGTAGAAAAGACACGTTGAAGACTGTTTAAAAATCAACAAAAACAGAAAACAGTTATTTTCATCATAATTTAGTTTTTACTGATTTTTTTTTTCAAATAAACACAGCATTGTAGAGATATCCTTCACAAAACATAAAAAATCTTCATAACCCCAAACTCCAAAACAGTAGTGTATGTTAGAAACCTGAAGTGCGTGCTATATATTTAAAATTATTGTTACTTTATTTGATATTTTGTTATATAATACTAAAGTCATTTATAGGAGTGTACAGTGTAGCCTAAGTCTTACAAAGTTCTCAATGCTTCGCTTTGCATGTATGGACCCTCATTATGTTACTGTGTTAGTGTGGGGCTATTTTGAGACTTGTTAGTGGTATTACTATTAACTAGCAATTTATATTTACTTATTATATGCCCCCATATACTAGCGTTATACGCTAAACGGTTTTAGAGATAAAACTCTTTACATTCGATTATCATGAAAACAAATCTCAGAGAACGGTCGACTAGGTGCCAATGTGTTATTAGACCGACGGTTCATTTTGCGCCGGAGTATCCAAACACTTTAGCTGTACTTGCCCACACAATTCTTATGGTTTTTAACTTCTATTTAGAAAGGTGTTGATATCTTACGTGTTATAGTGTGTTGTGTAAAAGTGTGTAATAACACACCCGATTTCATTTCAGAAGAACACAAATAGAAGCAGATGACAGCCAACCTTCAACAAGATGAGGACAATCAAACCCCAAATCATATCAACATATCAATAAACCACTTAATAAACCGACACAGGAAAACATTCATTAGTTAAGACGCAATAAGTAGCGTGTCCTCTCATGCAGGTATCTGTCTTTGCGGCACCTCTGCCACTGGGACTCAAAAAGCATAAAATGCAAGGGTGCTGAATGCTTCCATTCATGCTTTGTTCTCTTTTATTCGATATGTCACTGCTGGAGTAGAATGTGTGAAATTATAAGAACAAGCGGTCTTACCCATAAAAGCTCCCACATTGCCAATGAGACTGAACAGGCAGCTCTCGGGAGGGAAAGATCCACATTTACTGAATCAAAGTGAAGACAAAGGCATTGTAAGATTACACCGGAAATAAACGCAGACTCGAAATAAAGAGGACGAGCTCAAAATAAAGACTACCTGATGAGGGGGATGTCTTGAATGGTGCAGCATGTTTTCTGGAAGCCCGGCTTGGCTGTTTCCTCTGTGCATGTCACATTGTACGACCTTTAAAATAAAAGCATTGATGATCAAATGACATGAACATCAAATCCTCTAAATAAACTGACCGAACTAAGCCCAACTTACCAGTTTTCGACAGGGCAAACATGGTGGTTCATTACAGCCATAGCATATCTGAGGACAGAGTAAAACGCCACTATATTATTATAGCATATGTTTGCTCTGATGTCAACTTTTAGAAACTATTTGATGTCACAAACAATAACGAACAGCTTTTAAGGGTGACATCACATTAAACTCACACTATCCAAATCCCAGTGATAGAGAAGGCAGCCAGGCTGACAGGCAGAATGATCCAGGCAGTCATTGGTCTGACGGTGAGGCCAGTCTGTCCCAAGCATGAGGGGGAGGAACACAGTGGACTGGAGGGGTGAGACAAGGGGGGGATGACAAGGGGGCACTGACATGCAAGGACACACAGGGAGGGGACATGAGAGGAGGAGAGGGATGCCACGCTTGCCCCTTCTTTCCGGCTGCCAAATCCAGGCCTATAGCAGTGTTTTTGGAAACAAAGCAGGTAAATATAAGAGAGTGACTTACATCAAATGATCAATTCGTTCATTAAAATAAACACCTTGACAGGCAACTTGACAGAAGCCATGACAGAATTCGCAATTCGTTTCACTTCTATAACGCGACATTTTGCAGAGCGAGACTATAGGTTCACATCTGCTGCAAATAACAATTTAATTATGTATGTGTAGCATTAGATCATTAACAATAAGACCAGGAATGCACATTAAAGTTGTGATGAAATTAAGTAGTCACAGATCTTTTATTGACAAATAATCAAAAAGTAAAGACATAAAAATAACGCAGAGCAGTCCTGGTTCTATCTGGTTGTTAATTGGAAGGATGGCAGATCTGATTGAGAGCTTGCAGTGGATTTTAAGAAAGAGGCGAGGTTAAGCAGACTAAATGAGTGGAGAAGTCCAGCATATGTCACCAGAGAGGTGTCTGTCGTTTCACTGGAAAATTCTTGGGTTATGACAGTTTGTTTTTTTAAAATTACAAGGTCAAATTAAAAAAGGAAAATCATTGTAATCATTCACAATAAGATTAATAGGTTGCATTAGAAAATAGGGAGAATTTCCATTTCACCCTGACATGCTGACAATCGAGTTTGATATCATGTTTACTTTAACTAGAGTAGCCAAGAAAATGTTCATGCACAAATGGTAATGTCAAACTCAGCTTTTTAGAGATTAATTCCACTTGCCCTTTTGGCCCATTGATTTTGTAACAAAAAGCACTTCTAGTTCAGTCATATCATGCAGTCGGAGTGTCTATGCTACAGTGAACTATAAAAACTTAAGCTGTACTGGAATTCTGCACATGACTGCCACATGATGCTGCCTTAAAACTGGCTGGAAAGCAATACTGATAAGTGGTACACCACAAATGAGCTTTGGTATCATGACTACTACAATGCTGCCTAGACAGTCGGCCTACAAGGTTTTCAAGCATAATGTGTAATCAGAAAATCTAAACCTTACCTTTGAATATAGATTACAAGCATCAGCACAAAAGACTGTTACTGATGTTGACATCAACAACTCAGGTGGTGGTGAATATCCGGATGACTTCATGTCACTCATTTGCATTACAACTAAAGTGTCATCCAGGCGACCTTAATTGATCTCACAGTATCTTTTGAACAATCAAACATAGTTTGCATATTTTCTAGTTCGTTCGAAATATGAACTAGCTAACTGACTGACTGTCTCGGGTAGCAATTCCGTGTTTACTAGCAATGAAGCTAACACTAGTTTTTTTTCGAAACCGATTGAGCTGCCTTCTTCAGACAGCATTTTGGGAAAACATTTGAACGCGGCAGAGATTTTCCCAAAATGCTGTCTAGGTAACGTTAAGTTATGCAGCTCACTCGGTTTTGAGACAGCCATAGAGTCCACCAAATCCTTGAAATGATTGCTGGCGCCTGAGAAGCAAATTCCTTACTGCTTGTATAACGTTAAGTGAGTTCAAGAGATTATTCAGAGTTCTTCTGGAAATATCCGTAAATGTTTACGTTTAACAACAAGCAAATAATACATTCATAATTACATACCTCAAGTCCTGCAACTCCCTGCTTCCAACCTGACTCAACCGTGGTTGTTGCTTTAAGATAAGGCACTGTTACTAACCCTGTTCCTCGCGCCTCACTGTAATTGTAGTTATTTGTCGATTGGATAAGAATGCGTTACAAGGTGTCGCAATTTTCAGATGACTACTTTACCCACAATGCCAATGTACGGCGAAGGAGGGGCTAAAAAAACGTATAGACTGATAAAAATGGCAAAAGGTAATATGGTAATACAGCGACGTTCAAAGGTACAACCATAGACAGGGTTCATATATATATATATATATATATATATATATATATATATATATATATATATATATATTATTGTATGTATTTTATTTAACTAAGTACATTAAATTAATTAACATTACATTAAATAATACTTTATATGCAGTGATTCTTAGAGAAGCCACCAATAAAGTGTATAGGCATTGTTTATTACATGTATATTACACTGTCTGTATTTAGCTGTCCCCATGACTAAAATATCATTGTATCATCAGATATATTTGAATAGCTGCTTTAATAGCTCAGTGCTTGCGACTTGCAATAATAATAATAATAATAATAAAACATAAGCACACATTCAGGCAAGAATGGATTTCACATTAAATGAACTCATATTATTTCACCCCATAATACATTTTTAAAAAGCTTTCCATGAAAAAAAAGACTATTTTATATTCAGTATTTAGACATTTTAAATCGTGTTTAATCATGTTTGAGTAAAACAAAAGCGGAAATCTAGTCTATGTTATAAACCCATGACTTTCAGTGTCTGGTTTGTGTTTCCCTGGGTATGCACCAGAGGTCCTCCTCCACCACGGTGTCCTTCACTCAGACTACATTTCCCATCCTGTTTTGTCACTCATTGATTATTGCGCACAGCTGTTTCCCCTCACCTTGTTAGTATCTGTGTATATTTACCCTATTTGTTTCTTGTCATTGAGTCCTTGTTTAATGTCATTTGCACCCATAGACATATACCTTGGAATTTTTGTCATGTTTTGTTTCTTGTTGGACTGTTACTGTTGAATTGTTTTGAGATTGCTTGCATTTTTGTGTTTTATGTTTGTAATTTCAGGGTATTTTACTGATTAGTGTTTATTGTGGTGGTGATAGTGCAGTGGATAAGACAAATGCCTTTGGTCTGTGAATTTAGCAAGTAAAGAAATTGCATATGTAGGCCTATCTGTGTATTAAAGCTGCAGTCTGTAGTTTTTTTGGGTTAAAAATGATCCAAAATACATATTTGAGAAAATACAACCATGCAGCTAATGTTCAAAACTGCTTGCCGTAGCTCGAGTCAAAGTGGAAAGCTTGTAGTAATGTTTTTAACTCCAGTGTTACTGGTGGATTTCCGCGTGAGATGCGAGCATGTCTTCGCGTCATTACGTCATATCTGTACAAATAAAGAAGTCTCGGCTAGAAGGCTATGTTGCGTGTGAGGATGTTGGAGGTGAGATTTATAGCCTTTTCTCACAGCACTTGATATATTTAAACCCATCAATTTGATGGCAGATCCAGAAAGGTTCAAACGACAATCACAAGTGACAAAAGATTCACCCGCTGTAAAGACTGTAAAGAAAAAAAAAAGAGACTGCAACCGGACCCATGCGAAAACAAAGATACATATCGGAAGGACAATACATGTAGTCACGCAATGCTGATGTTCACATTAACAATTTGAGAACAAAGAATAATTTAAACGTTTTTTTATTTTTTAGTGATGATAAAGCGATTGTTGGAATTAATCAGCTCGATTTACTGCAGTGTCAGAACCAGAACAAAAGTGGATGTCACTTACTTGTTAAGATGAAATTTTCCGGTGAAAATGATTATGTTGGTCACACTTCCAAAATGAATAATCTGTGATTCTGAATGCCAGTATCCACACCGGCGCAGTGACCGAAAGCCTCACATCTCCTCGAACATTGTGTTCATCCACACTGGCCCGTGTGTGGATGACAAACTACAACCATAAAGTTGACAATTCCATGAATTACTGCAATTGCAGATTTCGAACAGAGATGGCGACAAAGAGGGAAAACTGCAGACTGCAGCTTTAAAATGAAAGCAGCGTAATATACAGTACCTACTGCTATGCTGTTAAGAATCGAACAAAAGCAAACCAGAAAAACACTACTCTTGATTAAATAACTGTAGTAGCTTTAATAAGAATACATTTCTTACTTGAAAGTCAAGTTAAATGCTGTTAAATGCTCTGGTGAGGAGATAAACATGGCAGAGTGTTTATAGCTCACTCAGGGCCGGTGTTCTGACAATTCATGCTACCCATCGAGATTTCCTACTTACCGGTTAAGCGCATGTGCAGACTCACAGTTTGTTTTTTTATTTTTTTTTATTTTTTTTACAAAAGGTACATTTTCCTGTTATAATGTATAATTTCCCTTTAAAAAATGCTTACTACCATATGAATATTTGTACGGTCAGCCAGCTGAAAAGGAATAACTGAAAGTTTCAGTTACTATAAGAAAAGGTGTACTTTGACAAGTCAAAGATGAATATTTTATGATAATTTTTACTTTTCACACCGTTTTAAAAATAAAAACAGTAGTCTACAGTATACAGTAGCTACTCCTAACTTAGAATTGTATTAGAATTGTATTTCATACGACTTTAATCGGCATTCTGTGATCAATTCGCACTACGGTAGCATTTTTCGACAAGGCAGCAAAAATCGACAGAACACCGGGTCTATGCTTAGACATGGGTGGGGACAGTGCATTGTGACATCACATTGCATAGAAACTGCAAACAGCTTATTCTGAAACACATTTTTGGATTTATGGATTTTGTGCATTATAGCATGTCACTGCCGACACACATTTATGTTCAAACACCATGTAAAACTGAATTTAGCATAATAGGCTCCCTTTAGTAAATGCTTTAGTCTTGACACACATGAAGAACTGACACAAGTCACTACACTGAACAGAATACCTGATCTGCCACACTTGATTTCAGTTGCCTTGGTAGTAAAATGTGGTTGCTGTCAGTTCAGACAATATACTGTAAGTGTTTTAACTGTCATTAATTGAGCAGAAAAAACGCTAATAAGCAAGCGTGAAATAATCAGGGACTTGTTTTGAATCATTAATTCATCCTGAACGTTACTCTCTGTCTAATCTAGGGTGAGTAAAACAACTTTTTCAGCATATTATCAGTTTCAGACAAGGAGGCAGGTGGACGCAGCTGTCATTTAAAAGCTGAATACTACATTTCAGGCACACTGTTATCAACTAAAGATGTGACATCAAATGACGTTCATATCGGATTCCTGACAGCTGACATAAAATGCATTGATTTTAGAATTCCGATAACATTGGAGATATCAAACCATACACACTTTAAACATTATAACATAAAATGAAATCAAAATGGTTTAATTTAATCTGTTTTAAACTAATGATTGAAAAAGCTGTTTAATGTTAAAACGTGTTCCTTTCAACGTGTTCCTGAGCGAAAGGTATCACAGTGGCGCACCGAATAGCAAGCAAATGTTACATTGTGCAAGATTATGAAGACGATTTATTTTCTTGTGTTCATAATGATTGTGACTGACACAATTATTCTTTGGCAGTAGTCATCTTGCTCCTCAAACGATTCTGTCCAAAAGCATTTCATACCAATAATAATGATTTCAGAGGGAATCACATGCACTCAGAATTACACCTCACGAGTAGATCCAGACGGAATATGCACTGTGCTTTGTGCACTGATTTGAGGGAAAATCTGTGGATGGATTTAAATATGGTAAACTGCATGGAAATCTGAGGTCTGTGGCCATAGCTTCTGTGTGAGACTTCTTGTGAGCCGTCGGTTATTGAGCTAAATAAGAAAAAAAAAGAAGGAAAGTGCAATCAAGCTTCCTCTTAGAAGTAAGCAATAATTAACCACTTTCCTGTTTCAACAGGAAAGCCTTGCTGTTCATGTCAATAGAAACAGTGGTGCTGCATGGTTTAAGCAGATATTGGCTGGATAAAGGCACAGCGTGAGGACCTTCTTCCCTTGGCCTGGCATCTGGCCCTCATTCCTGCAGTTTGAAGTGGAAGCTATTTGTGCTCCACTGGGTGATGTCACAGTTTAGCATGGTGCGCTCTGTAAAGCTCACATTTCCCTCTCGGTCGATGAGGATGACTGTATTGGTCCTGTGATGGACAGACACAAATATGGCACTGGTTAAACATTAATACTGGAGGGTAAAAAGAGCAGTGTTACACTCAACCAGTTCATGCTGCACTTTCTATGGAGAGAGAGAGAGAGGTGAAAATAAAAATAGCATGATGGGACCTTGTGCCGTATCCCGGTGAGCGCACACACACTGCAGACAGGGCTCGGAGCATGGCCTTACTGTAGCCCACACCTTGACTCTCCTGTGCGGGGTCCGGGGTGTTTCTGGGAAAGGCAGACGTGAGATTTATATGACTCCTTTAGTGTGCCAAATCATCCTGGTGTTTTACTGAGATTAAAGAATGCAGACAAATGCAAGGTAGGCATGTATACATAGACATAATACTGTTCAAAAGGTTATATTTTCAAAACGAAGCACTAAATGTATCATTATTATATTTAAAAAAAATTATTTTCAGCATCATTACTCCGGTCTTCAGTGTCACATGATCCTTTAGAAATCATTCTAATGTGCTGATTTGGCACTCAAGAAAGACATTTCTTATTATAATACATTTTGAAAACAGTTTATTTTTGTGGATGGTGATCTTTTTTCAGGATTCTCTAATAAACAAAGTAAACAAAAAGAACATAATTTATTTGGAATAGATTTCTTATACTACCCGAAGCTTTGAAAACATCTATGAACTGACATAGGACATATTTACTTACTGGTAAACATCATATCTGTTTTGAATTTGAATTTAATAATCAGATGTCTCGGTTTCATTCTCATAAATCATCTAAAAGGTCATTGCAGACATGGGTGGGTTACCTATCTGTCTCTGATAAAGTGAACAATTAAAAGGAAAATTTTGATAAAACAGTGAAAACAACTATGCTTAACATGGATGCATGCCGTGGATTCATCAGATGGGTTGCTTTTTAATATCGAATTTCATTATGATATGCTGCCTGCATTTACTTAATAAAACCGGAGGAAATAAAAAAAGGCTTCACAAATCAAGCTGCCGGTGCTTCAAAGATTCTATAATGTAATCGTCTAGAAATCTATTTGTTTTGTGTCTCAAGTGCTTCTTGAGGATCAAAAAGGATGGATGTTGGTTTGATTGTTTAAGAAAGATAAAAGTAGATTGAAGATAAAAAGAAACAGAAGCAAAAAAAAGCAAGAGAATAGGGGTTTTCATAATGAAGCAGCGTGCACACTTACAGCTCCTCATTGATGAGGATGTGGAGCAGTTCTTGCACTAAGCCATCAGAGGGCAGTGTTTTGCTCACTACACTGGTGAACAGCTGTTTGCCATGCTGCAGTTTTCTCCAAGGAGTCTCCAGAAGAGAGTTACTCAACCCATAGATTCCTGCTGAAACAAACACAATCATCCATCATTTCCTGTGAGTTTTGAGACACACCCACCAATCTGGCGCTGAACGAGTTGAAAGTGGTCTGTAATGCAGACGCTAGGTGCTTCATGCAAGACCACTGGCGCCTGAACACAGAGTGCTAACGGGACTGGACAAACCTGCTTTGAGATGAATGGGCTCTGAACTGCTCTTGTTTCCATAGTAACACAATGTGTCTTCATTGGCCCTGTATTCAACAACAGCGAGAAAGAGAATCAAAGACAAATTTACAGCTACATTTTATAATTTTTTTTTTTCACATTTCATGATTTAATCATCTAAAATTTGACCAATTCCGCGACATTCTGCATTATACAGTAAATTCCATTTTTATAAATGGATTCTTCGATTCTAATTTAATGCCATGATGTTGAATTTAAGACTTTCTTCTCCAATGTAAGACATTTTTAAGTCACTAAATTGTGGAAGGTTGAATTAAGACTTTTTAAGACTCACAGAAAACCTGATTATATGTCTCAGGCAGATTTAACGATAGAACAATAGACACAGACAAGAGTATAACAATTGATAAGATAGAACAGATAGACAATAGATCAACAGAGCATTGGATAGACAGACAGAGAGATAAATAGATAGATATGTAGATAGATATGACATGATATGATACGACATGCTCTTGATTTCATACACATGAAATTAGTGGATGAATGCGTTTACTTCATTCACTCAATAAAGCATTACTCCTGATGGAACTATGCTGTGTTTAAGAGAACAAAATCAAAATTTTATTGGCTCAGGAGACACAAGGTTGTCTATGAAAAGAGAAACGGCCTATTTAGGGGTTTTGAAAGACTTTGAGAGGGACATCAATAATGCTGGGGAAACTGTTTGGCAGCGATGGCAAACCACGACTAAGAGAAAGACAGACAGAAAGGAAAGGACTTCAGAAGCCTCAGAACTCTGGAGAGCCTTTTGAATAAGTACTAGGATTAAAATAAGTATGCAGAATGCAGACTTTCAGTAAAACCACATCTGTTTTAGGAATCTTCAAATGAATGTTGATTAATGGGATTTTGCTGATCTACATTACTTTCTTTAGGATGGTGCACCAAGGAGATGTGATTACAAAGTATTTGTATATTATATACTTCTAAAGTTAGTTCAAGATAGTTAACTTGTGATAGTTTCACTTTGCAAGATAAATTCAAAAAGTCAACTTTTTGTTTACCAGTTTTAACCACTATGCCAATGTGATTTTCCGTTGAGATTTGGATCAGACAGACCAAGCATTACATGGCTAAAACATTCGGTCAACTAGTCAGCAGACAAAAATTTTACGGTTACACACCCAGCTATGTTTCAAGAATCTAATTTTAACTATACCCATAACAGAAACACTATCCAACTACACCCATAAATGCCACACATAAAATGACCTCAAGTCTTGTAATATGTGACCCTGGACCACAAAAGAAGTCTCATGTGTCTATTTAAAAAAAGAGAGAGATTTATACATCACCTGAAAGCTGAATAAATAAGCTGATCCTGATCCTGCAAAATCCTGATAATGTTCTGTCAAATTTTCATAGACAATACACCAAAAATTTACTAATACTTGTAAAGTACATATTAGACAAAATACAATACCTTGAATTTACATATACCATAAAAAGTGTTTTGTTGGCCATTGCCACAAATATACCCCTGCAACTTAAGACTGATTTTGTGGTCCAAGGTCACATTGAAACAAATTCAAGTTAAGGTTTAAACACAAGTTTAAAGATGTATCAGGTCATTTTATATCCTGATTTTTTTTTTATTATTTGTATTTCTATTTGTATTTCTCCCAGTTTTAATACCGTTTCCTTATATACAGTTGTAAGAATGTTTTTTTTTTTAAGTTTTATATATACTTTATAAATAAAGTGTTAATAAAGTTGAAGGAAACAAGCCATTTTTTGTAATTCCTTTTTAGTAATTTTAGTCTTTTCTCACTGAAATTAACAAAATGAACACTTTAATCTCCAAAGATCAAGGACAATTTGATTCCTCATAATATGAGCACTTGAAAAAATCTACACAACCAAAAGTTCATGAAAAGTTTGGGTTTGTAAGATAAAAATAAATAAAAAATAAACTTTTATTCTGCAGGGATGCATTAACTGATCAAAAGTGACCTTAAAAACCTTTACATTGTAAAATAAAAACTATTTGAAATAAATGCTGTTCAACAAAGAACCCTGAATTTTATTAACACGGTTTCCAAAAAAAGAATTAAGCAGTGCAGGTGTTTTCAATATTGATAACAAGAAGAAATGTTTCTTGAGGACCAAATCAGCTTATTAGAATGATTTCTGTAAGATCATGTGACTAAAGACTAATGCTGAAAATTCAGCTTTGCCATCACAGATTTAAAATACATTACACTCAACAAATTTAATTAATTTGTAATAATATTTGACAATATTACTGTTTTTACTGTATTTTATGATAAAATAAAGGCAGCCATGGTGAGCATAAGAAAAGACAAAAAGCAGAAAGAAATTACAGAATGCTCACGTTAATCTCCAAAGATCAAGGGAAATTTGATTACTCATGAAATTAGCCCTTGAAAGAATCTATATATTTTATGTGAAAGCTGTGAGCAACACTCTCAAAGTGGAGTTTGAATCCCAAACCTGACAAAACAAGCAGGGAAATGTTTCAATGAGCTGAAATGCCATATACAACATAAGGCTATTATCAGTGTTGTCAGTCACATCCCTGTAGTGTAGAGGAACAAACAAAATCTCTTTATTCTTTTGGAAAGGCCATCTGTATTTACAGAAGACAGCTGTATTGATTTCAGCACAAAATGCCCATTGTAATTCCTTTAGTTTATCTGGACATGTATCATTTTCTTCTTTGTGGCTGGAGAAAGAAATGGAGAGAACGATAGGCCCAATAATGATCTTGTTTATTAAAAGGGTAAACAAATGAATAACACTCCCCATGGCTATCGCTTTCTGTTCCATTACAGAGTGTGGGAGTTCGAGTGGCGTTACAATGTATTTTCCGTTCATAAATACAGGTTTAAAGAGACAGAGACGAATGGACAAATATTATCCCTCCATCCCCTAAGATGACAGCATGGACCTAAGCAATTCATCACCACATTAGCCGACAGCCTTTGAGCAAGCTAAAGGATGGGGTGATGATGTCTCTAGCGCACGGCTAACTGCTGTCATTAATGTATCTTGAAAAATGTAAAGACATTCTCCTTAAATGTTAATGGTCACAAAATGGTCACTTTTATATTGGAGTTGATAAAATTAAATTAGGGATAAGGTAAAAAGACAATCACAGAGTTTGCTGTTTTAAGCAGATATTACTATACACAGCAGTGTCAATAAAATTCCTGCAGGTTAGCAATTCGATGAGCACATACTATTCGGCTATAGTGTCCATAAGCAGGTGGTTTATTGCTGTTGCTCGTGAATGCATTCTCAGGGTACAAGTTTGCTAATGTAAAATATGCATAGCCATCCCCTACAACACTGAACCACCAATATGGTATTACACATACATACAAAAAAACATGAATTATTTAAATAAACGTCATTATTTTTTACCTTTAATATGTGGAATCATGAAACCTAATCTTTTTAAATCACCTCAAATTACCATGCTCTGAGAAAGTCGCGCTGCTGGAAACACGCCATCTGTTCTCGGACTATATTCTAAATAGATTTCTTAAGCTTCGGTATATGGAGAGCAGGTGGCGGCACCAGAGCCTGCTGTCCCTTTCAAGGACTCCAGAGATTCAGTATCATCACCGTCATGTCATCATCATTACAAATGATGAAGAAAGTGAGATGAAAGATCAACTTCACTCTTAAAAATGTTTGAGTTATTTCTAAACAGGCTTGATGTGTGATGTCAGCACCAAGTGGTTATTATTAGTGACGACTGGTTTTAATTAGTGAGCTGACAGCTGAGAGGTAAATTATTTAATTGGATTTAGCTGAAAGATTCTGTAAGAATGCATCACATTATAATTTTTTCAAGGCAATTCAGGTTTTATTCGACAGCATTGTGTAGATGTATATCACGAAATATCTAATTTAAATGATCTTTTTAAATAGAGTTTCCATTTACTATGTAAACTTAATTATGACTGTATTTTCCACCAAAAACCTTAACAAGTCTAACAAGTTCAGCTCAGAAAAACAGAACAAAACAAAATTTTAGAGAAATCACTAACAGTAAATTTAAGATGTAGTCAACATTTTCACCATTTGAGCAAAGTTGTGTATATGAAAAGAATCAAGCAAGATTTGCCTTCCACCACTTACCTGAATTCAGCAGTGAGGAGATTAAAGCCATTATATAAATTAGCTTCTGAAGACACTTTACGGAGGTAGGCAAAACTGTCCAGGTTATCCGTCAAATAGTTGGACACCAGGAAACCTGAATAAAAATGATAAATGAAAACAAGCATGTATCAATAATACAACCATGGATTGTAAAAGACAAGGAATCGATTGAGAACTGCTTGTAAAATTTCATTTCGTCCACTCTGAAATATGTGCAGAAAATGATTAAGGTAGATTTTGAGAGGTAATTGCTGAAATTAATATAACTTGTTGGACAAGACGGCACTGAGCCATATTACATATTACAGATCTTCCACACAGCTGTTGTGTACAACCATCCAAATAACAGCCGAGTTGTATGCATTATATTTAGTGTCATGGCTTGGGAACAGAGGGGTGGGGTGTGTTCGACATGTTTTTGATGGTAAGTGCTAGTGAGGTGTCAGTCTATAAAGAGGCCTAAACAGACACTGGAGTGATGAAAGTGAGGAGTCTAGTTGAAGTGAACAGCTGCTCGTGTATCAGGCCTTACCATCCATATGTGTTTATGTAAATATATCAGCACATTCCAGAAAGAATGTTAACATAGTACAGAAGACAAAAACTATATAATTAGAATAAGGTTAATCTTGGAACAATGAAACTTAAAAATGTGGGTGAAAATAAACAAATAAAAATCTGCAATGATGTTGAAACAGGGGTTATTTTTAATCTCAAATGATCTGAAAAAAAAAAAATCTTTGTTAATTTCTTTGTACAATGTTATAATTATTATAAGTGGTTCTTGCAAAGACGAGTATTGCTCTGGGTGAGAAGTTTGTTCTAAACCTCTGATGAATGATACCTCAAATGACAGTTTTAATTTAGCCCCATAGACTTAGATAAAAAGAGTAAATTGAGACCTATCTAGGAACAAGAGACTATAGACTATACATAATCTAGCAACCAACCAGAAGACCCCAGAAACACTTGGCAATATCCAAACAAAAGCTAAACAACTCAGAGGGCCTTAGGAATACATAGCAACACCATGATAAAAACAGACAAAAATTGCTGTCCAGTGTCCGGCCATATCTAAAATGTCACAGAGATATTGTGGGACTAAAATAGGAAAGTGTGTTAAGTGTGGCTGTTTTTAGCATCGTGCATGAGTTTTGTGCAGGCAAGCACCATTCACATTTTCTTGAGAAAAATGTAAAAATCTAGTTTCTGTTATTATATCTTTAGCTGATTTAAAAATCATTTTTTTTATTATTTGTGGAAAAGTTTTTATTATAAGCCCCTTGGGCTGTTTTTACTTTCTCAGGCTCAGCACTTCCGTTCTTTGGTAAAAAATGGTTTCAGCTTTACACTTGTATAATATAAGCAAATAAATGTAAAAAAAAAAAAAAAAACATTTGGAGGTGTGCATGTATAGAGTTGCTGCTTGCAAAGTGGATCATGCCATCATAAGACTCTGATCAGAATGTTAGTCTATGGTATATCTTTGCACATAGCAAATGTTTTTGAGAGACTTGATCTACTTGAGCTCTTTATATACACTGTAGTCAACATTTGAAGTGGATCAAAAAAGTTAATCAATATTGTCCTAAGACAAGAATTATTGTTCAAAATTCATGTATAACTTAAATGAAAGGTTTTGATCCACTACTTCAAATGTTGACTACTGTACGTATATATACACACTATAAAAACATTTTTGTAAATGCCACGGAAAAAACACGTGGTAAATATGTTATTTACATAAGTTAGTTCAGGCAAGAATTAAAAAAAATCGAAGTCAATTCTATATTAGTACTCAATTCAAGTGTGTAGAAATGAAAGCGTAAATATCAATTACCCGGAACTAGGCTTCGTTACCAAATTTTCAGTAGTAGCACGTTACACTAGTTTTTACCCGAAAAAGTACTTACATTACAGTAACGCGTTACTTTTACTTTACTTTGTAACGCGTTAAACACAACACTAATCAAATGTTACCGTCATTGTGTATTCTTTACAAAGTATTGAAGTCTCTGCGTTCATGTGATGCGTAACTTCTGATATATAGATATGGTGTCTTACAGACTATCGATTATATTCATTATTTAGATGTTTCTATGTAAAGCATATACTTTAAAAGTGTAGTTTAATTCAATGTTATATTGTTTGAGTGAAATGTATTGCAAAGGAAACTTTAACTAAATAGATATTACTCAACATTTACTAGCCAAGTTAAAATTACTAATTTGCTTTGTTACTTAAACTCTACTTAACTAAGTTAAATTTACTTAAAAAATATCAGTGCAAAACATTGCCAAATAAAAATTAAGTAAATTTAACTTTTCAGTGTATAAAAAACAATAATCTCTGGATGCCCGTTTATTTGAAGAGAAAGTACATGGATGATGAAGGCTTTTTAAATGTGAATTATCTTACTATTAAGTATCATTTGTCTGAGTAATACATTGATTAAGTGTGCCCAGTCAACTCCCCAGTAGTGGTACATTAATACAAATGGGTGAAAGATCAGCACTACCTCTCCCCTGGGCATCTGGATTTTGACGTGCTTCCAGGTAATTGGTCAGTGCTGCCAGTTTTCCTCGTTTGCTGATTCCCAGCCATGAACCACCTTCCTTCCCCTCTTCCATGTCCAAACCTAAAGACAGAAAGCAAAAAGTCACACTGTTATTTAATGTAAAAGTGGCATTAAATCTTGTCTGCTGGCTATAATCAAACCAGTAGGAGATCAGATTTAGATGTAATGAACATCCCAGGAGTGTTCAGTGAGAATGACCTAGACTGAAGGTACAGAATAATACGTTTCATCTTGACATTCAAAGAAAACAGAACGTTATAGGCCCAAGGATACTTATCTGTCTAGAACAGACTAGTGCTTTGAAAAATGAGAAATCCAACAATGCTGCTATATGGCTTCATACAAAATTACTCAGCAATACCACAGACTGATTCATAAAATGATTCATAAATATTAGCTTCAATTCACAGGACAACAATCCCAAGAGTCTTCTCAGAAATGGCTTTCCTTGTCATCATCACCCAAAGATCCAATCATCACTCATCCATACCACACACCCCTCCAAAGGGGGGTATATAATTATAGGATAATGAATGATTTCTGTTCTGAAATGTGTTGTTTTTAGGACTATGGGCCATCAGTCAATTAAACAATTCGTACTCCGAATTGTTCAACATAATCGACATTTAAAGGGATACTCCACTTTTTTTTTGGAAATAGGCTCATTTTACCACTCCCCCAGAGTTAAACAGTTGGGTTTTACCATTTTTTAATGTATTCAGATGATTTTTTTATATTTAGAAGAATATCAGTAACCAGACAGTTTCTGGTCTCATTGACTTACATAGTATATTTTTTTCCTACTATTGAAGTCAATGAGACCAGAAACTGTCTGGTTACTGACATTTTTCTAAATATCAGAAAATCAGCTGAATGGATTCGAAAACAGTAAAACCCAACTGTTTAACTCTGAGGGGGTGGTAAAATGAGCCTATTTCCAAAAAAAGTGGAGTATCCCTTTAAAAAAAGATTGCAAAAGTTTTGCGCAAATCAGTAATGGAAACCCAGCTACTGACCCATTGGATTACACAGTTTAAACCAGCATGAAGTAGTTTGAGGAATTGGATTTTGCCTTTTTCTGGTGGCATCAAATCTATGAAAGTAAATAATCTAGATACCCTCAAGCTACATTTTCTTATATTTTCTGCATTAAATAATAGTTGGCCTTTTAAATAAGCCTAAATAGTGGAAGATCTGCCTCTTGAGTTCAAAAATGGTTCAAAAAGCAACAATACAAATTCAAGATAAACTTGTCAACCACACTACTTGACTAGCTGGTTAGTTAAAAAAAATACAGTATTAAAGCCAAAATTAAATAATGAGATATTCAACCAAGCTCAACTTCATGCTAATCCATCCCTGCCCGTAAATGGTACATCTGTGCTTGGTCACTTAACATGCCAAACAGTTCCGTTCTGTCTAAGTGGGCTGTTATTCTTGACCAGAATAACATGCAACATTGGCTAAACACCATGCCAGTTAAATATCTCACAATGTGAAAAATAAAAAGCTGACTTTAAACAAGAGACTCTTGAAGAAACTCTTGTTCATCCAAAAATCTAGGAGCTCAAGAACTTTACACAATTATATAGAGTTCAGACAAACAGAGTTAAAATTGAAACCAACATCTGAATTCCTCAATAACATCAACAAAGTCTAAAATATTGGTGAGATAAAGCTGGATTTTGGATATGAAATATGTATCTAATATTTGAAAAATAAGAATGATTTTACCGCTGAGGATCTCATTGTTGCTGCCCCAGAAGTCTGCAGCCTTGGACGGCCTGCTGTAGACCTCATCTCTGTTAGCAGCCAGAATAAGCCTGCGTACAAGAAAGATGAAGGTGACATCACACAATCTTTTTCAATACAATCATACTAGTAATAACATATCATTTCTATAATAAAGCACATCTCTATATCCGACCACCTTTAGAATACACCATATTGTCTCAAAAATGTCATGCTGTGCTTTGTAATGTGCTACTCATGGGTAATGGGCATTGTGTTCACCAATAAAGGGCAGATTTTCAGTCAGACCTTCTGTTAGAGGGGGAGAGATTGAGGCTGGCACTGTTGAATGCGCTCAGAGGTCACATGTGCACCTAAATGTGTTTATCTCGCGCTGATCCCGAGAGAGCGCTGACTGCTGTGCCAGCTACACACCTAAGGCCCAGAGAGGGCTCAGCTGTGATGCTGAAAGCTGCTGTGTGTGGCTTTATTGTCCCTGCTCAGGCCTGATGCTCTGTAATTACTATTCAGTGTAATGGAGTATTCATTTATATCTTAGCATTTTGGAAGTAATTTGGGCTCAATCAGATGTCAAACACATTCTGCAATTTTTTAAACAAACATTAAAAGAATATAAGGCATAAATCAACAGGCAACTAGGTGAAAGGTTATTGTAAGTTCATGGTAAACGCTTTTCAGTAGCGATCGATAGATATAAATGTTTTTGATGTCCGATGGCATGCACTAACAATGACAGCATTTGCTAATACATTTTTAAAATTAAAAGTTGTCTTTGTTAATATTATTTAACGGATATGAACCAACAATGAACAGTTGTATAACTTACATTAACAAAGATGAATACATACTGTAAGAAACGCATTGCTCATTGTTAATGTACAGTAATGCATCAACTAATAGGACCATAGTGTAAAGTGTTACGTTATACCATTTAATAAAAAAAAGTAATAACACATGCTGCGATTAAATACATATTTATACTAAATTAGAAATAATTATATGATAAAAAAAATATTAGCGGCAAACCAGGTTGTCAACTAGAGATAATTGCTGGATAATTTTCAATATTATTGAGATGCTTTATAGAAGAAAATTGCATTGTACTTCTGATGAAACGAGACATACACAAATGCTGATCCCGTGTACTCACAACAGAAGATAAACACACAAAGCATGAATGTCCGAACCTCGACACTGACTGAACCAACACCAAACTAGACCGAAGTCCCAGGATACAAACATCACGCTCCGCACACAAAACATCTCACATGGACAGAAGAGGGTACGATCTGTGCGAACTCAGAACCGCACACACGCAACGACAAGACGGCTCAAAACAGACTGAAGTGACAGAATCCTGACAATAGATTAGCCCTTGATTTTCATTGATACCCTATACCAGGGTAATGCTAATACATCTTGATGTGACATGACATATTCAGAGTTTTGGGGGGGAAAAGTAGCCTGGTTCAACCAGACTCTAGTACATTTCATCTGTACTGAAGGAAAATGAAATTGAGCAGAAGTGCGTAGGAGGGCGCAGCCAGGCTAGGAAAAAGTGCTGTTGATCATAATTATTTCAAAGACAAAACAGGCATAAATTCTATTTTGTATGGTTTTTCAAAGCAGCATTTTTAAAGCATGTTAGAGTAAGATCTCAGTGTCTTGACAGTGTTATGCACTGAATCAAACCTAAAAGTACACATGGCACAATGAGTCGATGTCATAGGTGTAACCATGGCTACTGGTATTCCAGACACCTTAAGATCCACATTAATTCTCATCAAATGTTCAGAATGAAAGCAATCACTATTCAATCTTTAGTATATTAACATGATGCAAAAACTTGGTTATGATCAATACAGTGTTTTATGACACTCCTAATAATACAGCTCTAAAATAAACTTTTACTGGAAAATGATGGCATATGATGAACAACATTACTGTTTGTAGCTTTAAACACTATGGTCAAATGCAAGGCCATTACAAATAATTTATGTATCATGCTAGATAACAATATATTGGTAACAAATCAGCAGAATTTGCAAAGATAATGCAGAATACATCACACAATCAAAACGTTTAAGTTTGCAAACATGAAAATGGATGTACAAGATCAATGAATGTAAAATTTTGACGAAGCAGCGACGAGGTGAATTTTTTCCCCCAAAACTCTCTCAACACTGACTCCCGTCAAACTAAGCTCGTCGAGTCGTTAACCAAACACAGTTGGTTAAATAAATGTAAACAGTCAGGACATAGAAAAACGTGAGTCATTAAGCCTTGAAGATGAAATGCAGCTTATTATTTCGTTTTGGCCATGCTTACAGCGTAAAACTTGCATTAACTGCTTAACAACAGCATGAAGAGTCACACGTCCACTGCACTTCCAGCCTGTGGAACCTGACGGGCTGACAGAGAAGAAGAAAAGCAGAGAGACAAAAAGTGATGCAGTATCCTGAGGGCTTTGCAGATTGATCTGCAATGGTTGATGCACCCCAGGAATATGTGCTCTGTATTGGAGACAGCTTGCCAAGCAGAAAAACTCCTTTCCATCTGAAAACAACTTACTGGCTTGACAATGTCAATTACGCCAGACCTTGGGCAAGGTAATCACCCTCTTTGTCAGCTCAAATGGAGAGAATTCTCACAAATTGTCACTAAAACAGAAGAATGGCAAAAGGATGAATGGACAAAGAGAGAGCTAAAAGAAAAACTTTTTTTTAGGTTTTTAAGTTTTAAAATTAGGGTTGTGTTGGACGTTCAAATTCCTTTACGACAAAATCAAGTCTGAACTCCTCCCAGCATTTGTTTCTCATTGAATATCTTATTTAATTCTGAAATACATGACAATTCAAGGTTTGGGGTTGGTAAGATTTTTTTTAATGTTTTTGAAAGAAGTTTATTTTGCTCACCAAGGTGGCATTTATTTATACAGTAAAAATATTAAATGGATAGTTCACCCAAAATTAAAAATTTTGTCATTATTTACTCACCTTCAAGTTGTTCCAAATATGAAAAAAATAAAAAATAATAATACTATGTAAGACAACATTCTACCAAAATATCTTCTTTTGTGTTCTGTTCAGTAGAAGAGAGAAATTCACACAAGTTTGGAAGAACTTGATGGTGAGTAAATGATGACAGAATTGTAATTTTTGGGTGAGCAATCCCTTTAATATTGTACAATGCTATTACAATTTAAAACAACTTTTCTATTTTAAAATGTAATATAGTAATTTGATGGTAAAGCTAAATGTTTCAGCATCATTACTCAAGTCTTCAGTGTCACATGATCCTTCAGAAATCATTCTGATATGATGATTTGGTGTCCAAGAAACATTTATTTGTATTACCAATGTTGAAAAAATGTTGCTTAATATTTTTCTTTGTGTAAACTGTAATACAAGATTTTTTGATGAACGGAAAGTTCAAAAGTATTTGTTAAAAATAATTTTATTTTAACAATGTAAAAGACTTTACTGACAATTTTGATCAAATCCATGCAAGCTTGCTAAATATATTAGCATATATATATATATATATATATATACATCTTACTGATTCAAAACTTTTGAAAGTTAGTGTATATGTCACATTATGGAAGTAAAATGGGTTGAAAACAGCAAATAATGCTGTTATAGGCCAAGTATTTCAGTTTAATCATTTGAATTGCATTGGACAATCACACACTTTTACTTTCTTAATCTTCCTTTACACACACACAAACAGTGATGTCCTTCTCAAGTTCAGTGTTTGGCCTTTATTTCATTTCAGTTTGGAGGCAGCATGTCATCACAATGATTGTATGATCGAGCCTACATTTGAGACTACGCTGTATTTCAGAGACTTTTAACATCTCTGACAGGTTCCATCTGTACTTCCAAAGATAATATTAGCGCTAAGTGGATCCATTTTAGTGACATCAAAGTCACCATGGCCATATATAAATAAACTGACACAGACCTCCGGCCTGTTTTCTTTCAAAGGGATTTCAGAGCTGTTAGTTGTGAATATGAGGTTAGAGGTTAACATGATGAAGATGAAATGGTTCCAAAAAGAGGCGTTTATATCCACCAAGCGAGTGCGATGGGAGGCAGGTTGGTTTTTGAACTGAAATGAACTTTGCAATAATTGTACACTTCTTCTGGGTATTGAGGCAGAAACCCTCATTAATCTTAAAGCATTTCTGTTTTTAAGCTGGATTAATGCATCTGACCTCATGGGGTGAATCATAGATCAAGAGGGCTAATGATACAGTTTTTTTTTTTTTTTTTTTTTTGACCAAATTGTATCCTCTGCAGTTAAATTTGCTCAAGAGGTCAGTGCTAATGATATGATTTTACAGTTGTAGCCTAAAGTATGTCAGTGTTTTCCCAGTCTTTTTATCTTAAGTACCCAAAAAACCAGGCTCCATTATCAACATCAAAATGGAAATTAGGGATCTGGAAATGTAAAACTACAGATTTTCAAAATCAAGTTGTCAATTAGTTGCTAAAAACAACCCAGTGTGAGATGTAACATTTTGGCCAAAGATGTACGGCTCAATGTTTATCAATGTACAAGAGGATGAATTTCAAGAGAGGGGTTTACTGTGCAAAAGTGTACTGTTGCTAAAAGTACTAAAAAATCAAATAAACTAAACAACCATTCAAAGGTTTAAAGATACGAATAGTTTCATAAGGCAAGGATGCATTAAGAAGATAAAAGTTACAATGAATTAAAGTGCTACAAAAGATTTCGGTTTCAAATAAAAATTATTCATTTGAACTTTCTATTCATCAAGAATATATTACCAAAAATGACCTAATCACAACTAGCATTAGAATGAATTCTGAAGGTCATGTGACACTCAAAACTGGAGTGCTGAACAAAATTCAGCTTTGCCATCAGGAATAAATTATATATTAAAATATATTAAAAAGGAAAACAGTTATATTAAAATGCTTTTGCCAATAACATTTCACAATATTACAGTTTTTACTGTATTTGCTGATCAAATAAATGCAGCCGTGGTCAGCATAAGAGACTTCATTCAAAAACATTTAGTAAAAACTTATCAGAACTTTTTGAATGGTAAATGTAAGAAAAAGAAAAGATAACTAGTCAACCTTACTAATCGACTATATTCTAACGTTGCATAACTAGTCAATTAGTTAACTTAGACACAAATTTTAACATGCTTTACACAGGATTTTCTTAAAAGTTATTCATAGGTTATAGATTGACTACAAAACAAATCATGAGATTAACTTATTTAGACAGCCTAAAGGGATAGCTTAAAGGGATAGTCACACAAACCGCTCGTTTCGTGTCTTAGGCCATTAAAGTGTACGAGTCATTAAATCATATTTAATTTTGACTTCTCTGTGCATGCTTTGAGGTGGACCCAGGGTGGACCCCATAAACCTCCATTATATGACTGACAGACAAGAACGGTTTGACCTAAAAATATCAATTGAAAATACTGTGGAAACAAAGACACCTACATCTTGGATCCTCTTGAGGTAAGCTAAAACATATCAAAAATTACTTTCAAAGTGAACTATCCCTTTAATATTAAGTCACATTTCTGTCATATAGGCATAACAATACACTAAATGAAAATCACTGTAAATCTAACCTCTAGTCTAGAGAATGCATACCCCTTGTTGGATTTCCCTGCTACAGTAAGTGTATCCAAGCAAGTTGCAATGTTGCTAGGTTACAGGAGGCAAAACAAGCAGAAGTGCGCTCTATAAAACATCTGTTTATTTTGTAATACGGTTTTCACATTTGCCCGATCTTAATTATAGTCTGCGCTGTTGTAAACAAGGTGATGCTACCCTAAATCAGAGGAACCAATGCAGCGCAAGACAACCTTCAAGACAGCGTCACTGATTAGATTGTACATCCTGGGTTGAGTCATCTGTGACGCTAAACCACTGTGACTGACTCAATATTAGATAATCAAATTACAGCTTGTGGGGTAATAATCCTGATTAGCGTAGCATGTTCCAATCTGACAGTATTATCGGAGGTAACCTCTCTGTAGTGAAGGGGAAAAAGACATAGATTACTAGTCCATGCAATTTCATCCCATACACATGATTCAGAGCTCATCAGGCAATAGCTTTTGAAAAAGAAAAGACTGACTTGGCTCTCTCTAGCTCTTTAGAGACAGCTCACATTCAGAAAACCCTGACCTAGGGACATTTCCTTTAGGGACTGAGAGCTTAAAACAGAGGTAGAGGTCATCAGGACCAGCTTGATTCACACAATAGTTGTCTACACAGTCACTGCTATTATGGCATTTTACATCGAGTGCACACTACAAATTAGCATGATACTGATACTGGGATTTAATGTTACATTTATGTAAACAAAAAAGTACACTACCTTTGAAAAGTTTGCAGTCAGTAAGATTTGTTTTTAGAGAAATGTGTCAATTGATTCAATGGCATATTGAATTGATCAAAAGTGACAGTAAAACTTTTTTTTTCTATTTCAAATAAATGTTGTTGTTTTGAACTTTCTATTATGAAAGAATGAATCCTGAAAAAAAGTTGAATGGTTTCAACAACAAAAATAATTAATAAAAAAATAAGCAGCACAACCACTTTCAACACTGAAGACTGGAGAAATTCAGGAATCAAATATGTGTTAATGCATATTAAAATAGAAAAATTGTTATTTTGAATTGTAATTATATTTCACAATATAACTGTTTTGTGGTTAATTAAATGCAGTATTGGTGAGTTTAAGAGAATTCTTTCCAAAAGATTTTTTTATCTCACCAACCCAAACTTTTGATCATGTATAAACAGTAAAACAAAATTGTAAAAAGTTTCACATTACAGAAATTAACATTTATTTATGAAAAATGTAATAATAAAAAATGTTTTATTATACATAGCCCCTTTTACACAGCGCGTTGATCTCGGGAAATTGCCAGAACGCCTTCTGTGTGAACTCAAACACGACCCGGGAATGATACCGGCATCGATGCCGGTTTGGGGACCTAGTAACATTGCCGGAATCAGTCCCGGAACGCGCGCTGTGTTAACAAAAGCCAGGACCAATGCCGTAAGGGGTGTGTCATAGTGATGACGCTCGTGCCATCGCGCGACTCTGTTGCTCTTAGAAGAAAGTTTGTGTTCGTGATCAACAAAGAAAGGACGAACAAATGTCTGCAAACTGGAACGAAGAAAAGACCAGGAGCTCCTCAATATCCGCGCTGAAGCTGAGATCGTTCACCAGCTTTGTGGAACGGTATGCGCGCGTACATGTTTTCGACGGGTACATTACACGTCTCATCCTGACGTCATGTGTCTTTCCAAATCACAAATCATGCAAATCACTGGCAGTGTGAATGAACCAAAATCAAACAATCCCGGGACAAACGCCGGGTCACATTATCCGTGTATTTTCCGGAATCTCTGTGTGAAAGGGGCTCATGAGATCACATGACCAGCTGAATAATACCCACTCTTTTCCTGGACACGTTTGACTATGGAATAAATTTCACATTTGCCTGTGAAAAATTTGTCATGACTCACCATGAGCAGTTATACAATATTATGTTATAACACATACACACTAAAGTTTCTGGGAACAGGTGAACTACCTGTAGGCATTTTTGGATGCAGGCCGAGGGTCAAACTTCAAGAAGATGATGCACATGAGGCAGGAGTTTTCAATCACAGTGAGGTCAGAGCTGCTAGGTTCTAGAGGAAGAGATGGAAGACAGAATGAGACAAAGGCTGCATCCAAATCGCACACTTCACTACTATTTAGTAAGCGAAGCGAAAAACGGTATGTGACAAAAGAAGAATGTCCGAATTCACAGTATTCATAAAAAAAGTAAAAAGTGTAAAAGAGTTTTTGTCATAAAAGACAAAAAGTACCCGGGTGACCTAGTTCTTCCAGCGAGAGTCTGATGAATTGTGTGCATATGATGGATGCCATGAGGCCACCTAAGAGGATTTATGGCACTGAAGTGACACAACTGACACTGGTAGGTCACATGACAATGACAACATGGTGAATGTAGTACAATAGATCCAATTACATATTAAACACCTTCATACTATACTACATTTTAGTGGTTGTGAAGTACTTATTCAAAATAAGTAACTACTCAAGAGAGTATGCGATTTCAGACAAAGCCAATGGATTTTGGACAAAAAAAGGAGACAAAAGCAAACTAGTAAGCCAGAGGAAAGCCTTGAGGGTTTCAATCAAACAAACACCATTCCTTCAATGATTCTTAGTTAAATATTACAAAACCTCAATCTCAAGATAGGCTAAATAAAATGAAACTGTTATCGATTAGATAGGGGAGCTATAAATATTCTAGAACACAGGATAACACTACAACCATTGTCTCCTACCTGTCTTATAAGACATATTGTGCTGAATAGCAAAGAAGACATGAAATAATCATTTATTAATCATTGTAATAAAACATAGTAGTATCCTGACCCTAAACATCTGTCTTATGAACCCTGTATACACGAAAAAACTAATAAACATGACAAATCTGATCATTCAATTTCTTACTGACAGTTCAAGTTCAGAGTAACTGTTAAGTAACAACAAGCGTTTTAAGATACTATTATTATTAGGTGTATAAGTTAAATGTATTACGCTAGACAGATAACGGCTGTCTTTGTTCCCCATGTGCTTTATTCACTGAGAATTATCCAGTAGTTAGGTTTAATGTCAGGCTTGTGTCACTGAGCGAGGCTGATCTGACAGCAGTAGCATAACAAGCTTGCTAACTGGTCGGATAACTTGAAGACAGCGAACAATAACAAACAGACATTTGAGTTTGTTTTCTCTTTGGTTTATAACAGATATGATATGTCACTTACGGATCCATGTGTTGTCAACTGTCTATGGTTGTCAGTGATCACAATTGATTGTGCCGTTACTGTGAAAGCTAACTTTGAGCACAGGCTAATTCTTCACTGTACAAAGGGCTAAAGCAGCAACCTCGTTTTGACGTCTGCAAAGAAATCCGGCTGTGATTGGCTGGACCTGAAAGCGAGGACTGGACCCCGCCCACAGCATCGCAAACGTTTAGGGAACAGCGTTTATTTGGCATTTAATAACAAACTCCGTTAATCACTGTACATAATCATAGAAACATAACTGATCAGATTTCCATATCAAGTGGTTTATTAAACATTCACATTATTGAATTATTTCATATTAATTAAAAAAATGTTATGTTGAACGTTATATCTGAAAAAGAATTAAGTTTGCATTACTTTTAATCGATTTTGAATTCTAAAAGACTTGTTTATCATTATTAATCAATATGTGATTAAATATGTTGACACTGATTTAACAATCGCAGGAATTCGAGAATAGGAACAACTTAGATATTTTCAACATTGAAGTCGAGATTTCATTAGGACATTTCAAATAGTGGGCTACTGAAAGTCTTTATTATATTGCTAAAGTGCCGCTTAGGAGTGGTCACGTGTATTTGTTGGTGGCGCTGGAATTACATGGAATACCCAGGGCCACTTGGGAACACCAAACCAAATAGGAGTAAACTGACCACCCCATACTGGAAATCGGAATAAATTAAATAATTATTATTTTAGATTAGCAAGTAATAAATAGCTTAAATGAGTTAATTAATAATAAAAAAAACACAAGTCAGCACTAAATCGTGCAAAGATTATGTTGACAGATAAGATTTATTTATTTTCGCATTTTACCTTATTTTTTCATTGACATTTCGTAATTTGTTTATGTACATATTTTATTTATTTATTTATTTGTTCATGTTTGCTCTTAGACAGATTTGTCTTTTTAAAAAACGTTGCACTATCTCTGTAGAGTCTGTATCAGAGAGACAGCTCTGTGCTGCTGCTGTTGTTGTAGTGTGCAAAGCCAGCCTCGGAAGAATCCAATAACACTGACAGGGTTTTTTCTTGTCTATAGATGGACAGCATCGTGGCATTTTACACCATATCCACTACATTTACGATGAGACATATCCTTTGAATAATAACACGGCTGAATCGAAAAAGTACGCAGTGAGTTTTCTCGCGGAGATGCGTGAAGCTAACCGTGGAATCATCCGTTGACTGTTGACAAGTTGAACTGCTGCTGTCCCTACACAACTCACTCACAGAGAGGAAACAGGTAAGATTACATATTCTTTCGCGCAGCAATAATTTTTATCTCTGATCATTTAAACTCGACATTATAACTTATTTCACAAACCAATAGGTCATGTAGGCTACTCAATTCGCGTAATACGCGATTCGTGGAGGCTATTGACTATCAATTGAGAGCAGTACTCTTTAATTGCAGAAACACAACATACATTTTTGCAGATATCTCATTGTGAATTCGTGATAGTTTACTTTAAAGCATTTAAATATGTATAATTGGCTACAATTGGTAGGCTATATTTGTCTTCGTTGTTTTGAGGCAGCGCGTCATGCTCGATAGTAACACGCGCGCTCGTGGATGCAGCCCTTTAATTTGATCGTGCTCGTTTTTTTTTTAATTTTGATTATGATTATGATGCATGAGGAAGCGTTTATCAGTGTTCTAACACCCAGAGCATCAAATTAAAGGGATTTTTTTTGGAATTATGCGAACAAATATGAATAAAGTGTTTCTGGCTTGGTTACTGTACAGAATTACATTTCAGGCTTTTGGCTGTCAGAAAGGGGATTCCTGGTGTCATTGCATATGGCGCGATTTCAGGTGTAGCAAAGATACCATTCTAATAGAAGAGTTGTTCTTGTTCTATTTTATGCATCAAGTAGTAACGATTTTTTAGAACGGCTTTTTATAGTAATGTATTAGAAAAAGCAAAATCATTATCAAAATAGCGTAAATTATAAAGGCTGGTCTGGGCAAGTGTTTTCTTAGTGATCACCCTGTCTGATTGAAATGGCTCGTTATGATAGAATATTTCGCATCTTCTGCCCTGAGTGAATCCCTACAGGTCGACATTATGACATTACTTTTTTTTTCTTCTTACATTTAAGGATTTTTTTACCATGTCTATGTAAGCCTACTCACTGACCAAACTTTAACCTGCATTAGTAAATTTATCATGGTGGGAAATTAAGTTTCATACTGTAATAGACTATTTTGAATTTGTAAACAGTAAAATAAAGTGCTTATTTGCATATTCATGAGGTCCGTAACATTGATTGGACGAACACAGCTGACTGACATGCGCGCGACCTGTTTTGGAAAACGCTTGTTTGGAATAAACAGCGTTTGGAAGTTTCTTCTACAGTACAAAACGTATACATTTTTAACGAGGTAAGCGATGCTAAGTTTATTGTTCGGTGGCTGGTGTTTAACATCTCAATGTTACCGAAATTTCACTCTGTATACTTTCACTCTGTAACGTAGAAAGTGTTACCTCAGTTTGACATTGCATTTCGATGCTCAAAGGATTCAAAAGCAAAGTCTTTTTTCAAAACCCAGTGTTAAGGCATGTTGTTCACAACAAGAACAATACGGTAACTATAATGTTAAGTACAAGCGTCCACACCAAAGGACAAACGTTTTGTTTATTATAAACGCGTCCGTATTATTTGTAAACACAATTGTTCGCGCTTTAAAGTCCGGTGAATTTTGATTGGCTGTCAGGTTAAATGCAGCTTGAAAAAAATAGCTGGAGTGAGATGTGATGTGCATTTGCAGTGTCTTATGAAGTGATACAAATAACTGGCATTATCAATTATAGGGTTAACCCAATTCTGTGATCTATTTAAGTTTTCCTGTTCTTTTAAAAACTCTTTTACTCCAGTTGAGATGGAGCTTGTTAAATTAGGCAGTGTTGTCATGCATGGTGCACTGAACAGCTTTGCTTGTCAGGAGAATTTCAAATCTATGCAAAGAGCTACCCTTTGTTCCATTTTACAATTTAAAAGTTATGTTTTTGAAAACGTTGTTTTAATGTAATTCAAGGATGGATGCTGTCACATTTGTTCAGCTGCTTCTTGTGTCAGGTGGATAGATATTGTGTTTATAGAGCTAGCTTCAAAGCAACAAAACAGTGTTGCAAAGCAGGCCAGTGGGGAGCATATGCTAATCTTTTGATTGCTCTTCAGCTTTTTGCAGTTCATCGCATTGTGATGTTGCTTCAGTCAGATGGATGAGAGCTGACAGAGCTGAGCTTGAGTCTGCAAAAAGGGCTCTCCTACAGAGAAGATAGGAGGAACCTCAAGGTACATTCCCTTTGGTTGGTAGCTTCCTGCGAAGTGGACTTCACAGGGTATTTGTCAGGAAGTGGGTAGGGAATTTTAACTATCATTTATTTTAGGCCGCACCAGAAGGACATTTGGAAAGAAAGTTTGGCAATAAACAAAGTGAGAGAGTTGAGGCTCCAGTTGAAAATTGTTGTGATGCTACAATTTAAACACGTATATGTATATGAAATATTTGGGGTATATAACTAATAATGTTAGTTTTTAATAAATTATGTTAGTTTTTAGCAAATATTAATTTGATGTCCTCTGTTTAATATGTTGCAGAGACTTCTATATCTATATATTTTTTATTTAGCCTGGGGGGTTGTGAGAAGGATTGTTTTTTGTCAACTTTTCATCTCACTTATAGAATATGGAAATCATGATGAAGTTTTAGAGTTTGAGCTACTTTGATGGACAAGCTTATCTTTTTCTCTCACCATCTCATTTTCCATGATTGTCTTAGCCTAACAATAACTATGGAATGTAAATTCCTCAGTGCCTCCTGCCTGGAACTCAGAGTCATTTCATGTTAATGAAGTGTCTTCATTATGTATGCTTTTCTTTGACTGAATCTCATTTAAAGGCTGGTTCTGCATGTAAACTCTAACACTAAGGCTTTGTTCACAGTGCACACACATCTTTTGGTTTTCAAATCCGATCTTTTTGATAGTCCTTACTGTCATTTAACATGATGTGATTTTGATTCGCTTGTTCAGATAGTGTAGATTATCCAATACCTGGCGTGTCTGCATTGGTTGCTAGTAGTGATGTAAGAGTTAGCGCAATGCTGAGGAAAACTGCTCATGTTTGTCATGACATCTTACCACCACAGTGGTGCTGAAATCACGAGATGCATGAGAGAACATAAGCGATGGAGGCATTTTGCACACTCTAAACTGATCTGGCCGTTTAGAACATCAAGGGCCCTATCTTGCACCCGGTGCAAATGACTTTATACACAAACGCATGTCTCATTCCTATTTTGCACGTGCGCAAAGCAGGATTTTTCCCTCCACAGACGCACGTCGGTAAACTAGGAAATGAACTTGCGCTCCCTGGGCAGATCGGCGCAAAAAGGAGGCGTGTTTCAGCGCAAACATTCCCTGGTGCTATTTTACACTTCCAGAAAACAATTTTAGACCAGAAAAAACCTGGTCTAAAGTCAGTGGCGCGTAGCGCGTTGTTCATAATGCTATTTTAAGTATGCAAAAATATTAACACATGAGGGAAATCATTGTGGTTTACATGAAGATGAAATAAACCTAATCACCCATTTTTTAAAGGCTAATTGTAGTACCAAAGGATCAGACCTATTTGCCCAATAGTGGCAAGAAACATACGTGTATAATGTTTAACCGACGCTGATGTGTGAGGGTTTCTCCCATCCCCACACAACGTCACTTCTCTATCTTTCACTGCCCTGACAAGAACGTCGGTCTCATCGGCTGTGAACGCTCCTGGTAAACCCGCCGTTATAATAACAATCCGTCATTCAACATAAGGGTTTGTTGGATGGCGCTCTGATTGGTTTATTTCACGTTACGCCCAAACCACTCCTATGAATAATGAAGCTACTTCAGACCAACCCCTTTTAGATTTGCGGCAGGCGCAAGAGGCATTTATCCCGCCGGGAAAATAACAACAGCGCCGGGACCCACCCACAAAGTTACTTGCGGTTTGCCACTTGCGTTTCAGATCGTTAAAATAGGGCCTGATGTCACGATTCTCCAAATCCTCGATTTGATTACTTTTTCGATTTTAAGGCTTGGGGTGTCTGCAAACTGTGGCTTTTTTGATGCTAGGCATGGTAGCATCGACGATTGTGAATTAATTTTGATCGATTTCAATTTAGATTAATTTCGATTGATTTCGATTTTAAATCGAAATTGTGACACCCTTACTTGTTATACATACATCGTGATCTGGTATGATAACAGTAAATAGTTTTGTCGGTTTGTTTGACCATCTTTGAGCGAAACAGCCATTGGATAATAAAGAAGGGACAGTGAGAGGTTTGCCTGTGAGGGTGAATGACTCTTTATGGTCACACACCTGCTTGATAGCTCTGCTTGCCCCGTCTCTCCCAGGCCATTTGGTATGCTGCAAAAATCCACGACTGGGCGATACTGACTCTCCTTGGCACAGTTTGTGGCACCTGCTCTGAATAATCCTTTCTGATAAAAAGCCTTTTTGGTGGCATTTCAGAGCAGAGGATAAATGTTTTTTTTTTGTCTTAAATAACATTATTCTATGTTTATCAACTGATAAATCATGTAAAAGAATTTGCACACTACACATTTTCAGGGAGCGGGAAATTACTATGTAGACTAGAGCACACATTTCTTTTGTTTGTGTGACTGAGGGACTGTTTGTTGGATTGAGAAGATATAACAAATGTCAGGCCTACTGCAGGTTTGAGGAATGGTGCAGGCATACATTTTGCTTCTATGCCTTCAAAATGAGTTTTCATGAAATAGTTAAGTAGGCTGTTTTAAGATTTTATATGATCAGCATTACATTCACAATGCATCTGAAAATAAGCCTAGTTTTCAGCTTTGAATGCTGTCAGTTCAACTTTGTACATTTAAAAAAAGTTAATTATCTCTCATTAGTATACATTTTTTTTATTTGTTTAACAAGATTCCTACAAATGCTAACCCCCATGATAATACTATTTTCAGTTGGTCAAGCAAATAATTACTCACAAATAATGTTGGGACTGGGCAGGACATAAATGGTATAGGTACTTACTAGACTTTCAGAATATTAAGCTGGTACAGGAGAAAATATTAAAAAATTACACACTTTATCTTTAATCTGTGGCACAGTGGAATTTAAGAAGTTCAAATTTTTAATTTTGAACCAAATAAAATGTTCCTCGTTAACTGTTGAGTGATGGGAAGCCCCTTTCATTTGATACAGATCAGGTGGTTACAGTACATGCTTCAGATTGTTGTTTTTCACCATGGACCTTCCCTCGATAGCGCAAAATGCCTTTACCTCTCTTGAACTAGATATGATGGTGGACGTATTTGACAATAATCTGATTATGTAATTTATTGACTCAGTGGTGTCTTGCTGTGTGTGAAGATAATACAGAGAGATTCTTTAAAATGCATCATTCAATCATTTGATATTACAGGTAACTTATTTTCTATTCAAAAGAATCCTGTTTTAAATAGCATTGTCATTTTAGACTTCACAGTTCTGCTCTTGCACGGAAAAGTCACCATCCATCTGTCCTCACGTTCTTGTATGAATGATATTGGATAACATTTTAACTCCTGTGTTTGGGCTGCACCCAACTAATCCTCTTTTCCCAATCCCTTCTGCTCTGCACTGTGCTGGGACAAGGGCTTGATTTATGAAAATGTGATCTGGTGGAAATTTCCAGTCATTTCCCAATGCCCTTCTCATTTCCCAACCCTTTCTCCCGTCACTCGCTCCACATCCTATTTGGCTGAGGAGACGCTTCCTGTCATACTTGACCCTGTTCCAGTGACACCGTCCAAGCAGGCTGGTGGGACTTGTCCTGCGGTGGATGTCATGGTGTGTGTGGATTAACCCAGGCTTGATAAGAGCTGCTTAATTGTAATCACTGGAACATCCAGGGAGGTTAAACACTGCACTGTGTGCCTCAGGACAGGAACTAAATAGCTGATCCTAGTTCACCTGATGGCTATACCAGAGAGGGCACCTGCAGAGTGGCGTATTTGATAAAGTGCTGATATTTCAGGATAGGAGACTTTTGGAATGATCATTTACTAGTTTATAGTTTGGTTTAGGTCTACATGATAAAACTGATAACCATCTTGATGCTTTGTGCAAAAATTTGACTGAAAATAAGCTTATTGCAAATGGGTGAAGTGTCCCTTTAAACACTGAATAGACTTCTACTAACTAATATACATTTCGAAGATTATTCAAGACAAGGAAACAGTCTACAAATGATCAAACTACAAGCAATAGCACAAATAAATAAAAACAGTATAACCAGGGATGCACCATTTTCTGTGGCTGAAATTTTCCTGCATCCCTAAATAGAACAAAGATACATACAAATGAAATAATCAGTGGTTTTAGGTTTTTCTGGTAGGTCTAACATAAGCTTTCTGGTACAGACATTGAATCAAGTAATCAATTGTAAAGTAACACTGCATATAATCTTCACTGTATAAATTAAATAAAGATTAATCCTTTTTAAATAATATTTTTCAGTGAAGAGCGGTGAGTGATTTCTTTGTATTTTGTAGTTTGATTAACATTAAAAACAGACAGCAGCAGGAATATTAGGCTGCTTAAAAATTAATGCCTGGATCTAATATACTGATACACATGCATTGTTTTCTTTACTGTTTATGTAAGCCATAACCGACAATGGTTACTAGCATACTGTACATGCCAAGGCGGGATTTTGAGTTGCATTTGTGTTAATTTGTCAGTTCAAGCGCAATACGTGAAAGAGAGTCATTTTTTTTTATTCACATGCTTTCTGTGTGGAGCTTCTGTGCGCGCACAAAACTTCAATTACAAGTAAAGGAATGTTTTTTAACTGATGCATATGTACCACAAATGTATATACCGAGGGATGCTTTCTTAATATGGAAATTGGATTGTACCATGTGCATACATGAGGTATACGTTCCTTTTTTAAACAGAACAATAAGCATCTTGTTTTGCTACCTTACAAGGAAGTTGTAACTAGCCTAAGTCTCTCACTTGTGTAAGCTCAATCCTTACTGTACCACCCCAGAGAACTTTGAGGCATTACCATTACAGCTGGCATGATGGGGTGAGGGGATAGAGAAATGGAGAACCGAGAAATCTGGAATGAAGACCACATCTTATGTAGCCTTATTCTTTTATGCTTGTTTCTCTTGTGTGTCTGATACATGTTTAACATAATAAATAAGTCATCTCCTGGCAAAATATTTGGTGTAGCTTCCGTGATTCAACAATAAGGGGGAAAAGCATGA